ATACTTAAGATATGACCGAGAGAGAAGAATTTATTCTTATCCGTTTCCTAAATTAGGATCTTTTTAGGAGAGGGTATCTATAATAATATTCCGCTTCCCTATAAAGTAACGGATTAAGAAGTGGAATTAGGATAGGAACTTAGCCTAGCGAGCCTAACGCGAATTTAGTTTCTTAGTAGTCATAAAATACTATAGGGCTTAATAATCGGAGAAGATACTAAACCGATCTTCTCGCTAGAGGCCTTTAAGCTCCGCCCTTTACTCCTCTAATATAAGGATAATTATAAGTATTTTATAATTATATATATTATACCGCTACTAGGCTTAATTAAGCTTCTTCGAATAGAAGCTCACTAGATACTAATATCTATTAAGTTATAATTAGGATATCACTCTACTAACGTACCTATTAGATATATTAGTCTTAATCTTAGTCGGAGCGGTTAGGTTATAATATACTAAGATTAGGGCCGAAGTGAGCTTCTCCTTAAGTCCTTAGAAGGCACTTTCGTAGGCCTTACTCTATTCGAAGGGTATATTATCTTCTATTAGGCGGTTTAATAGTTTCGCGATTTAGCTATAGTTCTTAACGAACCTCCGATAAAAACCGCAGAAGCTAAGGAATAATCGTATACCGCGAACTATTATAGGTTACTACTAATCTTAAATAATAGCAGTCTTAGTAAGATCTATATAGACCTCTTCGGTACTAATAATAAACCCTAGGAAATAGGTACTCTGCTAATAGAACTTATACTTACCTAAGCTCGCCTATAGGCCGGCCTTACGGAGTTATTATAGGACCTTCTTTATATACTAGATATATTCCTTAATTATCTCGCTATAAATTAGGATATTATTAATAAATATAATAGCGATATCGTCTAGGTAATCGCCTAGCGTCTTATTAATAAACCTCTGAAACGTAATAGGCCTATTTATAACGCTAAAGGGTGTTACCTTATACTTAAAGGATCTATAGCGCGTTCGAAAGGTAGTAAGATCCTCTAAGTTAGGATATATCCGGATTTAATAAAACCCTTAATAAATATTAAGTCTCGTAAGTATCTTAGCCTTCCTAAGCCGTTAGAGAATCTTATTAATAAGTGATAGAGGGTAATAGTCTTTCTTCGTAAGCGCGTTAAGCTTCCGATAATCCACACAGAGTCACAGACCACTATTAGCTTTCCTAACTATTAAAATAGGAGATATATAAGGGGCCTTACTAGGTATAATAAAGCCCTAAGTAAGGTTCTAGGTAATATAGGCTTTTATCGCCTAGAGTTCTTTCTCGGACTACTTATAAAGAGGGTAGTATCCGGGCATTATTCCCTTATCGAGAAGGATCCGATAATCGGTCGTATCTCGGTATAGCGATAAGGTATTTAAATCCTATTTCGAGAAAATATCGGTATACTTATAGTACTCCTTCGGGATCACACTCTGTGTCTCTTAGTCTTTAGCCTATTATTAGGTATCTCGCTTCTCTTCTAGGATATAGTTAATCTTATAGAGAGAAGTAAGGAAGACCTTATTATCTTCCTTCCTAATATATTAGTAAAACCTAGTGCCTCCGATAAGTATAACTATATCTAAGAGACTAATATAGCGTTCTTAAGGTTTTTATAGTTACTATAGAGGCTCTGGGTCACGGACTTAGTTACCCCTAAACGGAAGAAGCTTTCTGGCTATCCGCGGTTAGGGGAAGTCATAAAATAGCCTATTTCGTCGGTTAGCGTCCTCTTAGTATTAAGAATCTGGCTTTAGTCTTCTTAGAATAGCCCGAGGAGAATAGTAGGTATCTTCGTGATTATATTATCCTCGAGACTAGGCTCCTTAGGCTAGATAAGTCGTCCTTTTTGGTAGTCTAGGAGAACGCCAAACTCCTTAAATCATATCCGCCTAAGAATTAGGTTATATCGTCCGAGGTCAGTAATTAATATAGATAGGCGGAGGAGTCTCTGGCTATTAAGAATTAGGGTTAATTCGAGAGTATAAGTGATTAGTTTTCCCGGGTATCTATTATAGCCCTTAGTCGGGATCGGGTAAGGTAAGGGCAGAGTATATAGGCTAAATACCTTTCGCGACCTACACCGCGAGGGATAAATCGATATAGATATAACTACCTACTCTAGTATCACTAAGTGCTAAAATTAAAAGAGAATATCTATTATAGGCTATCTAAGCGATAAAACTAAGACTTTCGCCTAATCTAAATAATCTAGTTAAATCTAGAGAATAAAGTAATGTTGGAGCATAAGGGGAAAGCTACCACGAAGCAGATCGTGGCCCCTTAAGTCCGTGGGATCAACCTTAGTCCGGCCAGGTCAGTCGGTGCCAGACAAAGGAAGAAGGTCAAAGGTCGTAGGATAGACTATAAGCAGATATAGCCTAAACGAAGGCAGAACCACAGTCCTGAGGATCAAAGGAAGAAAGTAGAACTGACTTTGGAAAGTGGAAAATGACTTGATTCTTTCTGCTAGAAAAGAAGGACATATTTATAGGCTAAAGTAGCCTAGAAATGACGTCTAGAATAACATACAAATACTAGATAGCAACATAATAAAGGTGGCAAAGAAGGGAACCGAAGAAAAGCCAAAAGAATGATGTCAAGAATCGACGGTTTCAGCCACCCCGAAAGCTTCCCCGCAGTATCAGGTTATGCATGCCCAAAGGTGGACCATTTTATCCCTAAGGGAAAGTGGTCCGCCTATCCTTGAGGGGACTGAGGGTCGAAGTCTGTTCACCGAGGTTCGAAGACCATGGTCGAAGTCCGCAGGCAAGATATGCCCGAAGGCACCTCCGAAGGAACGGACCATTCATGCCTGAAGGCGGACCATTTACCTCTGAAGGAAAATGGTCCTGCCTATCATTCGGGAGAGGGCCGCGGACCAGAATCAGAAGTGGTCAAAATATCATTTTGATAGAAGAAAAAATCTGGTCACGTGATTAATACAATGCTGATCTTATATGTTGAATATAAGGATAGATCTTTCTTTGTAGCATTGGTCTATATTCCAATAAGTAATAACTTCTTACTACCTAAAAAGGAGACTTCTTCTAGGTTTAAATTTTTCCTAACTAATTATCCTAAGGGGGGTTAGGCGGCTATTTAAGTATCTAAAGTTTAGCAGTAACGATTATAAAGATAGTATTCTTCTTCGGGCACTCGCGAGTTATATACCCTTACTCGCGATAGTTAAAGTAGCGACCTTCCTTTATTAAAGCGTTACGTTTATCGACCGACAGTGGCTTATATAAAGTGGCGCCTATACTCTTACGCTTCACGAATAGTAACTATAAGACGCGGGAATAGGTTATATTAGCTAAGGCTTCTATAGTAGCTTTAAAGAGGGTAGTTAGTTTACGGGACTCCTTAGCCTTAAATTAAAGGGTAATATTATAAGCGGCGCTCTAATAGATATAGATAAACTTATTAAAATTAACGGAAGTCTTATCTATAAGTAATATTATCTAGGTCTATAATAAGTTCGGTAGCTTATCGTAAAGGTCTCGCTTTTAGCGATCCTTTATTTAGTTTACTTCTTCGGTAAGATAAATAAATTTAGCGAGGAAATCGTAGAAGTTATCCCTTAGCTTTATTATTAGATATTAGTATTCCTAATAAGCCTTAGTAGTATAGTTTAGATTCTGGAAGACACCCTTTAGGTACTCTATAATATTTAGGGCGTCCTAATAGGGGTTTAAGGTATCTTCTTTTAGATAAGGGTAGATATAAAGGAGTGCCTTCCCTTTATAATAGCTTATAATATAGATTATACGATATTTAGTAGTAAGATAATAATTAGCGTTCGTAGCTAGCTTATATTTAATTATCATAGCCTAGGCGTTAAATCGAACTATCTTACTATTATCTAATATAGGAGTATTAGGTATTTTAGCTAATAGATAGCCTTAGGCTTTAGGGACTTAGAGGTCTCGATAGTTTAGAGTATTTTAAGGGCTCGGCGCTAAGGATTAAAGGAGCTAAAAAGTAAGATTATTCTATTTACTAACTATAAGATCTCGGTAGGCAATAACCTTATCTCGCTCTTAGGTTAGATTAACGATAGTAGCCTTAAGTTACCTATTATTAGTCCGCAAAAGTTATATTAGATATATATCTCTAAAGGTCTGTAGGTCTTATTAAGTCTAATAGGTCTCGCGCTAGATTAGTTATTCCTATAGGCTATTTATATTCTCTTAGACTTTCTTTCAGAACTAATTCTTAGAGTAAAACTCCTAGCGGACGAGGTCCTTAGCCTCTAGGTTATTAATCTTAAAGCTAATCGTATTATAATATCTTAATAGGTTCCGAGATAAGGTTAAGAACTTAGGTAGCTCCTATTCCTTAGCGAGCTCCTCTTAGATATTCTCCTTATTATCCCCCTCCTCAGAGAGAAGGTTCTTAGTCGGTACGGTACGTCTCTCGCGTCAGTTACGCGACTTAGACTTCGTATAGGTGTCAGTTCCTTTAACCATAACGTTGTTCCGTCGTAGCGTTCGGTAAAGGTTCGGTTCGGGGTTCGTTCGCTCGGTTCTGATTCGTTAAAGGGTATCACCAGTGAGGCAAGATAGCGATAGCGAAGTATCTGATATCTAGACTGCACCCAGAGGCGACGAGAAAGAGAAAAGACGAGTTTAGTTATATATTACCGACCAAGACGAAGAAGAATTCGTGTATCATTAACAGAAGCAACTAAACTGGAGAAGAAGAAGAAGAGAGAAAGAGGGAAACGAGCATCTACGAAACAAACCCACTTCTATCCCGAATCGGGTTAGACCCACGGCTCCTTCCAGATCACGTTCCCCCTCAGGCCTCTCTCAGGCCACAAGACATTCATGCGTCACAACTTTTACGTCAATGATCATCGTTGTATATGAAGTCCAACACTCTCGTGGTCAGTGTACATGTAAGTCAACTCTGGTGTCATTAAGAAGAAAGTCTTAGAAATTTCGCTGTCATGCCAGGAATGTATGTAACAACAAAACACATTTATCTAAAGCTTGCTGTTGAGGGTAGCAGCCTTCGGAATTCCCCATTTTGAGATATCCTCATTGGTATGGCCATCCACGGCGAGCTCGGCCAGCGCCCGACCAAAGGCCGGAGCAAACTTGAAAGCATGTGCAGCACCCAGACCAACGATGATATCAGGATGGTTGTCCAAGGGGCTGATGATAAAGTGTCGGTCGGGAGTGATCGTATACTGGCAAGTGATGGTGCGCAGGGGCTGACGCTCCTCGTCAGGAATAAAGCTCTTCATGAAGCCTGTCAGCTGCTCAAGCAGCTGGGGCGAATGCACGAATGTTCGTTGCTCAGGTGTCATAAAGTTATTCGAGAAATCACGGCCGGCCTTGATGGTCGGCTCGCCGTAGCAGGGGAAGCCATAATAGCAATTGGCGCCTTGCCAGATCCACACAGGAAAACGGTCAGTGTGAAAGGCAGCCGCGTCGGTGGGTTTGTAGTATGTAACTTGCTCTTGCATAACAGACACGGGAATATGGACAGATAAAGGAGCGAGTAGCTTGTCGATCCAAGCGTCAGTGGCAAGAATGACCTTGGCTGCCTTGAATCGACCCTTGGGTGTTTCGATTATCACTCCACCTGATGATTGGGGTGTAACACGGTCGACGGGCGTATTATCTTTCAAGACAGCACCATGGGAGCGGGCCATAGCCTGCAATGTGCTGACTGTTTTGGCAGCATGGGCGATGCCCGAGTCGGCCGTGAACACGGTCGAGACATTGTCGGGAATCTCAAACTGAGGCCATCGCCGTTTCACTTCTTGGGAATCCAGTAGCTCATATGGGACATTTTGATCATCTAAGCTCCTAGTGAAGTCGCTAGCTGGAACTGGCGAATCTGGCGCGAAGAACACCACACCGCCGGTGACTGTCAGCATCTTGTAGCCTGAATCCCGTTCCAGTTGGGCCCAGTCCTTGTAGGCCGATTTTGCAAGAGCGACATATTCGGGGGCAAAATTGGAGGTTCGAACGATGCGAGAAGTATCGTGGGAAGCTCCGCGTACATGTCCGAGCTCGAACTGCTCGAATGCAATCACGGTGGCGCCCTTCTTGGCGGCGTAGTATGCCGCTCCGCTTCCGAGGACACCAAGTCCCACAACTGCGACGTCGAACTGATCCATGTTCTGGTGCTATAATTGACAGTGAGATAATCTGATCGATATGAGTTACGATCTTCCAAATATTGCACCGACTTTATGAGCTTGCACACCCCCTCCTTCGACCATTGGGCCCATAGGCGTCGGTCCGTCCACGTGATTTTCATCACACAGTGATAGAGCGCCTTGCCACGTATTGCTAGAGCTTCAGATATGAAATTGGCATTCAGCTCGGTGACAGGAGAGCTCCAGTGGATCCATCTTTATCGTATAGATGCATGCAAAGTCGGCGCGGATCCGGCATTCAACCCCACAATGCACTAGATACGCTCAGATGACCGGTGATTTCCCCGTCCGCCGAAGCCGGTCACTTGATCAGCCCTCCCCACTATCCATTGATTCCTAGGCTTCGGCAAGCGCGTTAATAGCTTATCACATGGATGCAGATTAGTCGTGGATCGACCTTTTCGCAGGCATGTTTGCATCATGGCGTTGATTTAGTCTCTCTCGAAGTTCTGCGACCTCTGAGAGTAGTGTGTTGATAATGATAGTCATATAACTTTGTCTTGCTTATGGTAGGCTAATACAGTATCTTGATTTACAATATCTCAAGTCATCAACTTTGAATTTCTGTGTTCGGCGCTGGAAACAGCCTAAAAGTGATGCTCGAATTATACTCTCATGGTATCAGGCCCTCTATATCAAGCGAAATTCAATTCACACCAGCATCTGAAGCAATACATAGTATTGAGATTTCAGAGCTCAGATTGAATACATGCGCAGAGCTTACTACCTACTTGGGCGGATATAAGGAAGTTCTACCTTGTACACTAAATGCAGGACTCTCAATTGGGATCCCGCAGGATCGACTCCAACCCTTGAAGGATGTCGGCTTTCAAATCATCAAACTCCTCAATCCCACAACTTACTCGCAAGAGCCTCTTGTCACAGCCTGCCTCGCTCATAGTACGCCATTCCATCAGGCTCTCCACGCCCCCCCAGGCTAGTCGCATGTTGGAAGACAAACATCCTGGTGGGCAGACGACGAGCATGATCCGGATTCTTGGCCCACATGGAAAAGACCGGGCCAAAGCCTCCAGGCATTTGCTTGCGCAGCCATCCGTCCTTCAAATCATCCTCCTGCAGCGAGGCATGCTTGACATGACTCAGAACCTTGCCAACTGGGGATTTGGGGTCTTGCAGCTGCTCATGTAGCCACTTAGCCAGTCTCTCTGCTGTTTGTGCCTGCCGAGCCACTCGAAGCTGCATAGTGCGAACGGATCGGATCCCAAGCCAGCCCTCAAAGCTTCCCATGACACTTCCAATGTATTGACGATCTTTATGAAGCGTCTTCAGCCATCCTTCCTCGACATGATCTGGACGAATGACCAGAATACCGCAAAGCATGTCTGAGTGGCCCCCAACGTATTTTGTTCCACTGTGCATCACAATATCTGCTCCAAAGTCGAGAGGGTTTTGTAGCGGGGGCGGTGCGAAAGTTGCGTCGACAGTCAAGTAGGCACCCTTTTCAGTCGCCTTTGCTCGATAATAGGCAAGGTTGCGAGCTTCGCCCGTGGGATTAAGGGGCGTTTCAACGTGGATCATATCACCAGGTCCAGCTTGATCGACATCTGTCAGGTCCAGCTTTTGAACCCCTGTCAATCGATGTATGATGTCCAGAACTCCATGGCACCCGTGGTATCCATCACCGATGAATACTTTCTTCGGGTTGAGGAGAACAACCATGGCGTGGAAGGAGGATAGTCCGGTCGAGTAAGTGATCACTTCTCCACCCATGATATTTTTCAGCAGGACTTCCAAGCGATTGGTGTTTGGTGCCGTGTAGCGAGAATATACGTGGGAGTCATAAGGGGCATTCGGCTGTTGCATCTCATTAGTGTGGGTGCTTCGGAAACCAACTCAATCTTCAGGGAACTTGCATCTTTGTTTTCCTCCGGCACAAGATTATCTGGGTCGCGTGCATAGCGAAAGTTGACCGCCGTATGCATGCCAGGGGCAATCGCACGATGGGAACTGACAAAGTCATCGGCATGAATTGCTCTTGTGGACACATGCATTTGGGGCAGAGCCTGGTTCAAGGCTTCTGCTGTCAAAATGAACTTGGATGCATCATCGGACGCTTTGATTGACCCCATAGTTGTTTACTCCAAAGTGCCTCAATGTGAGAAGAATAGACCGGCGAATAGATACTTTTCGTTGTTAGCAAGGCTCTTTCAAGGTCTTAAAAGACTTTGAATTTTGTTTAAAATAAGGAAAAGTTTAGTATAGGTTTGCCTCACATATCCCCAGTCTGTCGGCCAGTCGGACGTAGTCCGTACACTCCGATAGTGCACTCCGACACTTTCGCTTGGCGTGCACATGATCGGATCGTACCGTGCTGGTGCGACAGGCCGAAGACCAACTTCACTATCGCACCAGCCTATAATCGACCCTGTATATTTGTGACTACCCGCGAAGATCTTGAGTTGGCAGCTGTGGACCAAGCATGTGTCCCAGGAATATTTGGAAAAATGAGCTGGTAGTGTAGAATCAGAAGGACAGCCAATGCTTACATACATCATTTTCCCCAACAAATAACCCCAGATGTCGCTGGACCGTGGTATCATGAAACGTAGGTCGCGTCCACCCAGATAGACGCCTGGACAAAGCCATACGCAAATTTGCAACCCAGGTATCTCCATATTTCGTGGGAAACCACGCAAGCAAGTATGGAATCCAGAACTTCTGAGAAGAGATATTTCCGGCTCTCAATTCTAAGGATCATTTTGTACAATTTTGACTTGGGAACAAATAAAATTGCTTCGGTGAGAACATCTTTTCTGAAATTTTCCCTAATCGCCCTCCGAATCAGGAATGCTCTTAGGAGCGGCCGATACATCGGGAGGTAGTGCCGCCATGATGACTCCCTTTAGGCCCGAAAATTGTACTTCTTTGATAACCTAAATGCTTCTATATTGAGACCATGTATATAGTTTGATAACACTAATTTGGCCACCCAAATGTGACTTTAAGAGAGGGCTTGCGTCCACGTGATCGGCCTGGACGGCGTCGGGCCGGACCAGCGTTTGCACGCTGCACAGCTATGAAACAATTTCGTCAGACGCACTCACTAGGACGGCAGCTAGCGGAAAGATTCGCGGTCACGATGACACGGTGGGATGACCGCCGGTATGACCCCGAGTCAATAGAATCTACGGAATGCAGGCCATCGGTCTCATTTCCAGTATGTTGTCGCGTGATCGGCGCTCTTTGATTTACTTCGTTCCACGGGTTTAAATGGAGCGAAAAGGACCCGGACATCGAATGCGCATATATCGTGTCACTAGAAAGTACCACAGGTATCCTCATCTTCTATCTTAAGCTGTCTACAGATCAAGACTCTTCACCATGGCTGCTGCAGTCGCGTCTTTGTTTGGCTACAAGCCCACCCCAAACGCAAAACTCCCAGATGAACCGCCTAAAGCTCTTCCAGCGTCTTGGTATCGTGCCCCAGAAATGTACGAGCTAGAGCGACGAGCTATCTTTTCTAAGAAGTGGATCCTAATCACCCACAAGTTGCGCTTCGCAAAACCCGGCGACTTCCTTCGGTTTGAAGAAGCAGGATTCTCTTTTGTGCTGTGTCTTGACCGACAAGGAAACTTGAACGGCTTCCACAATATCTGCCGTCATCGCGCCTTCCCGCTCATCTCGGAGGATCAGGGCAATGCGAAAATCCTGTCTTGCAAATATCACGGATGGTCATATGGTCTCAATGGAAAATTGGCCAAGGCCCCAAAGTTCGATGACGTCCCGGGGTTCAAAAAGGAGAACCAAAGCCTGTATCCCGTTCATGTGCATACTGATGCCTTGGGCTTCATCTGGGTCAATCTGGACTCGTCACCGAATCCCGTCCCCTGGGAAGAAGACTTTAAGGGTGTCGACACACAAGAGCGGTTCAAACGATTTGATTTCAGCCAGTACAAATTCGACCATACCTGGAATATGAATGGCAACTATAATTGGAAGACACTCGCCGATAACTATAACGAATGCTATCACTGCACCGTTGCGCATCCTGACGTGGCGAATTTGGCCGATCTGTCATATTACTACACAATTTCCACTCCAGGACACATCCAACACTACTCTCGACCGAAGGAAGACAAAAAGGATGATGATATCCAGAATGCGAGTACATACTATTTTCCAAACGCTTGCATGACGGTCTCGTGAGTTTATTCAAGTCTAGTGCTCCCCCTTAAAATATTATCTATTAACATACGTTGGCCTTTCAGACCCCATTTCTTCTACATGATGCGATGCGTCCCAACTTCCGCAGGCACCTGCTCCATGGAATACGAGGTCTATCGGCATAACGAGGCCTCGGACTACGACTTCGAGTACATTGATTCATTCTTCAAGAGAGTTCTCGATGAGGACAAATATCTCTGCAATGCTGCTCAGAAAAACCTGAATGCCGGTGTCTTTGTAAATGGTCAACTTCACCCCCGTCTGGAGAGCGCTCCACTTTTTCTTCCAGAATACTGTCCGAAATCTGCTAAGGAGTCATCGCGACGAGGAAAGGAAAGATGGCAGGGAGATTTGGCCAGCCCGGCAACATTCGGCCGGTGACGCTACGGCTGAGGACATTGCTTTTTGCTCAGGATTGGCATGCTCTGGGGAGGGCTCCGGCGAACTGGAATGGTAATGCCGATGTTTCATACTATAATTCTTATCTTCGATACCTTTAGCTAGATACTTTTTGTTTTTCGAATTAATTCATATCAATTTCTAGCCTCAATACCAACATTTGCCCCTCCTAATTTAGATCCGAAACACTCTCGTGGTCTAGCCTGTGAAGTATATAGCTCGACATGACCACGCTGTCAGATTGTGAGACTCTTCACAGTAGTAATCATTTCTCAACTCCACGACTCTTGGAGTTATGTCATCACTTTCCGCTTGTGGGTATACTTTCCCTGCGTGGGTCATGTCGTGGATGCGAGTGGATCATCTCCGCGTGTTATCGGGCGAGGTACAATTCACGGCTCGTAACCCGATAACCCCGCGCACCTTGGAATACTTGCCAAACCAGCGAACCATCTCTCTGTCTAGATCTTTTGCTTTCCCGGCACTCGGTATGAATAATCGTGTCAGTAAGAGATCGCATCAGGCCTGTGAAAACTGTCGGTGAGTGAGAGCCGCGATCGCCATGTTGCCGGGGACTGCTTCCTGATTGCCAGCAGCCGAAAGAAGACGCGATGCCCCGGAGAGCGACCAGCATGTTCCACGTGCACTCGTCTGCAACAAAAGTGCCAGTATAGTAGAAGCTACGAGGGCTTGGAAAGATCCCTCGAGGGCGATCGGGTCTTGGTACGTTTTATGTTGGAAGATAGGGACGGAAAGCGCTAATTGATATCAGGAAGACAGATTGCAGCAACTGGAGGAAAAAATGGAATTAATACTTGAAGCTCCAGCGTGAGAAACACCGTCCCTTTTAACCATGGCTACATTTCTGACTACATTAGGTCCTTGCGTCAAGTTGGCACCCCCAAATCACGATCTCGTGGGTTTCAAAGCCGTGAGAATACATTGGATTCGAGTGACTTTCAAGAGACCCCCCTTGCGCGGAAAATACCCAGTGATGAGGCAGCTCTTCAAGCCGATCATAGGCTGCCCGTTTCAATGCCAGCAAAAAACATTGTGACCGAGGGTATTGCACTCTATTTTCAGTACTGCCACAAGCAACCGCTGTGGCTATTTGACCCGGAGGACTTGGCTGTTCCAGAAGATTGCCGCAAAGAGGTAGTGTTCGGCATACTCAGTCTCTCGCTTTGTTACTCAGACAATCCCGCTCTTGAGGGGAGAACGGACCAGATGTGCCGGCAATATGCCGAGGCTGCTCGCAGCTATGCCATGCTTCGTATAGCTCAAGGCAAGGTAAACCTCTCTACTTTGCAAAGTTTCTGCTTGATTGCAATGGCTGAATACATCGGTAAGAGCTATTTTTGCTAGCTGACTTGTACCCTCGGGAGCTGCTAACCATATCTCCAGCCAATGACACTCATCTTGCAAGGCTTCATATTGGCCTTGCTACAAATCTTGCAAAGTGTGCAGGGATAGATATCGAATTGCACGAGGGCAGATCTACCCCAGAGCTGGAAGAAAGGCGAAGAGTCTTCTGGAGCATTCATCTTCTGAACCAGCAGTACGCCCCTCACAGTATGCAATTAAATATGCTGCGAGACATTCAGAAGCCGAGATATCTGGCTGCCACGGCTGATTCTTCACGGGAGATGGGACTGAAGCCACCTCAAACCCCGCAAGAGAATGGCGCTCTCACATCGAGAGGTGGGATTTGGGTTTATATGGTGCAATTGTCGACTTTATGGAGTGAAGTGCAGCACTACGTCTCACACTGTGCCAGTGGAGACATGACGCCGCCATGGTCAATCGACTCTGGCTATTCTATCATTGGGGCTCACCTGATGGATCTTGAAACTAGTTTCCCTACAGCCCATCGATATGATTCAGCCAGATTCCAAGAGCAGTCTCGCGCAGAACTGAATCGCGATCGCGGATACTGGAGCCCCTGGCTATATCTCCAGTTCACCCATCATGCCGTGCACAGTGTCCTCAATCACCCTTTTCTCTACTCTTGGCGACCCCAGCAATCTGCCCGGCTCGCGGTGCCCAACACGTTTTGGAAAACGTCATCGGAGTTGGCTCTTATCCATACGAGTTGGACGGTTCGATTGATAGAAATGGTCGCTGATAAAGAGTATCAACTGTCTGACCCATTTCTTGGTCACGCGGTAGCGATTGCAGCGACTATTCACCTTTATTACTGCCGTGCTGCCGATCCAGCTCTCAGAGAATCTGCTCAAAAGAAACTTGACACATGTACAAGGTTCTTGAGTGACTTGGCGAGGAAATGGCCCCGACTTCAGTCACTAGTAAGTTTGCCCCAACCACGGCATTTTTTCATCTTCCTAACACATATAAGTATCAAAAAATACAGAGGCTCATCGAGTCTGCATTTGCTGTCAGCCCATATTCAACTCATAGCCGACTGCCCCGAAGAACACTTTCCATCGATACAGCCTTGATGTGGGACATTCTTTGTCACAAGTCTCCTAAAACCCCATTCGATCCTCCAGGGGAGGGCCTCTTTGAAGCATCATTCTTGCAACCTCATGATAACATCCACTCAGATCAGTTGACGGTTGAGACCGAGATATTTCACGGTTCTGTCGCGGCGGTGGACATGTCTGACGGAGGCCAAGCGCTGCCGCCATATTCCAGCACATTGCGCTATCTTGCTTTGTCAGAGAGCGAAAACCAAGGGCCTTGGCCTCGAAACTCTACTTTGTCAATCAACAGTGGCTCGGATGGAGTACCGCTACAACGGGAGCCATTGGCGTGGGCGGCATCGGGATTCCCTGGTGATGTGTCTTTCATGGACGTCACGCACGACCCATTTTTCCAATTCCAAGATCACGAAAACCCATATCGAGGAATATGGGAGATCGGAAATCTGTGAACAACTTTTCAAAATTCTGGGCCATTGAAATTATTCGGCGAGCCTTGAATTGGCAATTCTTTCCACTGTAGATTTACTCTGAGCAGGCGTTAAATGGAGTTTGAATACTTGAGTGTAGAACGTGGACCGTTACAATTGGTTTCAAACCAGGAGCTTTAGAGCAACTAAACCTTGATGAAACGGCAATTATTTCAACCGCTTTCTCCCGTTTCATTCTGTATGGAGATTTGTGTGTTCTGCAACGTGTGTCTTGTGCAGCGGATTTCAATTACTGTGATTTGGCATGATCAATAGCTTTCTTACAATACCAGAGTCTGTGCATGCCACGACGACCGTGAGAATGGCCAAGGATATCCCCGCAAGGATAAATAGATCACGCGGGCAGATTCCTTCTTTGTCGCTACGGACGCGGGGGCGAAGCCGACGGAGACATTCAGTAATGCTCAACGATCTTCTCTTACAGTACATTAAGAAGACGGATATCCACATTGTCTTTCACGCTTTGCTGCTAGGCCCGTACTGAAACTTTTGTGATCGCTCGTAAAGGGAATTTGTGAGCAATAATAACTCACGACTATGCTAAACAAGTCCTGTCACATTCCCAGTTTCGAGATTTTCGCTCCATGTCAATGGCTCAATGGCCGTACAATCGAGATAATGGAAGTGCATATTGGAAATCCAATATCTGCCTCGCGGGTTTCAACGTCAGGCCACAGTTCAGTCAAGCTTTTTCCGCGCTACCCTTGGGTCTAAGTATATTTTCAACCCAGTCCGGGATGGTTAGGCTGAGTTTCTTTATCGACACTTTAGGCAAATCTGCATCTAACTCCACTAATGGGCATTTCCACGCATCTACTACTCGTTGGTCCGGTCGATAGATGATTGAAGAAACCATTCAGTCTCCCAGTCTGAGCCGTGAGGTTTGAACACAAATCGTAACATAGGAGAATGGGCGAGACGATATCGCATTGACCTCAAACGAGGCATATTACGAGCTGCATGGGCCAGGGAAATGACTAACCTGTGAAAATGTGCAGGATCGAGATTCGGTCGGTCTACACTGCCTTCCTCGTAGGTTATGAGAAAGGCAGTCGTTATCTGAGATTGAAACATTCAATCCAACCATCATTTCTTTCCAAGGGCTCTCTTCCTGGTTAGAGAAATTGAATACCCTTATGCTATGCGGCATTGTCATGAGACCATCAGCGACAGCTACCGAAATATTATCAAGTGGGCTCTTCAAGCTAATGTAGCCCCGTTCCACAGAGGCATCCCTCTTACCTTGGCGCCTTGCTTGAATGTATTCAAGATGATCCGGACGAATGTACTCATCTAGATCGAACACCATCTCAGTAATCGTCGTGCAGTGTTGGACAATTGGCATGACGGATCCAGCCCAAATCTGATGAGAGGAGACCTCGCCATTAAAGGAAAGACGATCAATACATGAGACATCGGGAAGAAGGGAGGCACCATTCCCTAAGAACTTTGCCCGGTACACAGGAACAGCCTTCGTTCTCCCTTCAGTAAAGTCGTAACGATAGTCGATGGCGATGCTAAAATTATACGTATGAGGCTCTTTTCCTGCTTCGCGACCTAAAAGCCTAAACTCCACTGAAAGACCTTGCTAGAAAAGTCAATGATTGCCGACTGAAAGGCCACGTCATCATTATGGCGTACATCGTTCTCGATGCTGCAAGCCTCTTTTTTTTTGCGGGTTTGCCAATCTGGAAGGTTGATTGGGACAACAATATGGTATCTGAGGTGACGAATCAGAGCTCGTCGTACCAGTCGATTCCCGGACGTCACTTCCTGAAAATGACTTAGTGACATTCCCCTTTCATAGCTTTCTTTGCTGACGCCATCGGCGCTGAAGACATGCATCGGCTCAGACTAAAGGAGGGCTCAAAGCCGGCCTGCCATTGACGGCATACTGTAGTACACGGGATCAGAGAGGCGCCCGTTTCTTGCAGATAAGCCGCGATCAAATGTAGTATCTCTTGCGGAAGATCCGTCACCATCTCGGGATGAGGAAGGCAGGTTACCTCTCCTGTGGTCAATCCTGGAAGATTGATGGGTAAGCTAACGGACCTGGAATCGGGAGTTTGCTCAGGTTCATAACTGGGTGGGGCCGCCCCATCCAGCACTAAGACCTGGAATAACGATTAGCCTAGCTGCATCCATGTAGGAGGCCTTTCGCCAACGATGGGCGGGACTCGCAATTTGAGTCTTATTTGCAATTGATTGTACTTGACATGCCCTTTGCCTGAGTCGAGAGAAGATACAGAGAACGAGACACCCAATACGCATATTTGCCAGCCGTGCTAGGTTTACGCCACGAGAGAAGCTAGAATATGCGGGCATAAATCAAGGACGTTTCATGGTGGAGAGACTGTTCAAGTAAGAAGGACAAATCTAAGTTTTGGTAAGTAAAGTGATTACTATTGAAGACGCGTCGGCGTCGGCTGGTCTTCAAGCAGATCCGCTCATGTGACCGGGGAATCGGGAGATGCCGACGGCCCGTAAAAGCTACCCCGGATTCCCCCATACTTGACTTGCGATCAATACTGGTTCACAATGACCCCACCGTTCTCAAGGCATAGCGGGGCTTCCATGCCCCTTTCATTGAGCATGGAACCGATGGCATAACCATGCGGTTGCATTGTATCCAGGAAGCAGTGCTTGATGGTGAACGAGCCAGATCAATAGTTTGGAAGATAGACGTATTTACAAACGCAATTCTATTGACATCTGGAAAATTTCTCATCCACCGCTGTTGGTTATTATCACTCAGTAGCCGCTCTTCATCCATGTTTTCTATTGTCCCTGCTAGCATTTGTTCTTTTTTTCTCCCCTGCTGCGCCGACCTTCTGTGCTCTGGACCGGGTCTCTGAACACTACCAAGGAGTTCCTTCTCTTTCGTATTTTGGGGCGATGGGACTCTTGTGCCTACCAATGTCCGAGAACCAAATTCCATGATAAAATGCAAGCAGAAATTAACGGTGGTTGTCTCTCTGTATCGTTTGGGGTCCTGGCGCTGACACCAGCACTCCGCGGGGGTTTCTACTATGGTCCAGGGGCTCTGTTACGTGAACCCACATTATCCGATTTTTGGTTAGCCGACCATTAGTGTCGAGTCTTGATTCCTGAGAAGTGCTTCTGGCGATCCTCTGACCCAGGGGACAGACGTTTTTATTTAAACGTGTGTTCCATTCTCGGCCGGTCAGGCAATGATGTTAAAACTGTCTAACCAATTCAACGGAGATCCACAGGTGGACGGTATCTCACTTGTGACGGCTCTGGCTTAATTACCCGATGCAACGATAGTCCCATTCAACCTTTGATCTATCACAATTCGATTGTTAAATATTGATTTGTCCAGCCTTGTTTTTCCATCTATATTTCGCTTCCGTAAAGTCACACCCTCGTGACGTATGCTCAAAAAAACAAAAAGGAGCTGCTACTAGACACCAGCATTCTACTATACTAGCCATTTGACCCTTTGACTATTAGTCAATGTACTTTGGAAGAGACTTGATCACACCATCGCGCGAAATTTCCTCCAATGCGGTGGTGATAGTGTCGAGGAAGCGTTTGTCGCTACGCAGGTCATCACCGAATAGGCTCTTGATGCTGAGCAATTCCATAGGGTTTGTACCGCCAGCACGAGCCTTGGTCTGAATCTCCTCAAGCATGGGGTCCTGGACTTCAAACTTGTTACCGTTGTCGTCAACGCCGTTGATATAGTGGAACCAAGCGGCCGCGGTGAAACAGAGGCGACGGAACGGACCAGTGGCCCAAATGGCTTCAGCAATAGTGGGCATAATGAATTGAGGAATTTTTCCAGTTCCACCGCCGCAAATACGGGCAGCTGGTCCATAATCGGGGGGTTGGAGAAACGTTCCACGAGTGTCTCGCAGTATTTATCGGTATCGTGTCCAGAGATTTCGGGGAGAGTAGGCTTGACTTCCTCCTGCATCATCTGCCAGACAAACTTCCTGAATAATGGATTCTCCATCACTTCATGGACGTACTTATAGCCTGCAAGTTGGCCACCATAGGCAATGATGGCGTGGCTACCGTTGAGCAGACGTAGCTTATGCTTCTCAAATTCCTCGACGTTTTGGAGATTCTTAACAATCTGTACTCCGACCTTTTCGAAAGGTGGACGACCATCACAGAAATGGTCCTCGATTACCCATTGCATGAATGGCTCTGTGACAATCGGCCAGGAGTCCTCAATGCCAAAATCCTTCGCGAGGCCTACTTTATCGGCCGCGGATGTTTGAGGGGTAATACGATCGACCATAGCGTTAGGGAAGTGGCCATTTGTGTTGATCCACTCTGCAAGCTTAGGGTCCCGTAAACGGGCAAAGGAGACAAGCATACGGCGTGTGATAGCGCCATTTCCTTGCATGTTGTCGCAGGAGACGACCGTGAAGGGTTTGAGTCCCTGTTGGTGGCGCCGTGCCATGCCGTGATAGAGGAAGCCGAAGGTAGTCTTAGGTTCGTTGGCAGGGTTGAGGTCATGCTGAATATCAGGGTCCTCACTCTGTAGCTCGTGGGTGTTCTCGTTGTAGTAGTAACCGCTTTCGGTGATGGTAAGCGACACGATATGGGTGTCGGGGTGTGCCATCTTAGCAATCACAGCCTCGCGGTTGTCAGGGGCAAATAGGTATGAATTGATACTGCCCATGACCTTGGCAACGCTACCTTGAGCGGAACGCTCGACGATGGTGTAGAGATGGTCCTGCGAACCCAAAGCGTCTCGCATTGCAGCGTCGAAGGGCTGCAAGCCAACACCACAGATTGCATAGTCGGTCACTCCATGCTTCTGCATAAGCTCGTTGACATAGACAGCTAGGTGAGCTCTGTGGAAGCCACCCACGCCAACGTGAACGATACCCTCCTTGACGGCGTTACCACGCGAAAAGCTAGGGATCTCAATCGGTGCGGCACCTGCGGCGGTGGCTGCCGCAGTAAGTTTGGGCAGATTCTGGGTGTTGAGCTTCAAGGGTCCCATTGTGCAAGATGAATGGATTGAAGAGGAGATGAGGGGAAAGAGAGTGCGCAGGTAGAAATAAAATACTCAACGGAAGCAGCTCTACTACGTAGGTTACCGCCACCTGTGGGCGGCAAAGGCCCCGCCGCTTTGGGCAAAAACGGGGACCCGCCCACTTGGTGTCGTGGGATGTAGTGGGGGAGCCCTCGGCATCCTAACGAATTAAATAGGTGCTCCGGGGTGTTCCCGGCCCGACCGAAAAAGGAGATCCCGTGGAGCTTTGTTCCCGCATTATCACTGCCGTTGTGTCCTTGTGGCACAAAAGGCATCCAACATCACGTGTCTCGACTGAGCTCAAGCTTTCAAAGCTCGTTTTTTCTTTTGTCTGGTAAAAAAATCATTCATCATTATCGATGTAAATCATACTTGATAGCATGCATATCTCTGATCCTTGAAGCGGACTATAGTCCAAGGGGCTTCTTGCATTATCTTATTTCACATTCATTGAGCAACAGTGTGAGGAATTGTCTTCACACGCTCCGAAGTTACCTCCACGTTGCGAATGACAGTCTTCTCACATTTCGACCTGCTCGCTGGTAACCGCAACCTTCAGATCCTCAACATTTTCTACACCAGCGAGGCCAAGGCTCTCATTGATGCGTTGCATACGTTGGCGATCAGCTTCGGCAATACTTGCCTCAGATCCACCGAAGAACACATCCAGCTCCTCAAGAGTCTTATCCTTGGTTTCAGGGGCGAACCACCAGATGAAAAGACCTCCGAGACCACTGAAGATAGCGAAGAAAATGTATGTGCCATACTTCATTGAGTTCAGCATATCCTTGGTCGTCAAGCCGATAATGAAATTGAAGAGCCAATTAGTTGAAGCGACAATTGCGACGCCTTTAGAACGTTGACTGTTCGGGAAGATTTCTTGAGTCAAGACCCACGCCACCGGACCTAGAATTGGAAGGTTAGCCAAGAAATACGAGAGATTAAAAAGAGGACCGTGCATACCCCAAGAGTAGGCAAAGTTAACAGCAAAGAGCCAGATGAAAACGATAGCAACCCAACCCTGGCCTTTGTCGAGTCCCTGATTCAGGTCCCACTTCGGCTTGTATATACCTTCCACCGTAGCGACAACGATATGGCAAAGGAACATGCCAATCGCGCCTACGATCAAGAAGGTCTTCCTGCCAAACTTGTCAAGGAAGAGAACCGCTGGTAGGGTGAAGATGATTTGTAGGATGCCAGTCACACCTGTCGCTAGAAGGGTTTGCTTTGTGGAGCTAAAGCCGAAACTAGCGAAGATTTGCGGCGCATAGTAAAGGACCGCATTGATACCGGTGAACTGTTGGCAAATCATAGTACCGCATCCGAGGAATAGACGCTTGAGCATATTAGGGGCAAACAATGCTTTCCAAGGAGCTAAAGTACCGCCAGCACCAATAGCCTCGCTTTCGGTCTCTTCGTCGAACATAACAGCTGCCTTAATCTCGAGGAACTCAGCGCGAACCAGTGGATTAGTAGCAGGGAGACGGCGAAGCTTAGAGAGGGAAGCGAGAGCATCTTCATCGCGATGCTTCATCATCAACCAACGAGGCGAGAATGGGAACCAAAACATGCCGAAGAACAGAATCCAAGCAGGTATGATCTGCAGTGCTAGAGGCAGGCGCCAGGCAATAGTCTTCTGTCCAAGGCAGGTGTGGCCATGAGTCAGGGCAGCGTTATACGTGCCGTCGGTGAGATAAGGATTGGAGATTCCTTCGGGATTACAGGTGGTCCCGCCAACATATTGCATACCATAATCGAGCCAGAAGGAAATAGCCGTCCCGATCGTAATAGACAACTGCTGTAAGGAGACCAGAGATCCTCGCAACTCCGGAGGGGCAATCTCAGCCTGGTAAAGTGGGATGACCATGCTGAACATACCAATCCCCACACCACCGATAACGCGACCGGCGAAGAAGTAGGCAGGGGTCTGAGCACCGGCCTGTAAGCCAGTGCCTAGGGTGAAGATGAGAACAGCACTCATCATAGCATACTTTCGAGAGATGCGGTCGGCAAGAATACCATTGATCAGAGCACCTGCCCAGGCCCCCAGCTCAAGGGCAGACACCAGCCAGCCCTGGATGGTGGATCCTGTAAATGTCGGAAAGTGATTTTGGAAGTTCTCCATGACAAGAATAGGACCCATCACTCCTTGGTCGTAACCGTACATGATACATCCCAGAGAGGCAAAACAGCAGGTCAAGAAAACGAAAGGGTTCTTGAGAAGACCCACGATACCATGGGCCTTCTCCGCGTTGGCACGGCCAACGACAGACTGGCTGGCCACCATCTTGGATTCGCAGGAGGTGGAAAGCACTGGAGTAGAAAGTAGTGGGAAAGAGGATTTGGACCAGCACACGGAAGCTGTGCACAGTGGCAGACCCGCACCATTATATACTGTAGCTGTCTCGGCAAAGGTCTCCGCATGTTTTCTCTTTCTGGGGTCACTTCGGCGCTTCCTAGGGTTAGCCGGTCTGGGGATCCTGACCCAGGCCTCTTAGAGGCCCCCTCATGCCCATAGCACCAAATTGACAATCAATAGAGCCCTATTGGATAGCACAGGCTGCATGATTCTATTTGCTAAATGGAGCAGAAGCTAAAGGCTGGGGATGCAGTTGGCTAGAACCGGGGTAGATACTATGTCGGAAATCCCGTGTGCTCTTGTAAGCGAAACAAACCCAGCCTTTGTGGGGCAGCGAGCGCCATCCAGCCTTTGTGGCGGAAGAAAAGCACTGTGCCATGAAACCTCGGCGTTCGATGGGCGCATGGGCTCATCTTCCTGATATCCTGGCGAACAGGCCCCCTCATCTGGTGATGCTCATCGATTGGATGGATCATGGGGATTTCCTCCTCGGTCAGCTTTCGAAAATCCTACCCCAGGGCTCATGCTCCGTAATTGCTTAGTGCTTACACCCAGCTGCGCTGAAATGGTTACTCTCAGAGCCTACTTGATGTTACCTTTTGTCCGATATTTGGCCGATGCAAACCCAGGCCCAACGTTCATGCCAAGTTCCTTTCTATCGCCGAATTGTGCCGCCACTTGAAGTGAAAGTCAGTCATCCCGTACAATCGCAGTGTGAGCGATAAGGAATTCAGGTAGAGATTTGGGATGCATCTTCAACTTGGCGCTCGAGAACGGTCACACCGACAAGAAGAGCAAGTTCAATTTGCGATAGCGTGGGTTGACAGTGGGGCCGGAAAGGGGCTGACATTAACGGGGAAAACTTCATTTGAGTTCTCCTCGATCCAGCTGCTCCGAGATCTGGGGTAGTAAGCGAGGCCACGCTTACGGTGCGAATCAACCTTGGGCCTCAGCGCACTCATCAGCGGAGCAGCTCGAGTGGAGGGGTGCATCTATTCACTCGGTCTCCATAATTGATTTCCACGGCCATCGGGGAACGAATACGCAGTTGGCATAAGAGGTAATGGGAGGGATCGACATCCCCGTGGGGATAGAAACCCGGGGATAGTTCGTTTTCGTAAACGAAGTGCCACTTGGGCGCTCGGTGAGCCGAGTCAAACGGTCGGCAAGGCCAGCGAAGAGCCCAGAGACTGGATTTCCTCGGCTTCACTCGTGGAGAACACTAAGGTGACCACTCTACTATCCTGCCGTTGTAGTCGAATGGCCGCACGGTCGCCGTGATCTTGATATTTCTTCTTTTTTTCATTTATTTCATTGGATTACAGTCTGTCTCTTTCCTTGTTCTCCTTGTCCCGTGTTCACTTGTCCGCTCATTCTACGATCTTACACGTGAAGGCGCATTCAGTCGAGGAAAGCGTGATAATCTGTTGACCCCAAGGATAGGCAGGATTGCGCCATACGTCGCCCAGAGTCTTGGCCTCCGGCATCTAGTACGGATGTTGTGACGGGTTTAGATGCCCGGCAGCCATTTTGTTGGCCTCTTCTCCGAGATCCTTAATTTCAAGGCATCGTGTGCACTGGCGTGTGAAGGAAGACAGGAAGTCCGAGCACGAATTCGGAGATTTGCATTCCACTGGCGTTCCTTCGGATAATACGGCAACTCTATCTCCGACGCTCCGACGCTAGATCGCGGGACACAAGACCTAGCGTACACGAGGATCTGAGCTTGGTCTCGCTAAGCTTTGTTGGGCGTTCGGTCAGGAGCGTATGCGGGGAAGTCCTCCGCAGACTGAACCCGGTCAGAAAACAAGGGCTTCAAGAAATTGGGAACGACTTACCTTCCTCTTAGTTATTGTCTGGATGTTCTTATCTGCAGGGGAAGGGATTTGGCTCACTGCAGGTTATGTGAACGCTATACACGCTTGTTCCTCTTGACGGAAGCTCCCCCTTGAAACAGATGATCACTTGGTTAGAAGCGTCCAATGAGACGACCCTTGGTTTCTCGTACTTGTACTTAGGTTCAGCTAGCAGGTCGATTCTCCTGTCTCGGTCATAGATGAGAAGGGAAAATGAAGAGCCTTCGTGGTGTGGCTATATTCAAGCGAATTGCGCTGGAGTGCTTGTGTATATATATATCCCAGAGCTTTTGCCAAAGCCAAGCGCTTGCTTGGTATGCCAAGTTGATATCGATCTGACGACTGAAAATCGCAGAGTTCAGTCGCTCTCCGATGGAAAATTCATTAGCCAGCGTAACAACGAGACTCGAATACAGATTGGGTGCATTTTAGCAAAACTGGCGGCATTGAACTCTTTTCGGAGCGTGGCAAATGTGGCCAATGTGGCAAATTTGACATAATTAGTGTACAAAAAATCATAAAGTGGAGCATGAGCACGGTATAGTTAGGTCATAACTTTTCTCCGCGCCCGGAACCTTGTAACTCTTCACACACTCCCCTTCAAGACTCAGTCATCATGACCAAGTCCAAAGCTGCGAAGCGCAAGCGTAATGCGCAGATCGACCTTCCACAAAAACAGCCCAAGGCCGGTGTACTTACGCCTCCTCCTGATGGCGAGCCCAAGCACCTCCGGACGCTCGTTGCGGACGAGGAACTTGACATTACCATCGAGACACTGACAGCGCTCGCACAATACCCCGGCCTGACCAAGTCCAAAGCATGCAAGGACCTCCGAGTTGCAGTCTATGACTTTCGTCAGGCCTGCACGACAGGGTTGAATACTGCTGGTACGCGGATCATCCCAATTGATTGATCGTAGCTAAACGTTCGACAGAGGGCGCCAATTTGACAGCTCGAATCACCGGTGCTCTGGCAGACGAGAAGTATACTGACGCCAAAGTCCTGCTCGCTGAAATGAGAATCCGGGGTGAGCAACCGAAGATCGGAGCCTTGTGTCGATGGGTGCGAGACTTGGACGTTGTCAGCGGCCTTTCGACGCAGCCCGCGTTTGATCGCAAAGAAAAGAACACTCAACTCCTTTCGGTCCTCGATGCCATCCTTCGCGTCAGCACTCCGATCGACACCAGTCCGACCGCCGTCACCTCCACATCAACGTCTTCCATCGCCTTCCAGTCTATCTGGGATCTCCGCCCCTCGACGGCACCGCTGGAGGTCTACGCGTCAGTCCTCGACAGGTCAATTTTAGAAGAGGCACCGAAAGATCCCTCGGCCATCCGTATTCTAGAAAAGACCCCTGCCTCTCTACGCAAACCTCCGAACCACCATGACGCGATTCTGTACACCACCGCCCCAAATGCCGTTCCGTTATCCCCTGTCAGCCCGTCCATCACATACCACCCACATCCTGCCGTCCCAGGCCTTGGCCTCGCTATGAATGTCCTCTCCCCGACCGAGTGCAGGGCAATCATTGCCGCCGGCGAATCCGTCAATTTCCTACCCGATGCTCCCCTTCGCGAAGATGGAGATATTAGCATCCTCGCCCACAACTTCTACTGGGTCATTGATACCGCCTTCCATGATATTCTTTGGGCACGCATCTCCCCTTACGTTCCGCCTTCGATCAACGGGCGGATGGTTCGAGGCATCAACCGGCGTTTCCGCGTCTACCGATACGTCCCTGGTGCCGAGTACCGGTGCCACATCGACGGAGCCTGGCCGCCTTCTGGCATCCTCCCTGATGGTACTTATGTATACGACTCCTCCCCAAAAGAAAAGAAGCAGAGTTCCATGTATACCTTCTTACTCTATTTGAATGATGAATTCGAGGGCGGAGAGACGACATTCTTCATGCCGGCCGCTCGAGAGGGCATACTCAATGCATACCCGGTGCGACCGGTGATGGGAGCTGTTGCGATCTTTCCGCACGGAGAGGCGAACGGGGCTTTGCTCCATGAAGGGACTGGAGTTCGAGCAGGCGCAAAATATATCATCCGGACGGACGTAGAGTACGACGTCGATCCTAGTAATTAACGTTTAAAATGATTAATGACACGAGTATTATGGACTTTGTCCCGGACATGGACAAGGGCAGTTGGAAAAGCCCGGAGTTTTATTCATATATTCACGCATCATACCTCACGCTGGGTCTTGGAGCGTAGCAGGCCTACCCAAGAAGACCTCCCTCTTCATTACTGAGATCTGTCGCAAGGGTTCCTGAGACAAAGAATAGTGAATAGTGAATAGTGTACTTGGCTCCCCGCTAGATTGCCCTGGTCGACCGTCCGGACCGCGCCGAGGCTCACAGTAGTCTCAATCGAGGCCAACATGCCTGTGTGGCTAAGTAGCAAAATTTTCGGTAACCTGACGACCTCCTACACAGACAATATCGAATGCTGTCCATCCTTTGCCCCCTTCCAGCATTCCCCAACCCCACGCTTAGCTTCGGAATGTGTCCCCCCACTCATCAGTGCCCGAGTTCTGGCAGGGATGGTGCGAGCTGAGCCGGTCGCCCCGTGTCTTGGGTTGGCCTGGTTTCCACCTTCGTCATAGATTAGCATCCGGATCGCTCGAACAGAAAGCTCATATACCCAAATTATTGGACACGATCACGGACAATAGTGGAGTCGTGGGGGAGTTGGGAACGCGGGAAAGCATCCCCCCAATTGATCGAGCCATGATCAGAGGCCGGGCGTGGGGGTTCGCGGGGGTTCCGAGTCAAAGATAAAAGTCAGTTCGCCTCCCATTTCATGACCCAGATCAACAACATGTCCAAACCGAGTATCGTTCATGATGAGATGGGGATAGGGAACGAAGATGCTGGACCTCGAGTGCCGCTCACTGAGGAGGAGAGTAAGCGCATCTGTCGCAAGACAGACCGCACCATTCTTTTGGTGCTCGTCTGGGTCTATTTCCTGCAGATCCTGGATAAGACGGTGTTGGGATATGGTGCCACATTTGGTTTGCAGAAAGACATAGGATTGACAGGGAATCAATATTCCCTGGTGGGATCGATTGGCCCTATTGCTCAGCTTGCCTGGCAGCCCTTCTCCTCCGTCCTCATCGTCAAGGTGCCGCCCAAAATCCTCATGCCGATCTTGTGCCTAGGATGGGGAATTGCGCAAGCTTGCATGGCAGCGTGCCACAACTTCAACTCCCTCATGGCCGCACGCTTTTTTCTTGGTCTGTTCGAGGCTGGATGCCTGCCGCTCTTCGGTGTCATCACCAGCCAGTGGTACCGACGTGCTGAGCAGCCATTGCGCATCGCAGCGTGGTACAGCACCAACGGACTAGCCACCATCGTGGCGGCTGCCCTATCGTACGGTCTGGCCCACATCAAGTCTGACGTGCTATTCCCGTGGCAAATGTAAGTCTGCCCCCCTTCATCACCCAACTCTCATCGGGGACCCCCATCCTTGTCTGACTTGGCCGTGTAGTATATTCCTATTTGTGGGTCTTTTGACCATAATTTCGGCCCCGATCGTATACTGGCGCCTGGACAACGACGTAACGACTGCACGCTTCCTGACCGAGATCGAGAAGGCACAGGCCGTGGAGCGTTTACGCGCCAACCAAACCGGCACCGGTAACACTGAATTCAAATTCAATCATGTTCTCGAAGCAGCACTGGAGCCCAAGACTTATTTGTGGATCGGCATGGCCATGCTCCTCAATATCGGCGCCAGCGTGACCAACACCTTCGGCCCTCTCATACTCGGCGGTCTGGGCTACGACAAGTACAGAACGACGCTGCTGACCATGCCATTTGGTGCGCTACAATTTTTCATTATTCTCCTGGCCAGCTTTTTGGCTCGAACGGCACGGGTCAAAGGCGCCATTTTGGCCGCATTCATGCTTCCCGTGGTTGCAGGTCTTGCAATTCTCTATGCAGTCGCTCGGACCAAATCCGAGCAAAGTGCTCTTCTTGCGGGTTATTACTTGCTGTCATTCCTTTTCGGTGGTAACCCATTGGTCGTTACATGGATTATTGGTAACACGGCGGGGAGCACCAAAAAATCCGTCGCCATGAGTTTGTACAACGCGGCAAGCTCCGCTGGCAACATTGTGGGACCCCTGTTGTTTACTTCCAAGGATGCGCCCGGCTATCACCCTGGTCTACGTGCTTGCTTGGCTATTTTCAGCGCCATGACCGCTGTCGTATTTGTTCAATGGGCCAATCTGTGGTTCCTCAATCAACAACAGGCTCGTCGTCGAGTTCGCAACGGGAAAAGCGCCCGTATCATCGATCATTCGATGCAGAGCCACTTCCACGGTATAGAAGAATCCGTGGATGAGGCTGGACAAGACGTGGCTCATGCAGGGTCCAATACGGCCGAGGATCTCACGGACCGGGAGAACGATGAGTTCGTGTATATCTACTGAGGTGTGCCAACAATATGCCATTTTACACTTCAAATGACATCCATTAGCTCTACGATACCAATGTTTGATATAAGATACCCCGTAAGCTGTCTCACCTGATAAAGGGCGTAGATATGCAGCAGACTTGCTGGCTCGATCAAGGACTTATTTGGGAAAGCAGTGACAAAAAGAGCCCGAGTTCAACATTCACTGGACAGCCGACTTTAGATTATCGACTGCAAGGGTGTCCTAGGAATGTCCTCGTGGACCCACAGCCGCCTTGTCAGGTACTACGACTTGTCCCCTGCTCAGACTAGAGAACCAGCTCGCTGGGCACGACGCTCTGCATAGAACATTGCGATCTGAGCTGTTTCAGATACCATGAAAAGGCGATGCGGAGATGAGACTCAAGCTGATTGAAAATTTATTTGAAACGTGCAACCATTGTCTTGATCCATGCGCGCATCGCATTGCGTATGCGCCATGCTTATCGCCACACGTTTCTATGGTTATTGAGATCGCAATTCTCGAGAGCATGTGAACGAAGATTTGAACCAATACACATGCCCCAGCTCAATTTATCGTAAGGCGCTGGATTGAGATGGTCGCAGGTGGTGAAACATCGTGATTGACACCTGAGGGATGAGTCCTTCCGCGTTCTTTGTCGCGAACGTCTCGATTTATTGACTTCTTTTCGGCCCCAAAACTACACACTTGTTTAATCAGATACTCCAAATGAATCAAGCGCATAATGCTAAGATCTTCACCAGAAACATTTTTGCAGCAATGAGCTTCGCAGCAGCCAAGATGGAGCCGCCATCCTACAGATGAGGACGCGTTCCAATATCGCCCAGCATGACGCTTGAGTCATATCAAATCAAGCCACTAATTGCCTAGGACTGAATACATCTAACAACTACGATATCACAGGAAGGGGTTCTTCGGAGTCGGAGTCGGAATCGGCTGGCGTTGGGACATCAACCGGTCCAGTACGCAAATCCGCCGGTCCGGGCGGCCAAGCAGCCTCATGGTCATGGAATATAGATGCATCCAATGCAACGTCGAGCAAAATGGCCTGTGACTCCATGCAGGTACTTGCTGTGAAACTTGCTTTGTAGCTCAATAGTCATACCGTGATTCGTTTATTTTTGCCTCTGCAAGCGCGTGTATCGGAGTCGGATGTGGCTGACTGCAAAGACTGCTTGGTCTTGATCTGATCATTCAAATTAATGTCCGAGCTTTTGACAGCGTGAGCCTCGGTATATGGATACGTACTGCCCTTCACCGAACCTTCGACGAAGGATACACACATTGTCTGTTCGCCAATTCCCGGTCGACACTTGCTAGACCTTCATTGCAAACTGTCCGTCACACACCAGTAGCACGGGGCCGTTGACAGATCGTGGAACACTCAAGCACAATGACCGACGATCAGCGACTTGGCGCCGAGCTCATCGCCATCGTGGGCAGCGCATGCCGATTTCCAGGAGATGCAACTTCACCCGCCAAGCTCTGGGACCTGCTCAGGGAACCTCGAGATGTATTGACGGAGATACCCGAAAGTCGATTCAATCACAAAGCATTCTACCATCCAGATGGCTCACACCATGGAACCAGCAACGTCCGTCATTCCTATTTGTTGTCCGATGATCACCGTTTATTCGACGCGCAATTCTTCGGAACCAAACCGATCGAAGCAAATTCAATCGATCCCCAGCAAAGACTTCTGTTGGAGACGGTCTATGAGGGATTGGAATCTGCCGGCATCCCCATGGAGCGACTTCAAGGATCCGACACGGGCGTGTTTGTTGGACTAATGACAAATGACTATGCGGATCTCTTAGGCAGAGATATTCAGAACTTCCCAACATACTTTGCGTCTGGCACGGCAAGAAGTATCCTGTCAAACCGTGTTTCCTATTTCTTCGACTGGCATGGGCCGTCTATGACGATTGATACAGCTTGCTCCTCCAGTCTGATTGCGATGCATCAAGCTGTGCTAAGTCTGCGAAATGGTGAAAGCAAGGTGGCCGTGGCAGCAGGCACTAATTTGCTACTGGGACCCGAGCAGTACGTGGCCGAAGCAAGTTGAAAATGCTTTCCCCTACCGGTCGCTCACGGATGTGGGACAAGGACGCAGATGGGTACGCTCGTGGTGAAGGTATTGCTGCTGTCATCCTGAAACCTCTGAGCGCAGCACTTGCCGATGGGGATCAAATCGAATGTCTCATTCGTGAGACTGGGATCAACCAGGACGGGCGCACCAAGGGCATCACCATGCCGAGTCCAAGTGCTCAAGCAGATCTCATTCGGGCAACTTATAGTAGAGCAGGACTGGATTTGGCCAATCCGAGAGATCGTCCGCAATATTTTGAGGCCCATGGCACCGGTACGTTAACCATAACCTGCCAGAAAATGCGGTTGTCTTACCAAATCAGGAACTCCTGCCGGCGACCCAGTCGAGGCTCAAGCTATCAGCAATGCTTTCTTCGGACCAGCAGCCAATTATCGACGGGCCAGTCAAGAAACGCCCTTGTACGTTGGTTCGATCAAGACTGTCATTGGGCATACTGAAGGCACGGCTGGATTGGCTGCTGTGCTCAAAGCATCTTTGGCCTTGCAGCATGCCATCATTCCCCCCCAATCTTCTTCTGAAAGAACTTAATCCATCGGTGCGACCATTTTACAATGATCTCTTGATTGCAGAATCCGCAGAGAAATGGCCAGCCCTGCCAAGCCAGACACCACGTCGAGCTAGTGTCAACAGCTTTGGATTCGGAGGAGCCAACGCCCATGCGATCTTGGAAGCCTATGAAGATTTGCTCACCATTCATCTTTATGAAGATGAGAAAATTATGCTAATCCCTTTCAACTTTTCTGCCTCCACCGAAAAGTCGCTCCTCACGACTCTCGGGGCATATTCAGCATACCTCAAAGCCCAAGGCAATGTCAATCTCTACGACCTATCATGGACTTTGAACAGTCGCCGCTCTACATTGCCTTTCCGAGTATCAATATTCGCCTCTAGTCTCGCCGAGCTGACGACAAGACTGGACAAAGCGGCTAGTTCACCTTCGGAGCTCACGCCAGGAACGCAAACGAGGAGTATCAGAAAGCCCAAGCTACTTGGCATCTTCACTGGCCAGGGTGCTCAATGGGCCCGAATGGGAGCTGAGCTGCTGGAAAACTCTCCGTTAGCCGCTAAGTGTATCGCCCGTCTTGATTTGTCCCTTCAAGCACTCCCGGAAGATGATCGTCCCTCATGGTCCCTGAAGGATGAAATCCTCAAGAATTTAGACTCTTCTCGTATTGGCGAAGCTCTCTTCTCGCAAACACTTTGTACTGCAGTACAGATCATGCTCGTCGACCTTTTGCGTGTGGCAGGCATTTCCTTCACGGCTGTCGTTGGTCATTCATCCGGGGAGATTGCAGCGGCCTATGCTGCTGGTTATTTTTCTGCTGAGGATGCTATCAGGATAGCGTATTACCGAGGGTGGTCACTGCAGAATGCACCAGACCGTGCTGGGGTCAAGGGCGCAATGATGGCAGTCGGAACATCTCTTGAGGACGCCAAAGAACTTTGCAATATGCCGACACTGGAGGGTCGAATATGCGTTGCTGCCAGCAATTCTCCTGCAAGTGTTACGCTTTCTGGTGATGCTGACGCTATTGAGGAAGCCAAGACGATCTTTGAGGACGAGAAGAAGTTTAGGCGCTTGCTGAAAGTGGATAAAGCGTACCACTCCCACCATATGATTCCCTGTGCCTCTCCGTACATCGAAGCCATACAAAAATGTGGTATCATGATCCAGAGCCGGTCTGCGAGCAAGGCTCAATGGTTCTCCAGTGTTTACAGCAAGAACATCGATGACGTTCATGACAGCCTGACTGACACTTATTGGAGCAACAACATGATCAATCCTGTGATGTTTTCCCAGGCTGTGAGCTTTGCTGTTGCTGCCGCCGGGCCCTTCGACTTTGCTTTGGAAGTGGGACCTCACCCAGCGCTGAAAGGGCCTGCTTTGCAAACAATCCAGGAAATATCCGGCACTATGCCTCCTTACTCCGGAATGCTGAGTCGAGGTAAAAGCGACATCGAGACGTTTGCGTCTGCACTTGGCGCTTTGTGGATTTCACTCGGCGAGGATGCCGTTAACTTTGAAGCCTTTGAGAGCCAAGCGTCGCTGCATACTCGCAAGCCGAGACTTTTGAAAGGGCTTCCCGCTTACTCGTGGGACCATGATCGCATCTATTGGCATGAGTCTCGGATCTCAAGTACCTTCAGAGCTGGAAATAGCAATTTTCACCCTCTCTTGGGTGTTAAATGTCCCGATGGAACAGACAAAGAGCTGCGTTGGAGAAATTATTTAAACCCACGTGAAATTCCATGGCTTATGGGTCATCAAGTGCAAGGTCAAATGGTTTTCCCTGCTGCAGGATACGTTTCCGCAGCGACAGAAATGGTAGTAGACCGATACGGGCTGGATTCGATTAACCTGATTGATTTCCAAGATGTGATAATTGGTCAAGCTTTGGTCTTGGAAGAAGACACAGGAGTTGAAATTATCTTTGCTCTCACGATCACTCAGAATAACAGCAACACTTTGATGGGGTCATTCAATTGCTACTCCGATGCCAACAAAGGATCATCTTCATTGTCTCTCCATGCGTCCGCCCAGGTTCATATTCTTCTCGGTGTACCAGCACACGATGCACTGCCACCACCCACCAGAGACCTTCATTCATTTTTGGAACTCGACGCTGAGCGATTCTATAACTCCGTGACAGAGCTCGGATTTGGCTACACCGGGCCTTTTCAGGCACTTTCTGGGCTCAGCAGAAAAATGGACGAAGCTGCTGGTATGATTGCCGTACCAACCAATGACAGTGCTGAGGCTGCTTTGATCATCCATCCGGCTTCTTTGGATGCTGCCATCCAGTCCGTCATGCTGGCTTATTCTTTCCCTGGTGACGGACGCTTACGCAGTCTGTTCCTGCCTACTAAAATTAATCGCATCCGAATCAACCCATCCAGCTGCGTCGCATTCGCTCGACCAGATACAAACGTTCGGTTCTACTCCGCAGTTGCGAGCACCAAATTTGCAAGGCTGTCTGGTGATGTGAACATGTACTCTGCAGATGGACGCTACACAATGGTCCAGCTTCAAGGGCTCAATACAACTCCGCTAACTCCTCTGTCATCTGCGACCGATGTAACAATGTTCACCGAACTTACATGGGCCTATGAGGAGCCTACTGGAAGAAACATGTACTCTGACGATTGGTTCAAAGAGGACCTTTCGCAATCTCTGGATCTTGAGCGTGTTGCACATTTCTATCTGAGGAAACTACATTGTTCCTTCCAGCAGACGGATCATTCGACAATTGCATGGCACCACCAACACCTTCTTACGTACGCAAATCACTGCGTTTCACTTGTCGCCTCTGGAAATCACCCATTCGCACGACCTGAATGGGCTCATGATACCAAAGAAACGATTTCGGAGATTCTGAAAAGGTATATTGAGGGTCATTTGCTTCAATGAACTTTGTCGAGACTAATTTAATTTAGACAGCAAGATAGCATTGATGTCAAGTCCATGGCAGCTGTTGGCGACATTCTGCCTTCTGTTGTCCGAGGGCACAAAACCCTCCTTGATATTTTGATGAAGGACAACCTACTCTCGGACTTTTATTCCAACGCACTTGGAGCGCGGTCCTATTTGGATGAGTTGGCTCGGATCACCGGCCAAATCAGTAATCGCTATCCGCATATGAATCTTCTGGAAATAGGTGAGATGGGTGCAATTAGATCTTGCCCGTGAGATACTGACATCTTCTTGAAGGTGCGGGAGCTGGCGAGTCCACCGAAGCCGTGCTTCGTGAGATGGATACGGCATTTGCTTCTTACACATACACGGATTTAACGGACTCTATGTTCGACGTTGCTCGAGAGAAACTTGACGAGTACCAAGCGCGAATGGCTTTCAAAGTTCTCGACATTGAGGGAGACGTGGCTGAGCAAGGATTCCTTGAGGAGTCTTACGATGTTGTCATTGCCTCCTTGAGTCTGTATGCAACCAGCAATCTTGAAGCTACGCTTTGCAATGTTCGTCGATTGCTCAAACCGGGGGGGATATCTTATTCTACTGGAGTTGACTGACCCAAATGTGATGCGATTTGGCTTGGTTCTTGGTGGACTCAGCGGCTGGTGGCAAGGGCATCAAGAAGGGCGCGTCTTGTCACCCTGCATTTCAGTTGATGGGTGGAGCGAGCTCATGACTAAGAGCGGATTCTCCGGTGTCGATGCCTGTGTATCTCGTCACCCAGACTTACCCATACCTTTCTCAATAATGGTGACTCAAGCCGTGAACAGTCGCATCAATTTTTTGCGCAATCCTTTCCTACAAAATGAGCATGTTCTCTGGGTTGAACGACTCACCATCATCGGCGGAAAAACTGACCAGACCACTGCGATCATCACAGACATTATCAATGCAGTTGGTCCAAACTACAACACCATTTCTGTTTCTCCATCCCTCGACGACATTAACCCTGACGAGCTCCCAGTAATGGGGACTGTTCTCAGCTTGGCTGAGCTGGATGAGCATGCTTTTGTTTCCATGACGCCGGTAAAATTGAGGTCCCTCCAAGAATTATTCACAAAATGCAAGAATATACTCTGGGTGGGATATGGGGCCCAAGGAGATAATCCATTTGCGCAAATGGTCACGGGTGTGCAAAGAACCCTCGTCATGGAGATGAACCACCTGCGAATTCAGTCCCTTAACTTAGATACTCTTGATGATGCCCGGAGTGACTTGATTGCAACCAGGCTGCTTCAACTTCAGGCTGTCGACATTTGGAGCCAAGAGGGTCAAATGAACGACCTATTGTGGTACACGGAGCCAGAGATGGCCCTGAGAGATGGCAAGACACTCATCCCAAGATTCCGGCCGAACTTAGAGCAAAATGATCGGTATAACTCCTCGAAGCGGCTCATCCTCAAGTCAGTCGATCGAAAACAGTCTGTCGTCAACATCCAGAAGTCTGAGAGCGGCTACGAAGTTCTGGAGACAAGTCCTCCCAGCTCCTTCTCGTTTATGGACCAGTATGATATTGAAGTCACGAGTTCTCTACTTCGACCTGTCGAGATTACTGAAACTGTAAGGCTCTTCCTGGTGACTGGGAAGGACATTCGGGACGGTAGCCAAGTCATCGCACTATCTGAGACATTAAACTCCCGCATCCGAGTACCTCGTTCGTGGATGATCATAGTTGGAAAGTCCGCAGAAGAGGCAATTTGCTCGATGCTCAGCCTCTATGTTCATCTTTTGGCCCAGTCCATAGTGAAGAGGATTCCCCCAGGGAAGACGTTGGCCGTTCTGGATGCGGACTTTGCAATGGCGGCTGTTTTGACACAATACGCAAACCAGAGAGGTGTCAACTTAGTTCTGTTTACAACAAACGAGGGCGGACTCTCGTGGCCATGGGTCCATATACATCGCCATTCAACTCGTCGGGATTTGATCAACAAAGTCACAGACAGTATCGCTCTCTTGTTCAACGCCGGGGACGAAGAACTTGTCACTGTTGTCCTAAAAGAGGTCCTACCTAAGGCATGTCTCTTTGAAAATGAGAATACCATCACCGGAGAGACAGCCCGATTCTCGTCCATATCAGCGATGGAACAAGTGGTCTCGCAATTAGAAACAACTTGGTCCAGAGCTTACAGCGACCAGAAACCAATTAACATGCAAAGATATGGGAAGTTTAACTTGAAAGATCTCATTGAAGGCCAGCAGGAATCACTTCCGCAATGTTTGGTTTCTTGGGACAGCCCCCGTCTCCCTGTCCAGATTCTCCCGGCTACTAAGGTGGCTACTTTCGCCAAGGACAAGACATATTGGCTGGTTGGACTGACCGGGGGGCTTGGTCTCTCTTTATGCAAGTGGATGGCTCGTCAAGGCGCCCGATATATTGCTCTATCCAGCCGCAATCCAAAGATAGACGATGATTGGGTTCGAGGAATGGCGCGAAACGGCTGTACTGTGCGGATTTTCCAGAAGTGAGTCTTTTTCGCACCTATTTCGACCCTCATGTGATACTGCAAAGCCCTAACTATCTCAGTGATATCACGGACCGTGATTCTGTTTACAATACTCATCGCCAAATACTGCAAGCTATGCCTCCAATAGGTGGTGTTGCACAGGGAGCAATGGTTCTTCAAGATACGATGTTCCTTGATCTAGACGTCGATCGCTTCGACAAGCCGCTCAAGCCGAAGCTTGATGGCAGTCTCTTGTTAAATGAACTTTTCTCTGAGAATTCCTTGGATTTCATGATCTTCTTCTCTTCAATGGCTGCCATAACTGGGAACCCCGGACAGGTCGCCTACAACGCCGCGAACATGTTCATGGCGGGCCTGGCCGCTCAACGCCGCAAGCGGGGCCTGGTAGGGCAAGCGATCAATATTGGCGCCATTGTTGGTAATGGATATGTCACGCGAGAGTTGAATATGGGTCAGCAATCTTATCTTTATCGAGTCGGCCACTCGTGGATGGCTGAGCAAGATTTCCTGGAGGTATTTGCGGAAGGTGTCCTCTCCTGTCAAGAAGGAGCTGGCGGCCTTGGCCCATGCAGTGGCCTTCGAATCGACGATGACGATTCTAAGAATTGGGTGACTAACCCCATGTTTCAGCATCTTGTGCTCAAATCCAACACCCTAATTGCGGGAGATAAGAAGAACAAGGCAGGAATCATGGTGAGGACTCGTCTTCTTGAGTCGAGCTCACACAGCGAAGTGATGGAAATTTTACAAGGTGAGAGCCTGCTTTAATCTTGCTTTGGTAGTTTCCTACTAATGATCACAGAAACGTTCCTACAGAAGCTTCAATCTGCTCTGCAAGCTGATGCTGAAAAGCTCAATCTTGATTCGAGTCCTGACGAACTGGGAGTTGACTCGTTGATTGCTGTTGACCTCCGATCGTGGTTTATCAAGGAACTCGGCGTGGATATCCCTGTGTTGAAGATCTTCAATGCGGCATCTATCCGCGATCTGCTTGATTTGGTAGCAAGTCTTCTCCCGGAGTCCTCAATTCCGAATGTGGCTCAACAGCGCGAAGCTGAAGCCAATGTGCCAATGGAATCCATGATAGAGCAGCGGAAAGCCGAAAGCTTGAGTTCATTTGCACAACTTCCTGGAACTGTGGCAAGTTTCAGGAGTCCGGATGAGCTTAAGACCTTCCACCTCGAGTACCTGCAATCTCCTGACGAGGAAAATGGTAGTGGTAGCTCTCATACATCCTTGAAAGGAGATGAATCCGGCTCCGATCAGAGCGACGATAATTCCTCGGCTTCGTCACTCATCAATGGGGAGAGCACGAGTCCGAAGCGTCGAATCGAAAGAGTCACTCCAATGTCGTTCGGACAATTACGATTTTGGTTTTTGAGGCTGTTAGTGCCGAATCAGACTGCCTTCAACGTGACCCCTACTTTTGAGCTCACGGGAAGACTCCGAGTCGATGATTTTGCAAGAGCAGTCAAGGCCGTCGGTCAACGCCATGAAGCCTTGCGGACATGTTTCTTTACGGACGACAATAATCAACATATGCAAGGTATATGGTCAGATTCGTCTGTAAGATTCGAACACAGCTTTGTTGCCAACGCAAAGGACTTTGAAAATGCCTCGCAGCGGATGAAGAACCACATCTTTGATGTCGCTGACGGGGAAATACTTCGTGTCCACGTTCTCTCCTCGACACCGGATCATCACTGGGTCATCTTCGGCTTTCACCATATCAATATGGACGGAATGAGCTTCGAAGTACTATGGTCTGAAATTGGGACCGCGTACAAAGGACTACCTTTGACGCGAGAGACCATGCAATACGCAGACTTTGCAGACAGACAGCGACGAGAGTTCGAAGCGGGGGATTGGTCAGAGGACCTGGCCTTTTGGAGAGACAGTTTTGTTGAAACTCCATCTACAACCCCATTGCTCCCATTCTCCTTGAAGCTAGCACGGCCCGCTGTTTCAAGCTTTTCCTCTCATTGGAAACATTTCCGGCTCGAGCGAGGTCTGTCGGACGACGTTGAGAAATGCTGTCTAATGTTTAAAGTGTCTCTTTTCCATTTCTACCTGGCAACCTGGCAAATTTTTTTGCTACGTTTGTTTGATGTTGATGACATTTGCGTTGGTCTTGCCGATGGAGGACGCACGAATGGTGATATATTGCAAAGTGTCGGCCTTTTCTTGAATATGCTTCCACTTCAATTCCACCGTCAATCCTCTCAGTCCTTTAGCGAAGCTCTGAGAGATACCAAAAAGATCACGCAACATGCAATGGCACACTCCCGCGTACCTTTCGACGTGCTTCTTGCGGAGCTCAATGTCCCCCGATCGGCATCCTACAATCCGCTCTTCCAGATCTTCTTCAATTATCGGAAGGTTGAAGAGTCTCGGGACTTTTGCGGCTGCAAGGCAAAAGGGTCGCTGTTTGCAAGCGGCGAGACTTCGTATGACATTCATCTGGACATTGTCGATTTTGGAAACGAAGGAACAGAGCTATACGTTCTCGTCCAAGACGACCTTTATGCTCCGGAACATGCAGAGATCTTTCTCCACAGCTACTGCAATCTGCTTCGATCATTTGCAAAAAATCCCGCAACTAGAGTTTCCTGGCCTTCTTTGTTCCCAGACGATGATATTGAGGCAGCATTAGTCGCAGGACGAGGTGAGCATGGATTATCTGATCTCGATTACTGGTGCTAACATCTTTCAGGCCCTGAGTTGCGAGAGCAATGGCCAAGCACAATTGTGCATCGAGTGGATGAGATCTCCCAAGCCTACGGCGATCGTACCGCCTTGAAAGAAGAGAATGGTGGTGAGGTTACTTACTCGCAACTCGAAGACCGTGTTGGATCGATCTCAAATGAGCTGCTCAGCAAGGGGTTCAGTGCTGGGGCCCGGGTGGGAGTGTTCCAGTCTCCCGGAGCAGACTGGATATGCTCTCTTCTGGCTATCATGCGTATTGGAGCGACCTACATTGGCTTAGACAAGAAGGTTGGCATGGAACGACTTGCAATGATTGCTGCTGAATCAGGGCTTGGAGCCGTTATCGTGGACTCTTCCACTGTGTCGGATTTCCACCTTCTTGGCAGCAAAGCAGAAATGTTAGATGTCCGCATTATCTCACAAAGTGCGAAGATCGCGATACCAAACATGGCGCTCCCAAACCAAACAGCCATCGTTATGTATACGAGTGGCTCGACAGGCAAGCCAAAAGGGATCTTGCTCTCACACTCCGGCTATTTGCACCACGTCCAAGCATTCAGTCACACGATGCGGCTTCAAGAAGGCAAAGAAACAGTTCTTCACCAATCATCGTACGCGTGGGATATGTCCCTTTACCAGATATTTGTTTGTCTCTGCAATGGCGGAACCCTGGTCATTGCCAATATTTCTACTAGGGGCGATCCCGTCGCCATTGCCGGTCTCATTGCATCGCACAACGTGACTACTACTTTTGCCACGCCAACGGAGTATCTGGCATGGATTCGGCACGGTCGTTCTGCGCTGCAGCATTCAAAGCTGATCATGAGCATATCTGGCGGAGAATTCGTATCTGATGCTCTGATCAAGGAGTTTAACTCGCTTCAGAAATCCGACTTGAAGCTCATCAACGTCTATGGTCCTGCAGAGATCTCTCTGGCATGCTCTATTGGCGAAGTACCATACACCACAGTGCGCCAAAACCACTCTGACAACGCCTCATGGCTATACACTTTGCCAAATTACTCGGTTTACATCGTGGATCAAGACTTGAAACCTGTTCCAATTGGAGTGACCGGTGAGGTTGTTGTCGGTGGCGCAGGCGTTGCACAGGGTTACCTTGAGGATGACAAGACCGTTAAACGCTTCATTTTCGATCCACATGCGAGCCCCTTCTTCCAAGCACAAAAATGGACCAAGGTCTTTCGTACAGGCGACTGGGGGCGGCTCACGCAAGATGGCAGCCTGGTCTTGCTGGGGCGCATCGACGGTGACAATCAGATTAAGCTTGGAGGCATTCGTATCAACATGGAAGAAATTGAGACTGCCATTCTTCGCGCTTCGGGTCATAAAATTTCCCAATCCGTGGTATCACCTCGTTCCACTATCCAGCACGGCGAAGTTCAGACCTACCTCGTCGCGTTCGTGGTGTTGGCCGAGACGGAAAAGCCTGAACATACGAACGAAATCCTCGCCCAACTCGCAAAGGATTTGGCATTACCCCAGTACATGCGACCGGCAGCCATAGTACCTGTTTCTTCCCTTCCACAGAACGCGTCCGGAAAGCTAGATCGACTTGCTATTAGCAAACTTCCCATTCCCACATTGGAATCTCGACAAAGCAGAGATCAGAGATACGCGCCGCTTGAGGATACTTTGCGCCAGCTTTGGCAAGAAGTGATTCCACGAGACGTTGTCTCGCGCCACCTCGTGGGCTCCGCATCGGACTTCTTCCATGTTGGTGGCAGTTCGCTCTCGTTAGTGACTCTGCAGGCTCTTTTGAGGGATCGCTTGGGAGTCTCGATTCCCTTGCATCAACTCTTTGAATCGAGCACTCTCCAGGGCATGGCTCACCGAGTTCAGAATGTTGCTGCGGCTGATCGCTGCGTTCAAGTTGATTGGGAAGAAGAGATTGAGTCCTTGATCGCCTCTTCTTCAAGCCACTTGGACATCGACACTCAGATCGCCCCTCGTGCGGGCAAAATCGGTGGTATTGACTGGAGCAACTGGCTTCATCGGTACGGAAATTGTTCGGCAGCTTATCGATGACGATCGCGTCCAGGTGATTCATTGCATCGCCGTCAGGAAGTCCCAATTGTCTCCGATTTTCAATGGCCCAAAGGTCCGTGTATACCGGGGCGATTTGGGGGCTTCTCAACTTGGTCTTTCGGATTCCGATGCAGCATCCATCTTCCGCCAAGCGGACGTGATCATCCACAATGGAGCCGATGTGTCCTTCATGAAGACGTATCAGTCTCTCAAGTTGACCAACGTGGCCTCGATCATGGAGCTTGTGAAGCTCTCCTTGGCCCGGCATATTCCTTTCCACTTCATCTCATCGGCAAGTGTCACGCGCCTCTCTGGCCAGGATAGTTTCGGAGAAAATTCTCTGGCCTCGTATTATCCACCTTCCATTCCTGATGATGGGTACGTTGCAGTGAAATGGGTGGGCGAGGCATATGTCGAGCGTTGCAATCAACAATTCAAACTCCCGGTTTGGATCCACCGCCCGTCTAGCGTGATGGGAAGTGACGCACCCGAACTTGACCTGATGAGCAACATGATGAAATACTGTCAGCAAACCCAGAAAATTCCAGACTCGGGATCATGGTCTGGGGTTTTCGATTTCATTGCTGTACAGTCTGTTGCTTCTCAAATCATAGATGCTGTTCATCTGTCAGGTGAGATCACGGCAGACTCGAGTCGCGTCCACTATAGACACGAATCTGGTGAAATTCTGGTTAAAAAAAGAGGAGATTCAAGCCATGATGGAATCGGGTACGGGGCATCGGGTCGAAGTGGTTCCACTGAACGAATGGATTGATCATGCTGAAGGTGCGGGAATGAGCCACTTGCTGGCCGTTTACTTGCGCAAGGTCGCACATGGACAGATCCATTTGCCGAATTTGTTGAAAGGACGGAATGATACCATTCATGACTGAATCATGATAGCAGCAGGGAGGGCAGGTTACAGATAGCGGGAGAACATTGGTGATATATAAGATCGATTCAATGCGTCCAGGAGTAACCTTTGAAGTAGACCACAACGTAAGGTGATAATGAATAAAGCGTCGAATGCAGCCATTTGCGAGCGCCATTTGAAGCGTCTGCGTTGGTCGATTTTGGAAGATCTCGTTGCAAAGAATTTGGGCGACGCTGTCGTTAAATGGCAAGGTAATTAAATTGCAACTATTGAAACAAAAAGTCATTGACAACCGCGGCCGTGCCTTGACTGTTGGCCACATGAACCAGAACCTTGCCCCTAGCACGCCCCGAGCGAAGTCTTTCAAATGCCTTAATAGCATCCTCGAATTCATACTTGCTGTCAAACTGCAACTTGAGAACACCTTTTTGAACTAGCTCTCCAAGCTTGACCGTATGGTTTTGGGTATTTTTGAAGAAGAAGACAACATATTTCCTCTTTCCACCACCGAGGAAAGAAGGCCACGCCACTCTGCCCACGAAGGTGGTCAAAGCCGATGCCCCAACCTGCACAAATACACCACCAGGCCTTAGGAAATGATGGCACTGGAAGTATAGATTCGACGGCAAGCCAATATGATCGAGGATGTGATCATATATGATCCCCTTCTTCTTCAAAGCCCCGACAACATCACCAACGGCCGTGTAGTCAATGACCTCATCGGCTCCAAGCCTATAACATAATTCAACATTCTTTGTCGAACAAGTCACGGCAACGAAACATCCCATATGCTTAGCAAGTTGAATGGCAAAAATCCCACATCCTCCTGAGCCACCATTAATAAACACCTTATCACCCTCCTTCACGTAGCCATCTAAAGCCTGATAGGCCGACTGCCCGGCAATTCCTAGACTCGCCGCATCATCAACACTGACGCCCTCTGGAACAGGCGCAATGAGTTTTGCCGAGATAGAGAGATACTCAGCGAGCGCGCCAAACTTCATTGGCCTACTATGGCACCCATAGACAAGCTGGCCGGGCTTGAAACCCGCGCCGGGGCCGCTAGTCACCACACGCCCGGAGAAGTCCATTCCTGGAGACGCTGGCATACCGATGACAAGGTGGCGGGCATGTGGGCCCATTTCAGGGACTTTAAAGTCGGCTGGGTTGAGCGCGGTTGAAAGGACTTGCACGAGCACCTCGTCGCCGCATGGAGCGGGCGGAACACGCGCGGAGGAGTCCAGGTACAGGTTCTTCTCCAGGCCCGAACTCGTGCCGCTGTAAAGCCAGGCTTTCATTGATGAAGGGGGTGTTGGGAGATCCATTGTGGTGATAGATCAGAAGTTGCTGTTGTCACAGGCTTGTCTTCTTGTTTTCTTTTTCATGGAGCTTGATGTAATTGATTGCGGCAGTGATTTAGCGCCATCCGAACACCGACCTCACCGCCTAGAATTCTGTGTAATTGTGCCGATTCCAAGAGGAATCTACAGCACAGTTGAATGTTTCTCGTCCGTTGGACTTCGGAGGCAGTTGAAGAAAATCTTAAAGTGAACTTTGGCGATTCGAAATAGTCTCATTCATCCTATAGAATAGTATACCTCAGACCTCATAGACAGACCTTTATACCTATGCTTGCATAAAATCGTGACAGGTATCTATAGACCAAGCCAGAAACGGGTCTTGCCAACCTCGAACTCGCCCCGTAGCTCTTCCTTGCCAGTACCAGTCACCAAGATCTGGTACTGGCCTTTCTCCGAGATCCACTGCTCACGCTGCTCATCCCACCAGCTCGTCGCTAGCTTCTTCTCCACGACGAGCTGCACCGTCTTAGATTCCCCAGGCTGAAGGAAGACCTTCTGGAAAGCCTTGAGCTCGCGCACGGGACGGTTTACATCCGTGGACGGCGGGATGACCCAGAGCTGAACAATTTCGGCACCCGCAAGCGATCCGGTGTTGGTGACAGTCACTTCGGCACTGATGGGCTCGCCGGCTTCTGAGTACTGTGGTTGTTCGGGAACAGTGCTGATGCTAAGGTTAGAGCGACTGAAAGTGGTATAGGAGAGACCGTGGCCAAAGTGGAAGGCTGGTGTCACATCGCTCTTCTCGAAGAAGCGATAGCCGACATAGATGTCTTCACCATAGAGAACACGGCCTCGTTCAGAGCGAAAGTTGATGTACGAAGGATTATCCTGGAGACGACGTGGGAACGTGATCGGTAGTTTGGCGGAGGGATTGACATCGCCGTAAAGCACATCAGCAATACCATTGCCGCACTCATTGCCACCGAACCAGCCCTGCACGATGGCACGGGCGTCTTGTGCCCATGGCATCGTAACTGGAGTGCCGGATTGGATCACCACGACAGCATTCGGGTTGACGGCCAGGACGCGACTGATTAGCTCGTCGCTGCCGGGAGGGAGATCCATATGATCGCGGTCGTAGCCTTCGGTCTCCCATTCACTAGTGAGACCTGCGAAAATCACGACCTGCTCGGCCTGAGAGGCCTTTTCAACGGCGGTCATGATCAACTCCTCCTCGTCGACTCGCCGACAGCCACCAAAGCGGAATCCGCCGCCTCCAAAGGCGACAATGCCGTGAGTATCAAGGTCTGAAGTAGGCGCGCTGCCGAATTCGAACAAAACTCGATAAGTCTGTCCCGCCTTGAGCTCTTTTACACCACGCTCTTCGACGGTCGCAGTACCGAAGAAGGCAGAACCCTGTCTCTGGTTTTTGGTGTTGTCAACTACCAACTCGTCATCGACCAGCAGTCGACCGGTACCGACGACGGTAACGCCAAAGTCATACAAGCCATCCTCCTCAGGGGTGAAGAATCCTTCCATGTCGACGTAGAAGGTCAAAGATTTGAGTTTGGGGTTGACATAGTCCATGAGGAACCCGATGGATCCAACCAGATGCAGCTCGTCCACGATTTCACGATCCTGACTGGCACTGGGCGGCTCATTGTAGGCCTTGAAAGTGAAGCCAGTCTTGCCATCCGCAGTCTTCATGAGCGGTCCGAGGAGCGGTAGTTCCTTGTGAGAATAGACCCCCTGCGTGAACTGGACATCTCCTGTGCTCTTCGCCGACACCCCTTCCAATGGAGTGACGGTATAATACGGCGCGAGGGAAGCTGAGCCACCGCCACAGTAAGATGCCATCCGGGCATTAGGCCCTATGACCAGGACGGATCCATTCTGCTTGAGCGGGAGCACGTCGTTCTCGTTCTTCAAGAGAACAACTGACTCGGCAGCTGCACGACGCATGAGCGCTTGGTCCTGGGGTCGGTTCAGGGCTTTCTCGGGAGCACCCTCGGGGATACCAAGCGGCTCGACCCAATTGATCAGGTTGAGAACGTTGCGCACACGCTCATCAAGCTTGAACGGGGCGACCTTGTTCGAAGACACGGCATGAGCAAGAGCCTCCCCGCGCCAACGAGTCTTGCCAGGCATCTCGATGTCGAGACCGGCGTTGATGGCGTCAGAGGTACTGTAAGTACCGAACCTGTGGAAATGTCAGCTTTGATCCAGTCTTAAACCACCAGAGCTCAGAAACCCACCAATCACTCATGACCAGACCATCCCATCCCCATTCCTTGCGCAGAATATCATTGATGATAACCTTGTTCTCGCTGACGTGGGTACCGTTGACTTTATTGTACGCGGTCATGATGCATGCCGAGCGACAGATGCGCAAGGCGAGCTGGAACGGCAGCAGATATATTTCACGCAAGGCACGCTCGGTGATGATACTGTTGACGGCCATTCGCTCGTGTTCCTGGTCATTGCAGACGAAGTGCTTCAACGTGGCCGCGACACCTTTGTCCTGCATTCCTTTGCAAAAATGCCCGGCCAGTGTACCCGATAGCACACCATCTTCGGAAAAGGATTCGAACCCTCGTCCACCTAGCGGTGACCGCTGAATGTTGATTGTCGGACCCAGCACGATGTGTGTTCCCTTGGCAATAGCCTCCTCGCCCATGAGCTCACCTACCTGGGATAATAGCTCGGCATCCCAGGTTGCACCTAGCGCGGTGGCGCAGGGAAAGCAGGCAGCGGGGATGCCATTGAAGAACCGGGTGCCGCGAACGCCGTTGGGTCCATCGGACATGCGCAGAGAAGGGATGTTGAGGCGGGGAATGGGAGCCGTGTGCCAAAAGTCGCGTCCTAGTAGGATCAGTATCGGGGTATCGTCGCATCCATCAGATCAGATGATAGGAACATACCGGCTGTCAAAGCCACCTTCTCACCCAGTGTGAGCTCCTCAATTGTCTTTTCCACGTCGATCGGAGCCATGCTGTGAAGCGCCAAAAAGCTATGACGCAATCAGGGAGATGAGGGCACACAAGGAGAGGAATCCAGCGCAATGTTTTGGCGCTGCCGACCCTTGAGTCGACTGTGACCGTGGAAGAGAGTCGAGGACGACATCTTTTATGCACTTGGCTCAGCCTGAAGCTCTCGCCAGTCGCGTGCAGCAGGGTGCATCTCGATGGAGTCTCACGGCCTACTCAAAAGAGGAACGGAGGTGATGCCGGCGTGCTAGCGATAGCGGCATTCGTCTCTTTTGTTCCATTCTGCCCAATCCCCCCCTGCTCCCCCGAATGTCACAATCGTTCTTGGAGAATTGTGCTATAGATATCTGGCATTATGCATCTAGAGATCAGTCAGGGCATTCTAAGGGGATTATGAATGATCTTGTCCATGTTCATGTTCCTATTTATTGCTCTCATAGCATCTTGACCTTTCTCATGGAATCGGGCGGTGAGACCGATTGAAAGCTGTAGCTCGGGCCTCGAACAATCAAGATTCCAATGTCGCATTGGCAACAGCCCGAGGTTTAGCCGTCCTCAACACGAGACGGCAGGTCGGGCCGCTCAGCCACTGAGCCACTCATCTTGTACTATGCACTGCCCTTTGTGGAACGGGTTGAAAGGAGGGGTTCCGCGCTCGAGAGTCCAAGCTAGAAATATCCGACGCTTTGCACCGGGGTGAGATGCACAACGCGTCACGGCGCGGAGGGGGCCAGATCTATCTCACCAGATCTCGTAGGTATCGACAGGTATATCCGATATTGGATACATCACTCCCGGGTCCCGTCGAGTAGGAAACAGTCATAATGATCATGAGCTTTCCACGGTTCCCGGAATGGATCCGAGTCCATGTGTGTGTATGAAATTCAGTGTCCAGGCAAGGCAAGCGTGACTTAGGTCATGTCGTGCAGATGGCATGAGTACCCGGAAAGAATGTATATCTATCGTTTTACTTTATATATTCAATATACACATGATGATGATTCCATCTGGAAGTTTGCGCAGCTCAACGGTCGCTATTCGTGATTGCTTGTAACACCTCCCCGAGGGCAAAGGTCCACACCATCCATACGTATCGCAGCGACACTGCTCATATCGAGGACAACTGTGTGCCATTGTGAGTGAAGGTTACAGATCATGCCACGGCTTTAGACTCACTATATTGCATCCATACCGAAGATGATATGCCACAACTTCTCCAGGACCCAGCCCACACCGAAATCGTCGGTCAAGTCCGTCGTCGCCGCCCAGTCCAAGATCCGTTGATACTCCTGCTTGGGTCGCGCTCGAATCCGGTCACGACTGACGGCGAATTGTGCGCAGCACACGTTTCCGATTTCTCTGGGCACTTTATCCACCGAGACATTGAAGATTTGCTGATACGCATCGGAGAAATATGCGCGGATGTCGTGATTGTCGATATCAGCTTGGGTCGGACTGAGGGGGTATATACCTGTCGGGCAACCTGGATTATGTTGACATCGCAGGTTAATGTATCCATGCGCGTCCACCGACTCAAAGCGGATGTTTCTCAGGGTGTTGTGGGTGAGTGGACCAAAGAGATCGTTGTGCCATTGTTCGGGGTATGCGTGCACGAAGACAGAGTAATCGGGGAGATGATCGTAATAATCGACTACGTAAGAGAGATAGGCCGGTGACTCTCGACCACGTAAAGTTGAAGGGACGAGGAGACCAGCCTCGGGAGTCTTTTCCGTAGTGTAAATGAATGGCGTATTGCCGCTAACTCCGGTTAACTGGGAAGCTGCAGAAGCTGGAAGCGCCCCCACCTTTCATAGCAATAATCGAGAAGCCAGGTCAAATCATCGCTGCGAAGAGACGCGAGGACGAGGCCGACGCTGGAATTCAGAGCATGTGATGTGTATGCCTCCGTCAGGCTGGCGAGCTGTTGTGCAACTTTATGAGCAGATCCGTCACGGAACACTGGACGGTCAGCCACGGGCCCGCCAAGAGATTAGGTGGAGGTGGCACCTTCTATTACAATGGAACCATCTCCAAGTAGGAAAAACGACAGCTGCAGCAGCACTAAGGTGACTGCGGCAATTGCGGCTCTTTTCGAAGTAAGCCAAAACAGTAGGCGGGGTTTCCGCATTTTGCGTGATCCCTTGAGATGGATGCCAGAAGGAAAGAGAAAGAGAGAAAGAAGGAAAAAATGAAATAAATAAAATGAAATAAAAATAAAAAGTAAAAAGACGACAGAGCTCGGCGTTCACGGAAAACAAGAAATGAATGGTCAAGTTTCCAACCGTGGGCCAAGATGCAGCCTCGTTAGGCGGCCTAGATAAAGTTGCCCGACTATCCAAGACTAGGCACCGTCGAAAGAAAATTGGCACTCCATCTTACAATCCACATGGGTGGATCCCCAGACCAGGTGTACGAAAGAACGAGTGAACATTTACAAAAGCCCAGACGGAGGGAACGGGAACCGCATGGAAATGGGTCCGGGAACGGGATCGTCGGATCTGCCCTATGAAAGTTGGGACCAAAGAGCGGCAGTTTTGCGGCCCTGTAAATCTGTCATTTGGGACATTTGAATCGCTTCGAAAATGATGAGAATACAGATCCACCCGGCACTAGCCGAAAGCCGAACAGACAAAAGCCGAAAAGGTAATTGCACCTAATTCATGACGGCCAGTGCATACTTTGTCCATCGACTGACGATTCCATTAAGAACCTGTTGGTTTGTTGCAATCCTACCTTAAATGGAATTTTCCGTTGAATTTCATGTATTTTACGCGTTTTGGTTTGGTCCATGTAATATTACCATACTTACCAGATCCAAAAAGACAAAATACGCGAAAAGCTACTAGTATAAGAATAGAACATGCGATCATTTGTGATGAAACATCGAAGGGCGTTCAAGAGTGCGGTCAAGGTCCAGGATATCGAGGATCTTCTTCCGGGGAATGACCTGGGCATGTCTCGGATTTGCGAAGAATGAGCTACGCACGGCTGCGGCCTTGACCTCCAGGGCACGATACTCTTCTTCAATTTCAGGAGAGGGCCATACTTCCAGAGCTTGGAGCGCCACGGGAGAGAGTCGCTTGGAGAGATCAAGTCGCCCGCTTGTGGGTCTCTGGTGTAGCGAGGACATGCCGACTTGCTGTAAAAAGAGGTTCTCGTTTGCTTCGAGCACGTCCGCGGAGAGATTTTTTGGGCTCAGGTCTTCCAAGATGAGAATGAGGTCGTGCATAGGGGTGGGAGATCTTGTCGCGCGAACCTGGGGGTCTGCGGGAACGAACTCGATGCGGCCATCGATGTGGACTGCCATCTCACGCATGAGGATGTAGTTGCCCAGCAGTACCAGATCGAACAAGGACAGTCCGGCGTGGCGCCGTACATTTCGCGGGTCAGTATCTCTGATACCGGTTGAGAAGATGCGGTCGATCGTAGACTGCACATCCCGAATCTCCTGCATTGTGACGATGGTAATAAGGCCATTCTCGCTTTGAACCCCGTCTAATAAGAGGCAAGCAAAGGATGTAGCACTTGAATGGACATGCCTGAAGATTTGTATTAAAACGATGGATGAGAGAATAATTTCTTGCCTGAGGCGCGAGTCGTTCTCCATTTCAAGATGGAAAGTCTCCTCGGTATGATACCAGTAGAAATTTGTTGAAATGTCGAACGGAAAGTGGTGTCACACTGTAGACAGCTGATTGTATCAAGTTTCCGTGTTGGAAGGTGATTTTTCTTCATGGCAGTTTGCGAATTGCAGAGACTTATACTGTCCTCAAAACAACTTTGGAAGAAATGTTCGAGGCCAAACTTCGAGAGCAAAGGACGATTGTCTAAACACCTTCATTGTAGCATCCCTCTTTGTTACCAAATCTTCTTTATCGGTATGCATTGATCCCTCGAGATGTTTCAGTGCTTTATATCAGATTATGGTGATTGTCTCGGTACTCGACGCTTTGTCACAAAAATAGACACCGCCCACCCAAACAGACAATGTGCTTTTCTCTGTGTTTTGCGATGAAACATCAAACTACTAGAAGTATCAGAAGGCCGACAGAAAGAAAAAAGTTCAACTCAACCTCAAAGACGTCATAGGTCATCGGCTGGCCCATCTATCTCCACGCGATCCTGGGCGAATCACGGAATGATTGCATTTCCGGGATGAGCCCTGAGCGAGGCCATCGAGATAGGACTACCTAGGCCACTCTCCGTCCGGTCTTCGGGGTACATCTTCATCTCGTCGTCATCGCAGGTCGCACTCTGTCACAGCTTGTGACAAAGGTTGTCCCGTATCCACTCGTTACCGCCTGGACTCGAAGTTCTCGTTGAAGAGCTATGGGGAGATAGACCAGAACCGAATTTGGCCTGTCCGACGGTCACCAGCACTTTAGTCCAAGTAAGAATCGCTATCAATGTTGATGGTACGGGAATTTGCCTTCGATTGCCCTCGAAACCATTCTGCAAACATGGTACCAATCGCGCGATGGGTGAGAGTCGCATGCGAGCGTGGGAAGCTTGGCAGAATGTCGATCAGTATCATCCCGAGCAAGAGCCACGTTGTGCAAACTGTCAGTAGTTGCGACGAATGGAAACGCAATGGCCATTAACATGGGGCAATGCGGAGGTATTTATCAATGAGTACTCGCTCACAGAAAAAATCGAGACCATGGATGTCATTGCGGGACTGAGCCATTTCGGGTGGCAATCAAGCCGGCCCCACATATCACCTTGGACCCCTTTGTCGGCATGAATATCCCCCGGCACGAAGGAGAATGTGTTATTCCGAGTGTTTGTTGCATTTGCACATCTATTGGGCACCCAGGGAACCCGACATCTATTCCATATAAATATGTGTTCTCATGGACTAGATAAGATCAGAGTTTTCAATAGCATCGACAGTTTGACCGCCTTCCTCTTTCCAACACCCCTGAGCCCAAATTGCTATGCATGTGGACAATGTGAACATTGGAGGGTTTCCAACCCAGGTGCGAAAATGAGATATTAAGCTAACAGAAAGCTAAGGATTTCCCGCCTTCTCCGTGTGGCTTGGGTGAAATCCAGACGGTGCCCTGGATGCTGAAACCAAAGAGTAAGATTACCCAATCAAATTTGACTAGACAATGGCGCTTCAAGTGGCACGAACCCAGTAGTTCGAATATCGGGTCTCACAGTTCTATCAATTCTCAGATCTCTTCATCTGAACTTCCATGAAGCTTGACCTCGTTCAATGGCAAGTGGGAAATGAGAACTCAGTCTACTCAAACTCGAACAATCGTTCAAAGGAGCTAGTTATCGTGATTCGTCGTAAACCGGCCGAAATGATCCTTCGCAAATTTGCCAAAGGACTGTTGAACTTGCACGTCGTGTCGGGGAAAGCAATTGGACCCTGGTTGGGTTGCAGCGTTCCAATGACTTGGGTAAGGATATCTTGAGCCAACATGACGATGCATTATACTCGTCGGAACTTCTATCAGTATCTCAGGTGCTACAACTGGGCGACATGTTGGAGATGCAAAACCTAACATACTCCCACAACGACTATTATAAGTCTTCTGGTGTTCAATAGCATAGTTTGCGCCATATAGCGGTAGCAAGGCAACTGAAAACGGTCTTGACCGATTGCTATCCAGCCTGTCTAAAAATAGACAGGGATACTGTGCGGCTCTTGGTGTACCTGCGGCAGGTGGTACCTCCCAATTCGAATGGCGACTCTTCCAGCTTGTAGGTCTCGCTTCCTCTATGGAAAAGACCCGAGATCCCCAAGATATCCGCACAGCCTAATGCATAGAACTAGCCTGTCAACTCCTTACCCTTCGAAGGAGTGCGGTTGCCCCTGAGCTACGTGCTCGAGGCGGTCAACGTTCTAGACCGTATCAAAGGTCAGATGATGCGAAACCCCCTTTCGGCGCATCGCTTTATCGTTCAATTGAACGAGCTACGGTCCAATGGGAAGGTGTGGCTAAAGTCAAGGGGGAAAGAAAGGGACAAGACAAGAAAAAAAAAAGACACGAATGGGATCGGGGACGGGACGAAGATGGGGTGAAAATTCAGCGTTCAACCCAAATAAAATTGACGGCCGATTCGGAGACTTCCTACCCCTCCAAAACTGTGAACAGATCGAAAGCATGCGAAACCCCAGGGAAAATCCACGATGGAAAGCAAAACCCGTGAATAGATCGCCACTTTGATCCACTATTCCCATCTCGACCCACTCAGCCCGCATGATGTAATGTTGTGTGTCTGTCAGAAAACCGGCGGTGACCTTCCTTTGCTCCTTCATTCCTAAATCCCACCTTCTCATTCTTCCTTCACTCCTTCCTTTCACTTCTTCTCTTCTCTTTACCTATCATTTCAATTCACAATGGCACCCCTCAAACTGAATAACGCGAACTTGCCACAGATCGCCACCGCTGGCGAGGCCGCGGTCAAGGTCCCCACCTACAAGCGCGGTGCCGCCGTCAAGGAGGGAATCGTCCACATTGGTGTGGGTGGCTTCCACCGCGCCCATTTGGCCGTTTATGTCGACCAGTTGATGCAAAAGCACGGCATCACCGACTGGGCCATCTGCGGCGTCGGTCTGCAACCTTTCGATGCCGGCATGCGCGATGTCCTGTCTTCTCAGGATCACCTGTATACCGTCATTGAGCGGTCTGCCAAGGGAAGCTTCGCCAACGTTGTAGGTAGTATCAATTCCTATCTCTTCGCCCCTGACGACCGTGAGGCCGTCATCGCCAAGATGGCTCACCCCGACACCCACATTGTCTCCCTCACTATCACCGAGAGCGGTTACTATTACAACGAGAACACCCACGAGTTGCAGAGCGAGCATCCGGATATCCAATTTGATCTCGACCCGGCCAACGAAAAGGCCCCCCGCACCACGTTTGGCTTCCTTTATGCTGCTATGGTTCGCCGCCGAAAGCAGGGCCTGAAGCCCTTCACCGTTATGTCTTGCGATAACATGCAGAAGAACGGTGCTATCACCCGTCATATGCTCGAGTCATTCGCCCGTCTGCGTGATCCCGAAGTCGCCAAGTGGATTGCCGAGAAAGCCCACTTCCCTAACGCTATGGTCGACCGCATCACCCCTCAGACCTCCGCCGCGGACAAAGCTTCGCTTGCTGAGAACTTTGGTATCGAAGATGCGTGGCCCGTCGTGACCGAGCCCTTCATGCAGTGGGTGATCGAGGATCACTTTTCTGACGGCCGCCCGCCTTTCGATCAGGTCGGTGTTCAGCTCGTGACAAATGTGCACGACGTCGAGCAGTTCGAGAAGCACAAGCTACGCCTTCTCAATGGCAGTCACTCCGCTATCGGTTATCCTGGTCAGCTGGCCGGCTTCAAATATGTTCATGAGGTCATGGAGCACCCCTTGTTGCGCAAGCTAGTATGGCAAATGATGCAGGAAGAAGTCAAGCCCCTCCTGCCTCACATTCCAGGCGTTGATATCGACCAATATTGCAATACCCTCGTTGAGCGCTTCTCTAACCCGACAATCATGGACCAATTGCCTCGTGTCTGCCTGAACGCGTCTGGCAAGATCCCTCAGTTCATCATGCCTTCGATTGCCGAGGCGATCTGGATTGTCGGTCCCTTCCGCCGTCTGTGCTTCGTCGCGGCTGCCTGGTTCCATTACCTCAAGGGTGTCGACGACAGCGGCAAGCCCTTCGAGGTGGAAGATCCGATGCGTGAGGAGCTACAGGCGAAGGCCCGCGCTGGGGGCACCAACCCAGCCGAGCTGCTTAGCATCAAGAATCTCTTCGGTGACGACTTGCGCAATGACAAGCGATTCATCGAGCAGGTTACCACGGCCATGGAGGAGATTGCTCAGGATGGCATCCTGAAGACACTTCCCAAGTACGTGGACTAATCGCCCCTGGGAGCATTCTTCTTGTTTTTTGAAAATGATTTACCTGCGTCTACGAGCGATGTTATCACTTTCTATTCTTATCCATGCGTCATGAGAATGTGATATACGCAAAAAGCACATAGATATAGAAGAGATAGTACAATGTCTCAACCACTTCAGTCCGTTCACTCTGTAGGGAAAAGGCGATAGCCACCCCTGAACACCAGCGCCGAATGCATGCAAGCCGAAAAACCCCCCTCCTCCCCAGTCATCCAATTCTTCGGAATGTACAGGCGACGTCGATCGGGTTCGAAGCCCATGTGTACACACGAGGGTTATCCCACAAATAGCGAAATTGGTGCTAGGCCAATTGGATTCGTATCACCAGTGACATGGTGAAATCGAAATTGACACTCGGGAATACGGAATTGATTCCGACGCCCTTTGACATCCCACCACGACCGTGAACTTGCTTCCTTGTACTTTGACTTAACCCCAATTGCTTCTTGACTCCTCACAATAATTGGGTTCCCTCCTCATTTTCCCCTGGCCCTCAATTTTCTGTTGGGATATCCTTGGTTCTCTGTTCGTTTGGAGCGTGCAACTGTCCCAACTCCCCCGCCCCCGCGAAAAAAGAATCATGGATCGCGAACAATTCCGCAATGCCGCGCATTCGGCCATCGATGACAGTGCGCTTCTACATTCCTTCCAGAATCTGACTCAATCGCTGATTCCACCCGTTTACAGTCGTAAATTACTTCGATACTGTCCCGGAGCGCAGAGTTCTCCCCGCCGTTGACCCTGGATACCTCCGTCCTCTGATTCCCGAGAACCCTCCCGCCGAGGGAGAAGCCTGGGCGCAGATCCAGGAAGATGTTGATTCCAAAATCAAGCCGGGTCTAACACACTGGCAGTCACCCAACTTCATGGCGTACTACCCCGCCTCTGTGACTTACCCGAGCCTTCTGGGTGAGATGTACTCAGCGGCCTTTACGGCCCCAGCTTTCAACTGGTTGTGTTCGCCGGCTTGCACCGAATTGGAGACCATCGTCATGGACTGGGTCGCTCGCGCATTGGCTCTGCCCGAGTGCTTCCTGAGCACATCGGAGAACCGCGGCGGCGGCGTGATTCAGAACAGTGCCAGTGACGCCATCGCTACGATGATGGTGGCCGCGCGGGAGAGGCGAGTGCGGGAGTTGGTTCTGGCAGAAGGGCTACAGGAGGGTACAGCGGAATATGAAGAGCGGAAGATGGACCTCCAGCCGCGCCTGGTGGCTATCGCGAGTGACCAGACACACAGTAGTGCAGCTAAGGGCGCCTTGATTGCGGGCACTCGGTTCCGCAGCGTGACGACAGGGTTGGACAACAATATGGAGATGACTGCCTCCCGCCTGCGCGAGGTGTTGGAGAAGTGCGACCGGGATAGACTGACGCCGTACCATTTGACCATGACCTTTGGCACCACCAATACCTGCAGTGTTGACCGTTTTGCCGAGATCAAGGCAGTGCTGCAGGAGAAGCCTGCATGGCAACGGATCTGGGTGCATGTCGATGCCGCGTACGCCGGCGCGTCTCTGGTGGCTGATGAGTTCCAGTACATCACAAAGGACTTTGCGGAGGGAGTCGACAGCTTCAACATGAATATGCACAAGTGGTTGCTGGTTAACTTCGATGCCAGGTGAGTCGCAGCCATTCGACGTGTCTTTTACTGTTTCAAGCTGACCTCTTCCAGTGTCCTTTTCGTGCGTAATCGTCTCGATTTGACCAACGCTCTTGACATCACCCCGACATACCTCCGCAACCCCTACTCGGACCTGGGCACGGTGATCGATTACCGCAACTGGTCCATCTCACTAGGACGCCGCTTCCGAGCTCTGAAGATTTGGTTCGTCATGCGTAGTTATGGTCTCAACGGCATGAAAGCCCACATCCGCAAGACCGTCGAGCTTGGTAACATCTTTGCCGACCTCGTTCGGGGTCGGTCGGATCTGTTCGAGATCGTCACGAAGCCAGGTTTCTGCCTCACAGTCTTTCGCATTAAGAACCCGCAGGCATCTCGCTCGTCCGATGGCGTGATCGAGAAGGATGAGGTGGCTGATGGGATCACCAAAAAGGTTTACGAGTTGATCAACTCGCGGGCGAGATCTTCATCACCTCGACAGTCATCGACGGGGTGTACGTGATTCGTGTGGTGAGTGCGAATCCGATGGCGGAGGAGAAGTACGTGCGTAATGCGTTCGACATTATCGTTCGCACGACGGACGAGGTTCTGGAAATGAAATAGATGTACATTACATATGTTGGGTAATTGATTATTACAACATATCCATGTCTCACTTCTAATCGATGATTTCAAATTCAAATAAATCTTCGATCATTTGATATTTAAATACCAAAAAAAATCAGTGTTCGCTTTGTGTATCATTTGGACTATTGCCTGTTCCATTAAACTGTGTGTAATTGCAAGTTGAACGCAAAAATGATATGACATAAATCATAAAGCCGACTTGCGGCAATTCGGCCCTTTCCCCACGTCTTAAGAATTGGAGATAGCGTCAGTCCCTCTGGGAGTCTGGCCTTCGATTTCAGGGATTTAACAGATTTAAAACAGTTTTGAATTTTGAAGCATGTGTACATTGGCGCAGCTACGCCCTCATCTCCCTGCGCGTGCATTGAACACGGCTCGCCGTTTCACTACCTCGCATCACATTAACACGCCCGCTGCGACGGTAGCCGACGCTTTCCTGTCGCGCTTCCAATCGCTGGGACCTCAAACCCGCACCCAGACTCTCGATGCCAACCAGTTGCAGCTTCTCGGCCTTACCCTGAATCGACCTTCCCTCTTCCCCGGGTCACCATCACTGTCGAACACGTCAACTCCGCCGCTCCATACGCCAGTGCCGCCTGGGTACCACCTCGCGTATTTCACGCCGGCATTTTTGGAATCAGAGCTCGGCGCCGACGGTACGGATGCCTCATACAACCCCGAGGCGCCGTTCACGCGCCGTATGTGGGCGGGTGGTGAGGTACTCTGGCCACGCGGTGCCGATGAGAAGCCCAACCCGTTGCGCATCGGACAACAAGTGAGCGAGACCACACGGGTCCTCAGTGCCGAGCCCAAAGTGGTCAAGAAGACTGGCGAGGAAATGATCGTGGTGGGTGTGGAGAAGGAATTTGCTAACGAGCAGGGGGTCTCGATCGTTGATCGCAGGTCTGTCATTACCTTCCATTGGCCTTTGCAGACTGACTGACTGGATACAGGAACTGGGTTTTCCGGAAAGCTCTCCCAGTGCCAACTGCCTCGGCCCTGTCGAGCGCATCACTCTCCCCTTCTTCAACCTCCCACCTGACTCTTCCGAAGCCTTCATCGACCACTACGGAAGGAAACACCCACACTCGCACGCTGGTGCAAACCCCCCGTCACGCTCTTCCGATTTTCGGCCCTCACCTTCAACCCTCACAAAATCCACTACTCTCTTCCCTGGGCGCGTGATGTGGAGGGACATCGGGACATTGTGGTTCATGGCCCTCTGAACCTGATCTCTGTCCTCGACCTGTGGAGGGACATTCGAAGCCGGACGAGTGCAGACCCGACGACGATCATCCCGCAGCGCATCTCTTACCGTGCGACGAGCCCGCTGTATGCAGGAGAGGAGTATCAGATTGTGCTACAGGAGGATGGAGATGTCGCCAAGGTCGAGATCGTCGCACCGGGCGAAGTGGTGGCCATGAAAGCAGAGATCCAAGCGTAAGCGCACTCAATCTACCATGCATGTGGATTGTTTACGTCGCAAGATCTTGATATCGTTCTCCCATCTGGAAATCATGCACCTGAGCATAAGAGGATGATTCTGGATCATTGTTGCTGCATGGGATCGTACCAAGCTTTTCCCGTGTAGTACAAGTAGATGGAGTTTGATCTTTCACTGACGAATTACTGTCCTCAATCTACGCGCTATATTTCACCCCCTTACGGTCTAGAATTCACTATCTACAGGTCCAGATCTGAGCCCCAGATCTCGACATCTAGCGAAGGGGGAAATGTAGCATGTCGATGAATGCATTCCCCCTTTGTGCAAAGCCAGGATTCCTCCCTCGAGGGAGACTCTTCCGACAGACCCCGTTGGGTCTTCTTGTCATGCAGGTGGGACGGCTCCCGGACAAGACAGTGGACGCGGACTAAGCGAAGATGGATCGCGATAAGGTAGAGATGGAAAAGAACCCGAATTAGGCCATTCTCCCGCATGAAAACGGCAACAAAACCCAGAGACATCCAGTGTGGGACTGTCGCTGTCTTCAAGAATTGGCCCGGTTTGACTGCGAGTGCGAGGAAACCGGCTAAATTTTTGCTTGAGCCAAGCTGGAAACAAGCCGAATGCCCAATCCAGTCACGCTAAATCCAAGCCAAGTCTCAGCCAAGAGTAAGCTAAATGTAAGCTCAATGTGAGCTCCAGGTAAGCGTCAATCCAGAGGCGGAATGTAACCTTCCCCGTTTTCCATCTCCACATCTCGTCCCTCCCCGGAATTCCCAGCGGCGTTCACACTAGTCTCCGAAGGGGGATCGGGCTTGCATCTCGGATTCCACCAATAAACCGACGCAGCACAAGATCGAGGCGACTCTGTTTTGAGTCCCAAACCTGGGCTAATTATGATCGATGCACCTGACCCAGCTGCGTGACACGGTCAGATCGGGGCCCAAGTTCTCTGGTCCTGTTCTGTGAGAGCCTCAAGACCCTATGTCCCATATGGCCGCGAGTCTTGACTGTTTCTCTTAGGGATCCACGTCAATCTCAATGTCTGGGAGCTACCAGCCAAAGCTTGTCCGGGGCCCCCGCATTTTCCCCCCCAATTCGAATTTAACCAGCCCGCACAGTCCGTTGCTACCCAGCGGACGAGACACCCCTGCAAAGTTGAACCGACGCCACCAACTTCGGTCAGCGAATTTTCCCTCCCAGCCCTCGGTAGTGGCTAGCCTTGTCTGGTCAGATCCGAGCCTCCAGTCCAATAGGGTCCGAGGTGAACAACGCCATGTTCAACCCGTTGCAATCGCCGCGTTCGCTTTCGGCGTTGAAACGGGAAAAATCCCGGCGGAGGTCATCCCCCTTCCCATCAGATCGCCACTGCACGCGGTGCTATGGGACAACAAAGGTGGACGGGGAGATGCAGATGCGGCAAAGGATATAAGACCCCCACCCCCCTTGGCACTCGGCCTCCTTGCCTTTCACTTTTCCTCTCACTGATCATCGAGAATTCCGAAAATGTCGGATATCAAGGACGAAAAGGATGGGTCATACCCGGCCGATAAGGACCCTCAGGTCGAAAAGGCCGACGTGCTGCATTCCGAGGTTTTGGTGAACGCGGATCTCATGAACGATGCTTTCGACGGTGAGAATCGAGAGCACCAGATGGGGGTGTGGCAGGCTGCGAAGCAACACCCATGGGCTTGTTTCTGGGCATTCACCATGTGCTTTACCATCGTGAGTTTCATCTCTTGAGTTATTTCCTTTGCAGACAAGCTCATGCCAAACAGGTCATGGAATCGTTCGATATGTTCCTGAACGGTAACTTTGTTGCATTGACCAAGTTTCAACAAGTGTACGGTGTCAAGACCGGTCCTGATACATATTCAATCCCAACTAAATGGCAGAGTGCCCTCTTCCAATCCGGGCAATGTGGTGCTTTCGTCGGTGTGTTCTTGGCCGGTCCCGTCACCAACCGTCTTGGTTACCGCTGGACTACCATCTTGGCACTTGTTCTCATGAACGCCACCATTTTCATTTCCTTCTTTGCCAACTCTCTCGCTCTCCTGACGGTCGGTCAGGCATTGGAAGGTGTTCCGTGGGGTTTCTTCATTGCAAACTCCCCCCGCTTATGCCAGTGAAATTGTGCCTCTCTCCCTCCGAGGTGCCTGCACGGCTACTCTGCAGATGAGTTGGTCAATCGGTTCGATCATTGTCGCCGCTGCCACCCTCGGCTACAACAAGCAAAACTCCGAATGGGCTTGGCGCGCTCCTCTGGCCTTGCAGTGGCTCTTCCCCGTATGTATCTCGTTTCCGGATTTATGATCCAGAGCTGACTGTGTTAGACACCTCTGTTGATTCTCATCTTCCTCGCTCCTGAATCTCCGTGGTGGTTGATTCGTCGAGGCCGCAAAGAGGAGGCCCTTCGCTCCATCAGGCGCCTCGGTGAGAAAAATGAAGACCATGCCCACCAATCACTTGCTATGATGGAGCGAACGGTCGAGATTGAGGCCCAGATGGGCGGCGCTCCGAACCTCCTCGACCTTCTCAAGGGAACCGATCTGCGGCGCACGACCATCACCTGCCTAATGTACGCGTCGCAGAACTTTGCTGGAAATCTGATTGCCAACCAGGCCACTTTCTTCTTTGAGCGTGAGTAGCTTGCCCCTCCCCCCCCCCACATAACGTGTGCGGAACGTATGACTGACCCCCACATAGAAGCCGGTATCTCTCCCGACAAGGCCTTCCAGCTCAATCTGATCAACTCCTGTCTTCAATTTGTGGCCAACGCCGGCTCATGGGGTCTATCTGCGTGGTTCGGTCGTCGAACCATCTATCTCTGGGGCACAGCCACCAACATCACCCTGCTCATCATTCTCGGCATCTGCGCCTCTGTCCACCAGTCCACTGCGACCAACTACGCCCAGGCCGTCCTGGGAATTCTTATCTCGTTCGTCTTTGCCGGCACATGCGGACCCATCTCCTACACCATCATTTCCGAGACATCCTCTGTCCGTCTTCGTGCTCTGAGCACAGCTGTTGGTCGTGCCGCCTACTACGTCGCGGAGATCCCCATGATATATCTGGCCTCCAAGATGTTGAACACCACGGGATGGAACCTTGCAGGAAAGTGTGGTTACGTCTGGGCAGGTACCGCCTGCGTCTGCTGGGTGTTGGCCTACTTCTATCTTCCCGAGCTCAAGCACCGCTCATACCGTGAGAGTGACATTTTGTTCAACCGCAAGATCTCGGCCCGGAAGTTCAAGACGACTGTCATTGACGTGAGGGACAACGAGTAAGGGTCGTGTGATGATATCCAGGAGGAACGGAAATGTTTTATGAGTTTGCGCATTATGCATATATCCCAAAGATAACCTCGATGACCTTTGAATAATACAACGGATTCAGTTCCTTTCAGCAACCTACCAAAAGCCTTTGTAGAAGTAACCGATGATTGTTGATACTGTGACATCATTGACATAGAACATCTTCGCGCACCTTGCAAGCAGGTGACAATGTGAAAGATTTGAGCTCAATATTTAGTCAAAGCAACAAAGTATTTAGACATTCATACACTGCCCAGGTGGGAAGATGTAGAAAGACAGAGTTCAAAGAGCCATGGACACGGGTTTTCAATAATATGTGAAGGAGAATCCATCGCCGGCGAGGTGAGCATGGAACAGTTTATATTGGACCAGATAAGTGTGTGACGATGACGGTCCATTTCATAAATTTCAATCACAACTTCACCACTCATGAGCATTGTCTAAGCCTTGAGTGCCGGATACGTCTCCTTGATCCAAGTATCCACAGATTCTCCCCGTTGGATCCCACCGACGTCGGATCTCCATCAAGCGCTTCGCATTCTCGTCGGCCCAGAACTTCGTCTTGCGCACTTGGAAATCAGAATCCCCAAGGTAGGCGCCGACCGAATGCCGTTCGACTTTTTCCATGATGCTCCTGACCCAGCCTTGGCAACGTCGATCGTCGGTTTCCTGTTCCCACACGGTATACAGAGCAAAGTAATGATCCGATTGCATGCTCAGTGCCATATCGGGGAGCTTTCGACGGCTACAGGGGTTCATAGCATACCACAATGCGAATGATTTGCGATGGGGAGTGTGGTAAATGCCTCTTCCAAAACCGCCGGGACATCCGCGTCATCGGCCATGTAGGCGTTATCGGCACAGTAACGGTGGTTCTCGGGGTTTGCAGCTGCCTGGTTATTGTACTGCTCGTCAAGACTATCTTCTTTGGAGAACCGTTCGTCGACTGTGCCCGCGGGCCGGCTTTGCTGAGCCGGACGAAGTACCTTGTCGGCGGCTTCCGCTGAGTCCTTCATGGTGACAAACAGCACGAAGAACCGCATTTCGTTGCTACCTTCCGGGAAATGCGAGATGGCCGCAATTTCCGTGTCCTTGTCGAACGTGGGAGAGAGCTCAATGATCCACCGGAATACCTCACGATAACAATGAATAGGATAAATGTAGCCCGAAGATCGAAAGCCACCATTCTTGGGGTATGGGTTCAAGCGAAGATGGAACTTGGTCACCACGCCAGGGAATCCTTAACGACAGTCAGTCCTTGAAGGAGAAACATGGAAACATCGGGTGTGAAGCCAAAGCATACCGGGTCCGGCGCCTCGTGCGGCCCAATACAACTCCGAGTTTTGTTCGGCGTTGCAGTGCAGCAGATTACCCTCGGCCGTGACGACGTCCACGGCTTCAACTCTTTCGCAGGCCCAGCCCCAATTCTGCAAACATGTTAGTCAGATCCATTGAGCGAGAAAAAAAAAGAGAAACTCACACGACAGTTCCATCCCATACCTCCCTGCAAGAGGAAACCTCCCAGGCCAACGTCGGGACAATGTCCACCGGGAAACATGAGTTGATGATCTCGGATCAGAACCGAGTTCAGCTCCCGGCCCGTCATACTGGGAGTAGCTCTGGCAATCCGATTCTCTGCATCGACTTCGACCTGCTTGAAGTTGCCGAGATCGATCAGAATGGAATTATCACGCACACTCCACGCTGCCCACGAGTGGCCACCCGATCGAACGGCCACACGACAATTGCGCTCCACTGCGAGCTTCACGGCGGCAACAATATCCTCCTCGCAGGTTGCCTTGACCACGGCCAGGGGGAATCGGCGCGGGCGACGATGGTTGAATACACGCCCGATGCGCGCATCTTCGTAAGTGTCCGAGTCCTGCCAAATGATCTGCATTATTCCGTGGTTGATGATAATGATACAGTGGAAGTGACACTTGATTTGTAGCTGTTGTCGTGTACGATCTCCACTTCTCAACCCCGTGGGGACACTTCACAGTCAATAGTGGTGATGTGGTCCACATCCCGATTTCGATTCCGATTCTCCACCTATCTCTTACGGCTGGTGCACTATCTCTCGTGATGATCATGATTGATCGATGGTCCATTGATTCCTTAGGAACAGGTATCCTCGGGGGAAATGAGTTGTAAAAAGCTGTCTAAGTGTCGTATGAAACAATTCATTCCCCGGTGGATAGGCACTGATCCCAAATCTAGAGATAGAATAGCAGCTCGAAGGGCTGATCAGAAATGCCATAGCCCTGTGTATTTATGGGTTGATCAACAATCTCCATGTAGGCCGGATTTAGATTGAAGCACTAATTCGCGATCGCTCATGATTATGCCACCGCCCACCGTCTGTCCTGGCTTCGCGTTGTCTCCATCAATCAGCCTTCTCTCCATGGGCCACCACCTTGATAATGCTTGCTTGGTGGCAATGATTCTCAATGTCAAGAGTGGAAGAATATGAGGTCTGATTTCGGTCCACTGCACTATGTGAATGGTCGTTGATGGGTGATGGCACGCCGGCGCCTCACGAAAACCCGCCGCTTGGGAGGTGAGGAGAACAGAGGTACCCTAACATCGTACTCCGTCCTCGCCCAACCCCTCCAAATGTCGATTAGTGGATGAGGACCAACCTTTGCATAATGTATAGGATAGTGAGGTACTTCCTCATTACCCTTGCGTTGAGTGCTCAGTGCCCATTCCTCACCGTATTACGCCCATTGAATAGAACTGAGCATGGTCTCGACCGACCCGACTTGCTCACAGACTATTACACATCTTGGCCTACTCACTCAACCTGACTGGTGGGAAGGGGAATGAGCGGCCTGAGGAAGCTCTCGCTGAATAGGCACCACACGCCAGCCCTATCCACGTGGAATCTTTCTATTTGGGCCCTATTAAGGCTCTCCCAGCGGCGAATGCAAATTCTGGTTCTGGATTCTCATCAAGGGCCTATGGTGCGCCTTAATCCCCGCTACGTCGGAGACACGTGTGCTTGACAGATTTGGACAGCTTTTTTCTTCCGTTGCAAAAGGCTTAAAAGGTCCGTTCAGCGTAAACCGCTATCCCACTAAGTGGGCCACGAAAGGTATTCTTTGTAATTCTGTTACTATCCTGGGAAGCCACTCGGGCTCCTGAGAGGCTAATCGAACCGCTGAAGCTAATGAGTCTGTGATCACGAGTGTTTTGGGCTACGGTGTCATAGTCTCATTACCTTACATGACTATCGTTCTTAATGGACCGTCTGGCGTCTGTTCCACTCCTTGCAGAGTCCCCGGAAATGCCCCTCGCATCTCAACTTAATGCCAGGCATGTTGCGCCGATCATTTCCGGATCGAGACGGTGAAAGGCCTCAGTGATTTGAAATCAAATCGGCAGGATAACGATAACTCTCCGATAGAACCAGGAAAGATGATTGGAAATCAGCCCCATTCACGGATTCACAGTGTATATCCGGGCCTTATAAGAAATGGAGAAAAAAAAAAAGGAGGAGACAAAAGGGAACCTCGAATCATATAGATTTCGAACATTTTGGGGTTGAGTCTGAAATTCGGCAGGATCGACGTCATGGCGTACCATGGCATCCATCCGCGGTCGGGTATAAAGTAGTGAGGAACACATCTTCTCTCCTCATTCTTACCACCCTTTTCAAAATGACGAACTTGACTGCTCTACCTGCGGGATCATTGGTCCTTGTCACCGGAGCGAATGGATATATCGGCTCTCATGTAGTCAACACCCTACTTCAACTTGGGTACCGAGTCCGAGGAACTATTCGTTCCCCCAAACCGTGGCTTGACAACTTGTTCGAGACTAAATATGGCCCGGGCGTTTTCGAGTCCTACGTACTGCCTAGCTTCGATGACAGTGCGCTGCTGGATCAATGTTTGGACGGCACATCTGGGATAGTGCACGTGGTACGTTGTGACTTCCAACGGTCGCCCTCTTGTCCATCCCAAGGGTTCATTCCAGCTAAAGCGATATTACAACTAGGCTTCGGACGTCTCGTTCAATGATGACCCGAATTCCGTTATTCCTTGGGTTGTGCGAGCTGTCGAAAATGTCCTGGAGGCTGCATCCAGACACTCCTCTATCAAGAGATTTGTCTTGACCTCCTCGTCTTCAGCTGTGCTTATTCCTGTTCCAAACAAGGAAGGAGTTCAAGTCGATGAAGGTAAGTTCATGCGCGCTTTCCTCATGATCGCAATGTCAACGCAAAGTGTCGAAAACTAACGAACGTCTGTTCTTAGGTACCTGGAATGAAGCTGCCGTGAAGGCTGCATTTGATCCAAGTGTAAAGTCTAGCAATAAACCCTACGTCGTGTACGCAGCTTCCAAGACACTTGGTGAACAGGCGGCTTGGAAGTGGATCGAACAACACAACCCTCGGTTTGTTTTCAATGCGATCCTACCCAACTTTAACGTATGTCTTGAAATATACCCAGGCCCAGTTACAAGCGCTGACATCAGAGTGCATTCAGACGGGTGAAATTCTTCACGAGAACATTGGCGGATCGACCATGGGACTGATCCGCAAAGTTCTGAAGGGCGACAATGGACTGTTCGCATTCCTGACACCTCGTAAGTCAATTTGGTCTAATCCAACCCCACCTATCCTGAGGTAGTCACCACGTCAATTCGAGCGACCATGCTAAACTCAAGGACTGTTCAGAATACTATGTGGACGTTGTCGACACCGCCCGCCTTCATGCTATTGCGTTGCTTGCGCCCAGCGTTAAGTCGCAGCGTATATTTGCGTTTGCAGCTCCGTTCAACGTGACTGATGTCATTTCGATTCTTCGAGGACTTCGGCCTGACCATAAGTTCGATGATCCACCGGCGAACGAAGGCCAAGACCTGACTGAAGTGGTACCGGCGCCCAAAGCCGAAAAGCTTCTGCAGGAATACTTTGGTCAGAAGGAATGGACTCCTCTCAAAGAAAGTATTGCCGCGGGAATTCGTGATCTCTAGGATATGCTTAACTACAGCTTTGGTCAAAATTGAAAAGCTGACCACACTCGTGCTTCCCTGGGAAATACTCTCATTTGACTCGAATTAAAAACAGTGCTCGATTGTGGATGAGAAAAATTCCAGAAATAATCGTGCATTGACCCTGAGACCACAGAAAGTGACTTTTAGTAGCATCCCATTATATAGAAGATTGATCTTAGGCAATTTTGACACCCAGCCACACAGACGCTACTGTGCTTGCGCCTGTGAGACTACCGGCCACTCTCACTATCCACTGAAATATAAACTTCTACAAGGATGACCTTTAGACATTCTCCCATAGCACTTCTGCCGATACAAATGATGAACGACTTTCATTCAAGGCGATGTTCAGTCCTTCGAAATGAGAATACTAGGACTGGAAGTGTTATGTCAGCTACCATTCTTTTTGACTTTCTGGTTATCTATTGCTACCCAGGGAAGCTATGTTGTCGCCGGAGACTCTGTTCCACACCCCATCCATCTGCCAACAAGCCCTTGACTTCCTCAAGACCAAGTCCACTCAACTCCGGATAGATTGCACGTATAGCCACCCATCCAAAGGCGCAGACCACGGCATAGACCAAAAAAGTCCAAGTGGGGGTTAACCACACCATCATAGGTAAGAAAGTGAGTCCGACAATGAAATTTGACCCCCAATTCGTCGCTGTGGCGAGACCTGATCCGAAAGAACGAACATTCAAAGGAAACAACTCTGCTTGCTGCCACGGCACGTTGCCGAGCCCGAAGGCGTAAGATGCGGTGTAGACAGTCAAGCAGAACAGAATCAGTAGAGCGTATAGCGAAGTCTGGCTGTCTTTATCATCGCCATGAGGTCTGGGGTGAGTGTCAAATGGAATATCTAATGAAGAGAACGCGATGGCACAAAGGCCCAACGCAAGAATCATGACGGGTATTGAGTAAAGCAGAATTCGCCGTCTTCCAACTCTATCGATTAGCCAAAATGCGAGGAGGGTGAATATGAAATTCGTCACCGCAACTGTCAGGGATGTCAACGTCGGAGAGGAAAACGACAGGGATTTGAATATGATCCCTGAGAAGTACATTAGGCTGTTGAAGCCACATAGCTGCTGCAGTCCTTGGAGCATCATGGCTATTATCAGGGCCCTCCTATTCCCACCATCGTGGAAGAGATCATGTGCTCGCTGGGAGGCGTCATGCAGCCACTGTGGTTTCGTACCAGACACCTTAATCTGGTCGGTCTCCAACGCCTCCTCGATGATTTCACCTCTGATATTGCGCATGACCTGAGCCACGACGCGGTCACGGTCGGGGCAGACTTGGTAAATCTGACCCAGGACGTTCATGGCTCGGGGTTCGAAGCCTGCCTGCACCAGCCACCGGGGTGTTTCTGGCAATATGACCATCAAGGCAAATTGTAGAACTGCCGGGGCCGCCCCGAGTCCTACAATCCAACGCCATCCGCCGGAGGTTTCGGAAAACAGCCAACCGACGATATATGCTACAACTTGACCTCCAGTGATCAGCAGGCACATGATTGTGACGAGTCTTCCCCTTGCATGCGACGGTGCGATCTCCGAGATGTACCTAGGAGATTGATGAGCGCCATGTTTGATGAGTGTTCGTGGACAGCAGAAGAGACCTACAATGGGGTCACGGCACTAGCGCTCCCAACCGCCAAGCCAACAATACTGCGCCCTAATATCATGCCCCACACATGACTCGTAGAGGCTTGAATTAATGCGCCCAGGGCAAAAAGGGCATCTGCAACGAGGATCACACGCCGCCGGCCGCACTTGTCAGCCAAAACCCCAGTGAAGGGGCTGGCCACCAGCGCGAACAAGCTCGTACAGGACGTGATAAGGCTTTCATCGAGAGTGTTCAGTGGACGACTGGAAAGATCTGAGCCAATTGTTACAAGAGTGGAGGATATGACACCAGTGCTGTTAGAGTCGATTCGTCAGCTTCGAATCGCTGCAGTAATAATCAGAGCAGACAATCACGTACTCGTAACCAAAAAGAAGCCCGCTAATACCTGCAGACAATGTCAAGGTCCATATGAACCATCCACCGGAATACTTCAGCTCGCTCGCTAGAGCTTGATCATCGTGGCCCTGCACCGGAGACGTGTCGGTCGAGGCAAGTAAAGGGGCGTGGGGACCAGAATGATCTGGCTCCTCTCTTGTCATATCTCGGAGCTCGTATTGAGTATGAAGATTTGCACTCCCATGGTATGACATGCAGAAGATCCACGACGGTCTCAGGTTGCAGGTTGAAGGTTGGCCCCGGCCTGCTGACTCATCATGAGGTGAATTTAGACTGTGGGACTCAGGCCGGAAACCGGGAGGCAATCCGGGGATCGGCCATACCGGACCACGATAACGGCCCGCCAGCCCCCCACTCGGCGTAAACACATTTCCCTCTTTTTGATGCCAGGGTCACGCTAGGCCGAGGGTCGGGACTAGCCGACGCCCTCCATCTCAAAAAGGGAAATGAGGAAGAATGCCACGGCATTGGCATACTCCGGACCCATTTACGCCCAGAGCAAGCCTTCCGACTTCTTGGCGTTTCACACCATTGATACTGATTTTCGTGGCTAGGAACTCCGAAAGCTCGGTTGTGGGGATATATGGAAGCTGCTGCTACTCAAGTGGACAATACAGGTGAAGCCTTTGCGGCTATATCAGGCTCGACTTGAAGGTACAATCCGGCAGTCGGTTTCCAAGCAAAATGACCAATTTCCCCCCCTCCCGAAGTAAAAAATAACCCGATCATTCAAGTTTCACAAAAGCAATATTGGAGTGAAATTCCCCGCGATTTGCACTTCCCAAATCCGTCAGTTGGGATGCAGTCACATCTGACCGCGGCTGTTCCCATACAGCATGCCAAGTACCGGCTGCACTCACGGAGTACTCATGCCCCTTGTGGAAATGGACTCCAGGTAGATTAACCGTAAAATGCATAGTTTGACCGCCAGAGATCTCCACTAAGTCTTCCAACGAGGGCGGGAGCTTCCGTGATATCCTGATGATGTCAAGTGGTATGGGCTCCCCGCTTCCAGTATCACAGACATCAAAGACACCTAGGACACCGGCACGAGCATCAATGGGCGAGCCCCATTTAAGCACGGTGATCGGTGACTCGGCAGGGTTGTAGATTGAAACCGTGATAGGTACGACAGGAGGCGAAAGCGTCTCAGTCGCCAATGACTGGGAAGCTAGGTTGATTTGAAGACTGGAAAGAGACTGCATCCCGACGCGAGAGGGTGAACAGTTCAAAGAGGGGAAATGATGAAGAACTCAAGCGGGAAGCAAAGCCTGACGGTCACCACACTGCAACAGCCTACAGAGTAGGTTACGTGGATTGAAGAAACGGGGGAGAGACACCTTCATGATGAAAGGTCAATGACCGCGGTTTCCGTGTTCTACTAATCATTACCTCAGCTCAAGCTGTTCAACAAGCCTTGACTCCGCGTTGTCCCCGGTGCAACCCTCCCCTCTCTGGCTTGGCATAGATCCAGGTTAAGTGCAATCTCCGAACCGTCAAGTGACCCAATCACCAAAGTGGACGCCAAGTGCAAGACTTGAAGAGGCTTAGACAGGCTTGGGTTGTATCTTGGCGCCGGAGTCCGACGATGCTGCAGGGTTCACGGCCTTGGCATTTTCTTTGCAGACATCTAATTCAATTATCACGGAAGTAGAAACGTGCAGTCGAAACTTGCCCGCTCTCTTTTAGACAATCAGGTCTATGTAAGTCGATTTCCCAATTTGTTGCTCAGACTATATTCGCTGTACTTGGCTATAACCGGTTGCAGGCAATCAATACTTTCAAATGGCTAGACCTTCATTTTGCTAAGCCAAGGCCAGCAAATGAAACAAGTCACTTTATCAAAACACAAAGAGTGATCGGCACCATTCGGTGATCATCACAGATATCAGATTACCATAGAAGACACGGGCCTCCGTCGGGCCAAGAAAGGGTAGCCATTTCCTGTCCAGGAACTTTCCGTGTGCTTCAGGCCTCCTCCGGGCTCCTCGAAGATATCTACGACCAGTGAAGAGATGGGATTCAACGATCTTCCAAGATCGATACTGATAAGGAGAAATGGATAGGTTAGAGCGAGACTGGCTTGCAGCAGCACGATACTACCTTCTCGACTCAGTTATCTGGGTTGGCGATCAGTTTGGGCCGGGAGATCTACCGGTACATCTCTAGAACGGGAAGTATACTTCGATATCAAGACGCTTGAATCATCTATAAAGCGCGGTATGTTGCCCACCGAGAAGGACGCAAGATTCCAAGGTTCAGAGTCATCATCAATCAAGTACGATCACAATCGATCTCTGAAATCTTTCGATTCCTCGATTCCAATTGAATTGCTCCAGTTCATCATGCATTTTACTGCCTTCTCTACAGTCCTACTGGCCCTCGCACAGTACGCATGCGCTGTGCCGGTGGAAAGTAACCAGGCGTCCGGTCTGGATGTCACCCTCAGGCAAGTGGACCACACTCGCATCAAAGCCGTGGTGAAGAACGCCGGGAACGAGGAGGTGACCTTTGTGCACCTCAACTTCTTCCGTGACAGCGCCCCTGTGAAGAAAGTCGCCGTTTACAAAGACGGTACGCTTTTCCCGTCCCGCTAGAACTGAGTGTAATGCTAATTTCCCATGCAGACGCTGAGGTCGCCTTTGAGGGCATCAAGCGCCGTCTCAAACTCGAGGGCCTTACGCCGGAGGCCCTTACGACCCTTGCAGTGGGAGAAACTGTGGAAGATGAATTTGATGTTGCTGCGACCAGTGATCTTTCCCATGGTGGACCTATGCTGGTGCGTTCCAACGGCTTGGTGCCTCTGGTGAACAACGGTTCCGTCTCTGGATACCTGCCGTACCACTCGAATGAGCTCAAGCTCGAAGTGGATGCCATTATGGCATCTCGAGTCACCAAGGCAATCAACCCTTTGGCTCGCCGAACCAAGGAGAGCTGCAGTAATTCTAGCGGAAGACTGCTCTCGAGAGAGCACTTAAAAATACCGCGTCTCTGGCTAATGCCGCCGCCCAAGCCGCCCTCTCCGGATCAGCCTCGAAATTCCAGGAGTATTTCAAGACGACCTCCAGCTCGACTCGTCAGGTTGTGGCTGCTCGGCTGAAAGCAGTAGCCAAAGAGGCTCAGTCGACTAGTTCGGGCTCCACTACGTACTACTGCACCGATGTATACGGATATTGCGAGACAAACGTGCTGGCCTACACCCTGCCCTCCTTGAATGCGATTGCGAACTGCGACATCTACTACTCTTATCTTCCCAGCTTGGCCAGTACCTGCCACGAGCAGGACCAAGCGACCACCACCCTCCATGAATTCACCCATGCTCCCGGAGTGTACAGCCCCGGCACAGAGGACCTCGGGTACGGTTACTCGGCCGCTTCATCTCTCAGTAGTAGCCAAGCTGTCCTGAATGCTGATTCGTATGCTCTGTATGCCAACGGTACGTGAATTAGCCCCTCTATCACTCCGTCCGCTGATGCAATACTAACCGCCGGATAGCAATCAACCTGGGATGTTGAGAAGCCAGCATCGAACGACTTCAGATGTCAGACTTGAGGATATAGGGATGTGACAGTTGGAAGATGGATGATGCGGATTGTGGATCGGGGGATCATGCGAGTTCGGATTTGTTGAGTCGATAAATGGTCGGAATTGATTCAGCCCATTTGCAACCTTGGATATAACGCTCGCGAAACATACTATCGTCCAGGAAGCGCATATAGGTAGCGAAACAAACCCTTCACAGATGAGTCGCGCTTGTTGTAGTCCTCAGAAACCCTGTGTAAAGTTTGGTTGATGGACAGATGGAAGAGTAGTCAATCATTGGTTCTTGTTTACTAGCCACGTCGTTCAACGTGATTCACGATAGTACTATGTCACAAGCTCAGTGTAACTCTGATTTGAACCAAATTCCTTGAGTAGTTCGGTTCGGTGGGATACGACACATCATTTGAAACGTGATCAACATGCGAGAAGTGAGGCAGCAAAACAACAATCAATTTATGATGAGGGTAGCAAGAACAACTTATAGATCAGAGCGAGGTCGTAGTCATAGAGCTCGGCTCAGTCCCACTCAGGCCAGACCGTGATCTCTCTGAGTTCCTCCCGATGTGCCCTGTAGTAGGCCTGCCCCAATGTGTGGAGTTTGCGACGGTCAGTCTTTTTTGACTTTGTTCGCGGGATGCGGTCAACAAGCAGGTAGAGGCTAGGTACATAGTATGGGGGCAATTCTTGTCGAATCGCATCACTGAGAGAATGAGTCAATTTAGAGACGGCATGTCGATGAGTGATCGGTCGAAATTGCATGTCTTCCACAGAGCCCGTTTCCAAGTTCATCGGGTTGTTCGCCAGATACAAATACACTGCCAGAATCGGGTCACTGACCCCATCTATTGCACCCAGGAGATCAACCACGGCTCCATCTCCAGTCGCCAGCAGACGGCGCAAGACATATTCAATCTGACCGGCTTCCACCCGGGCTCCATCCAATTTCAACATACTATCCCTTCTACCGATCACCTCAATAGTGCCGTCATGGTTGTATCGACCTAGATCGCCAGAGCGATATGCTCGGTGAGTCGGCCGTTCGGGATGCAGCTGCTTTGCCCAGGCTGGTGGCTCATCCAGATAGCTCTGGGATATGCCTGACAAGTGATCTAGATATCCTCGAGAGACATGAGGGCCTTCTATCACGAGCTCTCCGATCGCGCCTACAGGCATAAGCTGATCAAGGGCATCGGGATTAACAATCCAAATAGCTCCACTCGCAGGGTAACCCACGACAGCCCCTTGGCCTATCCGAAGATTGGGATTATAGGCGCAAAGGGAGGCCACTTCACCCATACCATATTGATTTACAAGACGCACCCGGTGGAGCCATTTAGCCATGACAGCGTCCGACACTGGCTCTCCACCAACACACATGGTCTTCAATGTCGGTACACGATCGGGGTCGATATCGATGGCAACAGATGGAGTGACAAACATGAAGTTGGCTTCTAGCTCATTTAAATCATTCATCAATGCGTCCATAGTCAGCGACGTTGTGGGAACACAGCAGCAGCCTCCGGCGATAAGAGGTGCCAGAAAGTCGTTGTTGCTAATATCGAAGGCATATGCATCGAACTGAAACAGTCGGGAATGAGGACCCATGTTCATCACTCGGATATAATCGGTCAAAGCAGATGCATAACTGCGGTGCTCTTGAATAATCCCTTTCGGATTACCAGTACTTCCAGACGTAAAGAGTACAGTGCAGGGATCCGTGGGCAAGACGCTGACGCGGGGAACTCCTACTGTCGGTGGCAATTGTTCAAGTGAAGACTCGTCGACTTCGAAACTGGTTTTCACTAGATCAGCGAACTTGGGTCCGAAGCCAACGGACGTTAACACGATCTGGATATGGGTTCGCTGCAACACCGACTCTCAGTAAGATGGAGGATCATGCGCATCAACACAGAGGTATGCACCGCCGGCAATCAAAATTGCCAGGCGAGCGACAATTGCCCATGTCGATTTGTAAAAAGTGCACGCAACAAATATCCCAGGACCAACTCCCTGTCCAATCAGCCAGTGTGCTAGTCGAGAGGCCCACTCACTCAGTTCACGATAAGTCAGATCGCCATCCCATGAACGGACCGCTGGTGCATCGGGGGTGGTATCCACGTGCCGTAGACAGAGATCGTGGAGGAGGACATCCTGCGCCGGAGCAAGTGGTCTAGTGAAATCTCTAATAAGAGAATTGTCGTGAGGAGAGCATAGGTCGATAAGGCCGACTACTTGGGTGGGCTTGTTGACAACGGACGATAGCGCCTGGTTGAAAGTGTGAAGGAGGCTTGTTGCAAGGGCCCTGCTAATACCATTCGAATCCGCATCGAGTTGAGCGCGGAATCGATTGTCTGGCATCTTTGTGACATACAGAAGAAGTCCGCTGTGTGAAGGCTCCAGTCTGGACGACTCAACGATCGTTGAACAGCAGATCTGGTCAGTGTCCATACATGAACGGGTACCCGAGCCATGATGTTCTACTGGTTGACTCTGATAGACGATTGTGCAATCGAACTTGGAACCCTTATCGTTACTTGTAGGCACACCAGTAGAAGTATTCTCCTTTGAGACGAGCTCGAGACCGCCGACCAGTTGCTGGAAGAGCTCCAGAACGGTAGCTTGGGTGTCAAGATGGAGTTGTCCGGTGGGCAATGGGATATTCCCATGTGTCTCCCCGACAAAGCTGTATCCCTGGTGGTAACTTTCTCCGATATATAGGGTGGTAGATGCGACAAAGGCACGAATTGCAACTAGCCAGGCCAAATGAAAAAGACGCTGAAGTTGGATGTCTGAAGGGTCATCTTGGACAGCCGGTGGTGCATTGAGATGTTCGACCAGGTTGGGGATCCGCCGTGGACGCTCGGAAAGGACTAGGTCCGTAACTGACCGAGGCAAGTCTAGTGGAGGTGAATCAGAAATGGCCACGGGGAATGGAGCCGGCTGGGAGTCTAAAAGAATAGGAGCCATGGAGGTTTGCCTTCAGTGACATTGACGAAACTTGCGACGTTTTCGGTGACTGGGAAGACCGAGCTGTTAAATGTCCTAGGTACTTTGTCCATCCACAGCGCCTCGGTGAGGGCGAGCGTGTCTCTGCTGAACGAGGGCAATCAATTGGGATCTGCCTGGTACGGCGCAAAGGCTCCTCAGGCGTCGCCACAGGAAGCCAACGGACATCCATTGGCACACAACGAATGATGTTTGCTGTCAAGGATGCATTTGCAAGCGGGCTGGCTGATCGAGGTGCAGCTGTCACGAACCCATGCTCATCCGGGCAAATAGGGCAATCGGTGCCGGGCAGCTTACACGAATCGTACTGTCTCGGGAACAACTCATCAGAAGAGACGACGAGGGTCTTAACCCTGAGTATGCACAGTGCATCGGGCTGTATGGATTGATGCCCCTCTGCACCAAAGAATACAAAAGACTTTGGAATTGAGTATGGCGATCTTTTCCGTTCCCTCCGGGGGCCAACGAGAGATCCTGTGATAGTGGCGTCAGTTCTTCCCCCCAACTGTGCCGGGGAAGATAACTCTAGAGAACTTCTTGACCTTGCAACCCAGGGGTCAAATCAAGGGTCATGAAACATCATTCATTTTCGCTAACTATGTACCGTCTGAAATGTTCTAAAGATCCGTAGCGTACAAGTATTCTAACCATCGATTTTGCTCAGGAACTCGGTGACAACCTCTGCAAAAAGCTTCCGGCTGCTCCACCATAGGCAGGTGGCCCGCCTTGTCGATGATCTTCAGCTCGGCACCACCACGCAAATCGGCCGCCATCTTCTGCATGGTCTGAGGCAGAACGCCGTCATTTGCACCGGCAACGAATAAGCCAGGCACAGTGGCATTAGCCATGCGGTCACGGATGTCGTAGGCACAGAGAGCCTGTACACTGTGTGCGAAGCCCTTTAGGCTGTTGGTCCGCACCGCCTCCTTGACCGTTGCTAGCACGTCGGGCTGGGTCTCGTACGACTCCGGGACGAACCAGCGTCGCGTAGTCGCCTCAGCCAGCTGCTCGCCGACAATAGGCTCATTAGTCTCTGGGTCCACGGAGCCCTCCTGCTCACAAATAGCGACACGATCAGCCCAGGCCTTGCGGTTCGATTCCGGGGCAGACGAGTTGGTGTCGCAAGCGATGAATGCTCCCACGCGCTCGGGGAACAGAAGAGAAGTGTTGAGAACGGTGACACCACCCAGACTAACACCGATCAAGCGGGCGCCCTTGGGCGGCACGCGAAGTGCCTCGAGCAGAGTGGCCAGGTCGGATGCTAGCACGTCCACACTGACGGGCTGCTCACCGCTTGCCGAGCGACGGCCGCGAGTCAAGTATCGCACAACACGGTACCGTTGATTCTCCTTGCGTGAGAGGAAAGAGTCGACAAAGCGGTCCCAAATGTGCCAGTCGACTAAGATTGAGTTGCTGAGCACCACCACGGGAGCGGTGGGGTCGGTGCTTCCCTCCAAGCGGTACGGGATCTCGACGCCATCCTTGGTGGTCACAAAGGACTCGACTGCCGGTCGTGTGGGCGAGGGAAGGTGCGCGTACGGCCGTCATTTGACGACCAGGGCCCAACGACGTCGGGTGCGGCCAGGGAAGAAAGCTCGCGGGGCGCGGGACCAAAGGTGTAGTACCATTGGTAAACCCGGCGACGCTTGGAGGCCACCACATTGGTCATGAGGCGGTCGGCCCAGGGAGTTTTCATAGCGGCCTGATGGGCCTCCCCACCTAGGCCGTTGGCGGGGGCATATTCGTGGAGGGCCAGGGTCTCGCGCGGAGCGCCGGAGTCAATGGCAGCGGTGACGAATAGACGGCTACGACGCCAGCCAGGCACGCGAGAGAGCATCTCGAAGTGTTCCTCGCGATACCAGCGTTCATACTCGGCCTGCTTCTCGGGATCGGGGTGTGTGGTAGTGGTCACGGCAACCATGACGCTTCCGCGGGTCTCGGCATCGGTATCGGCTCGATCTTCAAGCGGGCGATAGTCGGGGGAGCTTCGTTCAGCCACCAGGTCATACAGCAAGCGGCCGACATCAATCTGGGCCATGGTTTTCTTTTCGCGCTCAGTCTTGATCAGATCCGTTCGCAGGTCCAGGTAGGTCTTGCGGGTCAACTCGTCCATGTCGGTGATATCGTACAGCGCGACGTACTCGGGCTGCTCACCGTCGGTCGCGCGGAAGCGAAATCCGTTACTGATGAAGGGCAGACGCAGTCGCAGAGGGCCATGCTCGGTGTTGTACCAGTCGTGGAACTGGGTGTCCGGCAGCGAGCCCTTGGGCTGCATCGTCACGTAAAGGAGACCGGGGGTAGGCATGGTGGATTTGATCAGGAGGCGTGGAAGGAGAGTTCAGCGATTCACATCCAGAGTGAAGACGAGGTAGGACTTCAGCCCATTATACACTTGATCCATGACGAAGTGGTTCCGGCAGTGGGCAGTTGCCCCTCACCGGAAGAAAGCTGAGCGCAACCGATCTTCACTGCCGAAGCTCCCTCTTTAATTCTCCGCATTTGAACTTTGGCTACACCATAAGTGTCACTGATACTATCATCATAACTATGACTATAAACTCTGACTATCACTATTAATCCTACGATGACTTCTACTATTGCTACTACTATTATTGCTTCTACCATCAAGATCACTATTACTATATTCGGCATATTTTTGGTTCCATTCACGTCGTATCTACATGGGTCTTGGTACATCCAAATACCATCTTTGTGGTCATTTAATCATACCAGATCGCGTTCATGCCAAAGCCCTGCTCCGGAATGTCCACACGGGCTACGCGAGCCAGGGTCTCGTCGCGCCAGCGGTACATCTCGACAAAGCCCAGCTGATCGTCGCAGAGAGCTACCCATTCGTCGCTGAAGTCGCATGGGCTGACAGCGTTGGAGTGACCACCGCTGGTAGAAGTGGGGTTAATGAAGAGCTGACGCTCGATTTCACCGCTGGGTCCTAGCTTGAAAGCAGTGATGTAGCCTGTCACATCGAAATGATTGGACCGGGTGGTTGCGAAAAGGTACTCGCCGCTCTTGGTGGTGAATGTCACATCTCCACGGTACTTATTACGGGGGGGGAGTCCTACAAGCATTGCATATATTAGCTTCCGAGGACATGTATCGCGAGCACGTACACTTACCAGAGGGGAGCAACGGATAGGTGATATGGGTGAAGACCGGCTTGTGAGTGCGCTCGTCGATCACATAGACAGCTAGGCGGTTGCCCGCCTCCATCAGAGCGTACAAGTATTTGCCAGTGGGGTGCATTTCGACCCAGCGCGGGTGATCACCGGGGGCGGGAGCCTCGAGACAGTCGACCAGAGTCAATTGACCGGTCTCCGCGTCCTTCTTGTGTGTCCAAATCTTGTTGGCCTGCAGATCCGCCGAGTACAGGTAGGTCTCAGTCGGGTCGAACACCATGCCGTGAATGCCTGTGTTCTCTTGGTATTCGTAGTTCTGAACATTGGTATCGAGAGCACCGTCGGGCTTCACGGAGAAGACGTTGCCGAATCCAGCATGCTTGTAGAAGGGGTTGCCGTACACGTTGTAGGGAGGCTTGTGAGCCGCAAGTACAAAGATGGCACGGGTGTTGGTTTCGGCGCTGGCGGCCAAAGCTGGTGCGAAAAAGGAGACCGAGTCAGCGCGAAACAATTCGGGCGAATGGGCGAAGTCGGGCCAGTTCTTCCCTCTGCACTTACGATGTCCCGCAACCGGGTGAGAGGCCTGGTGAACGATGTCGGTGGGGCTGTTGACGGCGAAGCTGTTCCATTTTTTCATAGCCGCACCGTAGATCGTCTTCTTGTCGTGGGAAAAGGTCATCCATGAGATGGGCTCGGCCTCGGGAATCTGGGTGGTCTGGACCAGCTCAAGGGTGAGAGCCTCGTCGTCGAATTGGACGGTGTAGATGCGCCCGGGGGCGGTCCACGTCCCGACCATCAAATGGTGCTTCATGGCGGCGGTAGCAGTGTGGGAAAAGGGTCGAACGGCGATGGGAGTATTCAAGGCCAATGCCCGAGCAATTGCAGGTCGGATCATTCAGAGCATCCAGAAAACCACGATGCTATTCCCACGTAGCTGCGGGGGAGAGCGTAGCTTCGGCATAGAAGGGCGGCACGTGCGGGCAGAAACATTTAACCAGGCGCGCATCCTGGGGCATCTCACCCATCAATCTGAATGGCCATCTTCATTCAAGGTGGGGAGCAGACGAGTGGCAATCCCGGCGGACCAAACTTGCGCCGGCACTGAGTCAAGCGCAATCCCGAGCTTCCGGGAGTTGGCGCGCGGCCGCTGCCGAAGGCGCTCCGCCGAATTGTCGGAAACGAGACATTGAGGAATTGAGGTATTGGAGCTGGAAAATGCCAGTGACAGTGGGGCTTCCCGAACTTTTTTTGCCCGTCATTTTGACCGCCTCCATAACCGCCCTGTAAGCCCGATAGAACAGACGATTTGCATTGTTTATAGAGTCAACATTGATATTCATATCAATATCAATATCAAGTGTTCTCGTCACAGGGCTGAAAGGTAATTCAATGTGCTATGGAGGTCTCTATCTAAGTCGCTCTGGTCCAGGGCCATCTCCGCTCTCCTCTCCTCTCCCGCTTCCTGAAGATGCGGTACCAAACCTTGCCCGCTGGTGGCAGGGGTACGATGCTATGCACCAGCATAGGAAGATCCAGATCACGCGCATATCCACATATTGCTTTCATCGCATGAGTGTCATGCCACTCACTAGGACCATATTGAAAGACCCTTTTCTCGAGATGACTGCGAAGCCTCTGACACTTTGCAGCGGATACTCGCCAGGCATTCTCCCATTCCTTCCGGTCGGCAGCTATGGGATTAAGATGCCGCGTAGCCAATTTATGTCGTGTTGCAGCAAGGGTGTCGCAGATAAATTTTATGATGCCGATGGAGTTATCCATTTTCGCGAAATAGTCTCGAGGCATGCGCGTCATAATCCCGCAGAAGATATCTGGGCTATTATCTTCCCTTGACGCAGAAGCGAGTCGGAGTGCGTACGCTGGTTCTCCTTGGCTTCCCTGTGCGGTCACGTCAATGCAGGGCTCCATTGGGTCGACATAGCTGCACAGCCATTGTATAGATGTAATTCGATTTTCCCGAGCGGCGTGCATCAATGCGTTGTTGCCCTTGTGATCCTTGACTGTCGGCTCCGTTCCCGCACGACTTAAGAGCCAGATCATAAAATCCTCTCCGTGGGGATTCCCTTGCGCTGCAGCGTGCCACGAAGTCCTTCCAAGCTCGTCTTTTGCGTTGCCAATATTCAGGTCCATGATGAAGAGCTGTTCAGCTAGTTCTGGAGAGATAAATGCGCATAACTTGAGCTTGAACTCGTCCTCGTCAAAAAGATCAAGCGGGTTGTAGTGTCCAAGAAGCTGGTGTAGGATCATTTCAAACCCGCTTTGGTTACGCTTTTCGGCTAGTTGAACAAGAGGATGTCCACATAGCCGACTGAGGGTCATGTCTGTAGTTCGATCGACGTCTGCTGGGGTCATGATATTGAGAAGATATTGCAGGCAGTCGTTGTTGTCGTTGTCGATAGCAGCGTGGAGATAGTTTCTTCCAGTCTCGTCGTAATACTCGATACCGACGAGGCGGTGCTCGACGAGAAACTTGAAACAATCCACACATTTAGCTGCCGCGTTATAAGGTAGCGTATTCTCTCGTGGGATGCTGATAGAATCCGCATTTTTTCGTGAGAGTTGTATGGGGCCACGAATAAGGATATCATCTCTGATTTTTCTTAGCAGAATTTGGACCTCATCTCGTTCAAGCCATAAATAAACGATGTCACAGATCTCTCTGCATGAAGACCTGAGAATATGCAACGAATGTATGCCGCTGGAAGTGAGATGGGGGACCTCAGTACCGATGAAAAACAGCCTATCGAGGACCGGAATGAGAATGTGAGCTGGGATTTGGGCGAGAGGGAGGTGTGAGGACCATTCGTAGAGCTCGTCCGGTGTTCCAGTGGAAAAATTGAATCCGCAAAAAGCGCTTGGGGGATGAAGTGGAGGATCGACAGCAAGAAAAAGAACCCTAACGTGCAAGATTTCAAAGAAGATGTCATACAAGGACAACTCCTCGACTGATGCCCCCAGTAAGCTTTTACTCCCATCCATGATACTGCATGGAAAATATGAGTTGGTCATGAATCAAGGATGAAGCAGCTTTTTATCTGCACTCTGGGACTCGATCCAGCGGACCTTCGCCTTTCAATAAAGCAATAATCTAAGATTAAATCAAATGGTGTGAAGAAAGAAAAACCAGAGAATGGTAGGAATGGAAATCCTTGTATTCAACCACTGAACGACTACAACGAAACTTAATAAATTCAGTCATTACTGAGTCTCGTGAACGGAATATCGCATTATCCGGATGGTCATTCTGAGCAACATGCCCAGATATGAGATGAAATAATGACTGTCGTCGACTTCAGAGGGCAAGCAGAAATTTATGAGCATCACAACTCTCGGTGCTTTACTTGCTGCTTTTGGTACAAAGCCATGACCTTACAGAGAGAGAAACATAGGAACGATAAAAAAGGAACAAAGAACTACGCCGGAGTACACTTCAACGGAATCTAGAACGCATGGCTTCTCTCGTGCCCTCGAATTGTGCAGGGAATACCAAGGCTCCATCAATGAAAGTTTGACAAAGAGACCCTACCAGTGACAGGGCACAAAGCAAACCCGGCAAGACTTTTCTCGGGTGACCACCTCGAACTCTTTTTTTTGGTTTTAATAGCTGACGTGAACTTTCAGGATGAGATTCATTTGTCTTTATTTGTTAGAATTGAAGCTTCATCCAGATCGACCGATGTAGACATGATCTTGCTATCATATAACTACCTATTCCAAGGTACATGTCGCTCAGCTGAAAGGAATGATAATCTGGTTATCAGAGTGGGCATGAATGTCTGCTTACGTATGTTGCCATAGGTTTGAACGGCGTGCTTTCTACCACAGATTTTTTCCACCTCGATAAAAGGATGATATTCCGTTTTCCATGTCTCTTGAAGGCTTTAGAAGACCCTAACCATTTTTCAGACCTAATTAATTGCTGAGAAAACTGCACGACCAAATGACCATCCTCAAAAAAAGGCTCAAGTCTGTTTTTCACCAGCAACCATCGGTGACGGCAGTAGTCAAAACAATGCATCCCGAGGAATAGTCAATGGTATCGCCACTCTATTTACCCGGATACATCACCTCCCAAAAGCCAAGAAAAGGGAAAGTTCTGCGGATAGTGCCGCTGAGCAGGGCCAAGCCCGAAAACCTGCATCAACGACTGTAAGATAGAGTCAGCCAATCTCATATATCGCTTCTCGATGCACTTCATATCGGACATTGATATTGATACTCTGGACCGCAAGATACGCCGAGATCGCTGACATGATACCTGACAGTTACGCCCAGGACGCCAAGCTGTGCTCGGGAGGAAAGGACTGGATGACGAGTTTCTCGGCGGCACGACTCTTGCCCTGGGATCCACCAACGGGAAACGTGCGACTATGCGTGCCACGGAACTAGACACCATCATGCTCAATATATACCGTCTTTTCTTCGCTTAAGTAATTTGAAAGGACAACGTAATGATGTTCAAATGGCCCGTTGATACCTCACGCGCATTCCTGTAAGCTGGCCTATTCGGCACGTCCTAGGGCCAAGTCCAATAATGTATTCGGCACGAACAGCGTTCCCTAGTCCGTTGATCTCCCGAGAAGTAAATTGCGGACGGTCTTGGGGAACGGGGGTTTAATGAGTCGTCTTCGGCCAAGCCGAGCGGAGATTTCAAACAATATTTCCTTTGTCGGACCCATATATGATTCTGCATATGCAAGTGAGATTGCAAAAATACGGCCCCACAAGCAGGCCCGATCCGAGTTCGTGCCATGAAGAGATGTGTCAATGACGTTCCGTTATCTGTTCATCTCAGGACTCGGCGCGCCACGCCATACTACATCGAGAGATACTACTTGGTCCGTCTGAGAGGTTTGGTCTTTTGGCATAGTCCATGGATTCTGCAATATCTAGCAGTTCGTGTAACTGATTTGTTCACCCTTTCCGACTCTCGTGGAATGATATGAGATTATTCGTATTTCCCAGTCGGTCTCTTATGGGGTAGCGTGGTCATCCGGACATTTAAGGTCGGATCAGTACGACCTCAGCTGAAGATAACATAATATGTTGCGCCTTGGCAAAGCGCGAGATGTTGCATTTCCAAGACACCAAGGCCTCTCGCCTTTATCCGAATTCTCTGGCCTATGCCGAATGGGTGCGATTGGTCTCAGTCGCATCTTATTTCTCAGGAGGCATCGGAGCAACATATTCCGTCTCAAGCAAAGCCAGAGATATAAATTCCCTCGTTGCGCTCTCGAATCGAAGGGTATGTCACACAGCTCAGCCACAGCCACAATCAATACACTTCATACACTCCATATTCTTCACAATTTCAGTCATGACTATCACCATCACCGTTGAGAAAGATGGTTACTATGAGGTGAATGGGACGCGACATGAACCTACCGTCTCTCTATATGTCATCCCGGCTGCCTCCAAGTTGCGTCGAATGCTTAGAGACACGAAGGACTTGATTGTGTGTCCAGGTGTCTACGATGGCCTCTCCGCGCGTGTTGCCATGGAACTGGGCTTCAAAGGTCTTTATATGGTATGACAACTACTGCTGATCTGTCTCCTCCACGTGTTCAACGCTCACAAGAAAGTAGACCGGTGCCGGCACAACCGCTTCTCGGCTGGGGATGGCAGACCTGGGCTTGGCTCAACTCCACGACATGCGGGCCAATGCCGAGATGATCGCAAATCTCGATCCATTTGGTCCTCCATTGATTGCGGACATGGATCATGGCTACGGAGGTGAGAGCTGCCGTCACCTGTAGGCGGGCAAGCGGGAGCTGACTCTACCTCTCACAGGGCCTCTTATGGTATCTAAATCCGTCCAGCAGTACATACAGGCAGGCGTAGCTGGCTTCCACATCGAAGACCAGGTTCAGAACAAGCGCTGTGGGCACCTTGCCGGCAAAAAGGTGGTTAGTATGGATGAGTACCTGACGCGGATTCGGGCCGCCAAGCTCACGAAAGACCGGCTGCACTCGGACATTGTTCTCATTGCACGCACTGATGCTCTCCAACAGCATGGCTATGAAGAGTGCATTCGTCGTTTGAAAGCAGCCAGGGAGATTGGAGCTGACGTTGGTCTTTTGGAGGGGTTCACTTCGAAGGAGCAAGCCCGCCAGGCGGTTCAAGACTTAGCTCCTTGGCCTCTTCTCCTCAACATGGTGGAGAACGGGGCCAGCCCATTGATTACGACCCAGGAAGCGGAGGAGATGGGATTCCGCATCATGATCTTTTCATTTGCATCGCTGACTTCCGCTTATTTGGGCATTCGTACAGCCTTGATGCGTCTGAAGACAGAAGGTGTTCTTGGAACCCCCGAAGGGCTTGGTCCACGGAAGCTGTTCGAGGTTTGCGGTCTTCTAGAATCTATGAAGGTGGACACCGAGGCTGGAGGTGATGGCTTTGCCGACGGCGTTTGAGATTTGAACATTGTAATTTCTCAAGTGCTCGGTAGTAGAGTCCTAGGAAGTTTACACGCATTCATATGTTGGCAACCCGCCACAAATATATTTGGTCATGGTGGATCTCAAATATTTGCAAATTGAAATTAAATGACATCCCTAGATCTCCACTCGGCCATGCGTATTTAAGAACCGTTCAAAGCATTCTAGATATCAAACTTTCATTGTAAATTTGACTCTATGGAAGATTCATCCCGAGTACTTTAGCAAGCAGGTGTACATTTTATAGGAATGTATTTCCCACGATGACCTAAGCATTGTGGCTGCGGGTCAAGTATTTCTCCACCCCGCAACCCCTCGATAAATCCCAGGCGATTGATTGTGTTCGGATTTGTTAGGTGGCATGATGTCGAAGAGCTAAATATCGAATATTGTGACAGTTCACTGGTCGGCAACGGAGCACAAATGCCCCTCGGTGACGTGTTTCGGCGGCCATTCCCCAATTGGAATTTGGCAGGGATTCGACACTAGGCCAACCAATGTAAGGCCAGAAGCAGAGCGTCCGTCAGCATCGGGAAATGGAATCCACGTCTGGTCCATTTCTTTTTTCATGCTATTTTCGGTTTCTAGCGCTTCGGCGCCGGCTGACATCATCGTAGTCTCTGATTCGATGTCGGGGTCCGTTTCAGTGGAGACATTAACTGCGCTTTGAACTTCGGATTATGGTATCCGTGATGTTGTGCCCTTCGTAGGGCTCTATCCACCAGAAATTATGGGGGACCTTAGACAATGGCTGTGCAGCAGATCTGTCCATGATGGCAACTTTGCCCGCTTTGCATCACTTGATATCGGAAATCCGGACGCGATTCGCCTACCTTGGGGGGACCGGTCTTTATATAAGCATCAACACATGCTTGAATATTTTTCATCAGTATATGCTGTACAGACATTGTGATCTCATCTCCGGTTATTTCTGACTTGGCAGCCGTTGACTTCTATCGCACACATTCACAATGGCACCTGTCGCCATCGCAGAAACCTCAACCCCCGTCTATAACCACAAGCGGGACGGCCAGGCTTTGGAGGAGACTTCCGATGCCATCGATGAAGTCAACATCCTCAAGGCCAACATGAAAAAGCAACATCAGCAGCAGCAGCAGCAGCAGCAGCAGCAGGAAAAGGACCTCTATGAGGAGTCTGAGTTTGACAATAACAAGGACAAGTCTACCTTTCGCCAGTACGAGAACGCCTGCGATCGTGTCAAGAATTTCTATAAGGAGCAGCATACCAAGCAGACTGTTGCCTATAACCTCAAGGCCCGTCACGATTTCCACAACAAAACCCGTGCCGAGATGACTGTCTGGGAGGCCATGGAGAAGCTCAACACGCTCATCGACGAGTCCGATCCAGACACCAGCCTCTCCCAGATCGAGCACCTGCTGCAGTCCGCCGAGGCCATCCGCCGTGATGGCAAGCCCCGCTGGATGCAGCTAACCGGGCTGATCCACGACTTGGGCAAGCTTCTTTTCTTTTTCGACGCCGAGGGCCAGTGGGACGTGGTCGGTGACACTTTCCCTGTGGGTTGCGGCTTCGACGAGCGCATCATCTACGGCCGCGACTCATTTAAGCAGAACGAGGACTATGGCCACTCCGTCTACAACACCAAATTTGGCATATATAGCCCGGGGTGCGGCCTTGACAAGGTCATGCTCTCCTGGGGCCACGACGAATACCTCTACCACATCGCTAAGGAGCAGTCTACGCTGCCTGACGAGGCTCTTGCTATGATTCGTTACCACTCCTTCTACCCTTGGCACAACGCCGGTGCCTATTACGAGCTCATGGACGAGCATGACAAGGAGATGCTTCGTGCCGTCAAGGCCTTCAATCCCTACGACCTGTACAGCAAGAGCGACGACATTCCCAGTGCTGAGGAGTTAAAGCCTTACTATATGGAGCTTATCAATGAGTACTTTCCCACAAAGGTCATTCGTTGGTGAATGCCTTCCGTTCAAAAGACATTGAATCTAGATTTTGCGTTCCTTGCACTGATTTCTTCATGAGATTCCCATTTTGTGCTTTTTGTCATGACCAAGCGATCATAATGTTTGTCGATACGAATGAAATACCCAAAGTGACTGACCTTGGTACTTCTGCAGTATTTCATTACCATAGATCAATACGTGGATCGAATAAATAGAGCAACATATAGGACGGTTGGTTGTGAATAACGCAATAATTCTTGCGACTCACCCGGTGCTGCCAATCTCCACTAGCGAAATATGCACAGACGGTCCTCTTGAAAGGCATAATTTATTACCACGAAAACAAGTGAAAAAACCCGAGAAGTAAAGATTTCGATGAAGTGTATTGTTCCTGAAGGTAAAAAGTACAACAAGCCCACCAATTTCCGCACGCGGCTAGACATTGAACACCAATCATTAAGAATATCAATCAAACACATAAGACATCAACATCGGGACATCAATGGGTCATTGTCAACGCCGCAACGCCGGGTCCGGGGACGAAGACAAAGTAAAGGAAGGACCGACCCAGTCGGCAAGGTCAGTGAAACAATTGGACATCTTCTCGATGAGAAGGCGAAAAGAAAATTGAATGGAGAATACATCAGACCTAGCTAGCGCGGACCATCTGGCCAAGGCGGCAGGACATGCCAGCAGCGACGGAACCCATAAAGACGGGCTTGTTGTTAGAGCACATGGCCCAGGAGTAGCCGTCGGGGGAGCATATGACCTCACCATCGTGGCAAGACCCGGTGCTCACGTAGCTGGAGAAGGCATTATTCGTGGCGGCCTCGGTAGAAACGACAGCAGAGGGGGTGCCGAATGCAGACGCGACCTTGGAAATGGATTGATCACCCTTGTCGCTGCGAGTAGCGATGGTTTTGCTGTGATCGTCGTTGGTCGAGGCGCTGGTAGTCTTGGCCTGCTTAGAAGTGATGGTCTCCTTGTTGTCCGTGGCGTTCTTGGTAGCTTGGGCGTTCGAGTCCGAGGTGCTGGAGGCAGAGGTGCCCAATGTAGAGGTGCTCAATGTAGAGGTGCTCGATGTAGAGGTGCTAGAGATGGAGTCGCTAGCGCCAAGGAAAGGAGCGTCGCCAGAGCACTTGTAGCCCTTGCCAGAAGCCTCGCCAACCACGTTATTACCGGGCTTGGGGAAGTTGACGGGCTCGCCCTCAATGGTCACACATTTGCCCTCCTGGTTAACGTTGGCGACGAAGATGGCGGGAAGACTGTCGAAGCTAGCGACCTTGCTCTGAGTTTCCATCCGTGCGATATCGCGCTGCTCCTTGGGCTGGGCATTTGGGTGAGATGCGTGCTCCATCGCCGGATGGTTGACGTGAGCCTCGTGGGCGTGCTCGATTTGCTGCATGCGATTCACTTTCTTGCCCTTTGAGTTACCGCCGATAGTCACGAAAGCGCAGTTCATGTACATTTCGCGGTTTCCGACCTTGTTGAACCAGGTCCAGGCAAGGAGAGCCTCGCCGCTGGGGGCATCAGAGGGAACGGTGAAGTTGTATTTTTTGTCAATGGGGCAGTTGCCGAGCATAGACTCGATGACCTTGAAGGTTTTACCCCGGTCATAGGTCAGGGAAATCTGGCAAGAGCCGCCACCGTGAGTGGCACTGCCTTCGAGCTCCATCTCATACTGCTGGCCCTGGGCGTAAGTGGCCTGCGAGTCGAACTTGTCATTGGCATAGCCCTTGCAAGGGTAGTCACTACCAGAGGACTGCAGAGGGTTGGTGTAGGAGTAGTCTTTTTGGGCGTCGGAATTCGGGTTCAAGGGACTGCGGATGGGATAGGGCTTGGACATTTGCATGTGTGCAGAGGCCGAGGTGGCCAATAGGCCTGCGACGAAAGCGACACTCTTCATATTGAGCGTAGGAAATCTGCAATGAGTTAGAGGTGTGTCAGAGTGGCTGAATAGGAAATGCAATACACTGACAGTGTTGTAAGCAAACGGTATCAAAAGTCAACACTCTGTGGCAAGCAATTAACCTCCAGGGCAAAATCTTGGCTCAGGAACGGACGACTGGAAAATGCAGCCTCTAGTCTTGATGGCATAGATCAACTATAAATATTCATCTTGGCTGTTGGCATTCTCCAGCGTTGCCCAGGGGAATGATGAATGGTTCCCATCATTCTATAGAGTCCGAGCTGACCGACAAGCAATGAGCCTCGCAACGCGAAGAATGCCAGTCGCCCCCATCAAACTTGTGAGCCATGTTCATGCAGCTTGTTCCCGACTTTCCTATCGCCATGAAATAATTCCAGTGTATGTGTAGTTTCATCATTACCTATCCCTGATTGCACAGTTATACGTCTCGGCGTCTTGTGTAGATGTGGCTGGCATTAGATACCGTCCGTGTAGGATTAATCTCGGATTTGAATCTCAACGTACCTTAGCATGCTGACTGTGCACCCACAAGGGTTGTCTACTCCCTGCAGAACATAGAAAACACACGAGGAAGGGCGTTCATTCCACGACGATTTTATTCTCCGCTACACAGGGAATTCCGCCATGATGTCAGACTGGCCGCGACGCGTCGAAGCAAAGCATCAAAATCTTATAAGCTCGAGCCCGAGTCTCTCTTCAGCGGGAATATGTGAGGATGACAAGGGGAGCTTTTCCCCCACAATCCCTTGGCCCTTCATGCCAATGGCTACGCAATCCTACAAATTGCCTAAAACTTGCCGTCATAAGTGTTTTGATTGGAGTTGATGGTGTTTGAGGGAGCCCAACGTGTTGCTCAAGGGGCTCAGGGTTTGTCTAGCTGTGCTCATTCCTCGCGCTGGTTGATATTCCCACGTCTCCACCTTGAATCCATTCGCAAGATAGAGAGGTTCTGGAAAAGCAATGTGGGTGTGCCCTGTCCATTTCGGTTGCACTAGAAATAGCCCCAGATGTGGACTGTGAATGTTGCGTATTGTGCGTGTAGAGTAGAAAAGCAGGTGTCCTGGTCCCGGGGAATATCGCAACCCCTCGATTGCGAGCCTCCCGACACATCAGCGTCCCTTGAATCACCAATTCATCGCATCAACAACACGGTATTGCTGTCGCGGTCGCTCTGCCATTCCTCTCCCCCCTACTACGAAGGCATCATTGCTGGCGCGTCGACAAAACATTTCTTTGGCATGGCCACCCTGGAGTGATTTGGTCGATTTGTGGGTGGTTACATGACCATTTACGTCCGTGAGTGCTCCTTGGCGTACATCATGGCCTGGATTTGTAAGAGTAAGTGCGTTGAGGTGCGCCTATGAATTCTGCACGTTTACTTTCGTTCGTGAAGATGAGTTGGATGACCCCGTCGGTGAGCACGACTCAACAGTCAAAGGTCTGGTGGGTGGCCTTTGACCCTGCCCCCGCGATGGCGCATATCATGCATGGAGGATGAGCAGAGAACATGAGTAAATGCAGCGCAGGCTATCTTCGAGTTGGCAAGATCGGAGATTGACTATAAAGACGATGGCGCCAGAGAGGCAACCGACCACACTCAAGATTTAAATTCACCATAAGCGAATGTCCACGAGATGATGTGCGGCTGCTATGTAATCAGAGCCCTTCATGAGTTTCAACTGTCAGTAGCCATCTTCATAGTGAACAACTACTCTGCTACGTGAGGGAATTCAGCTGTGCAGTAATTGCATGTTTACTCCTACTGTTCGTTCCCAATCCGGAAATGAGGGCTAGCCCTCTCGCGCTATTCCCGATGCGAGAGCAAAAGTTCCGACTACGATACAACATCTCAGATTCAACTGCGCAATGGAACAACAAGAGATCGTCGAGTCTCCGCGCAAGCGACAGAAGATTGACACCGTCGGTGCGGCCGATGAGGCCAAAGTGTCGCCCCCGAGCAATGCTGCAGGCCAGGATGCTCAGGCGATGAAGGAACTTGATGTCGGAATCTTGGAGCTCGTGACAGCTGACAGCGAGGGTTTCTACGGTACTTTGAAGAAGAGGTAAGTGTCAGATTTCCAAATGAGATGATTCCCCGCTGATCCACCTCCAGATATACCGACTTCTTGGTCAATGAGATTCTGCCCTCCGGCGAAGTTCTCCACCTCCGAAACCCCCCAGTGACCGAGCCCAAGGATCAAGAAAGTCAGATCAAGGAGGAGGAGAGCCCTGTCACGACAGAACCGGTCGAAGAGGCTGCGCCCGCCGAGCTTCAGATTTCGAACGAGGACCACGCCTTGCTGGTGGAATACTTTGGAGCAGAGAATGTCTCGGCTATCGTAACGCTGCACAAGAAGGCCATGTCTTCGCCGAAGCTTAAGCCGGGTGAGCTGCCCAAGATCACAGTGGCTGTTTCCGATCGGGACTTGCGCACCAAGATCCACCAGGCAATTCGCCGCATCTTCAATTCGCAGCTCGAGTCGAGCACCGATGGCGAGGGCTTCCTGGCCGTGTCGGCGGCTCCCAATCGCTTCAAGCGCAATGCTCAGGGTCACCGCGGGGGTGGGAAAGGTGGTAATCGCGTGAATTGGGATGAGCTGGGTGGTCCTTATTTGCATTTCACGATCTACAAGGAGAACAAGGACACCATGGAGGTCCTGTCCTTCATTGCTCGGACATTGAAGATGAATCCCAAGAACTTCCAATTCGCTGGAACTAAGGACAGACGAGGTGCAACCGCTCAGCGCGCGTGTGTCCTCCGTGTCCAGGCAGAACGGCTGGCAGGTCTGAACAAGACCCTGCGCAATGCCGTACTCGGCGACTTTGAGTACCGCAAAGAGGGACTCGACCTGGGCGACCTCTACGGGAATGAGTTTGTCATTACGCTTCGCGATTGTGAGTTCCCGGGCTTGAAAAAAGACAACCCGCAGGCCGCTATCGCTCAGGCCAGCGAGCTTGTAGGGACCTCAATGAAGAACCTTCACCAGCGAGGATATTTCAATTATTACGGTCTCCAGCGCTTTGGAACGTTTTCAACCCGCACTGACACCATCGGTGTCAAGATCCTGCAGGACGATTACAAGGGAGCAGTAGAAGGCATTCTACACTACCCATCTCACGTTCTTGCGGCGGCCTTGGAAGGTGATTCTTCGACGGCCTTGATCAGCACCGATGACAAGAGCCGCGCTCAAGCTATCCATGTCTTCGAGACTACCGGCAATGTCAATGAGGCGCTGAACAAGCTTCCTCGCAAGTTTTCCGCTGAGTCTAATGTTATCCGCCACCTGGGACGTGCCAAGAACGATTACATCGGAGCATTGCAGACGATCCCGCGCAATCTGCGCCTGATGTATGTGCATGCCTACCAGTCACTTGTGTGGAACTTTGCTGCTAGCGAGCGCTGGCGTCTGTACGGCGACAAGGTCGTGGAAGGGGACCTGGTCATTGTTCATGAGCATCGCGATAAGGATGCGAACAGCGACGAGGCTGAGCCTGCCAGTACCGTTGATGCGGATGGTGAGATCATCGTCGTACCCCAGGGCGCAGACAGTGCATATGCTGCCGAAGACGCCTTCACTCGTGCTCGTGCTTTGACAGCCGAAGAGGTTGCCAGCGGGAAGTACAATATCTTCGATGTGGTGCTGCCCCAGCCTGGGTTCGATGTTATCTACCCGCCCAACCAGATGACCGACTTCTACCGCACTTTCATGGGAAGCGAGCAGGGAGGGGGTCTGGACCCGTTCAACATGCGCCGCAAGTGGAAGGACGCTAGCCTCAGTGGAGGTTACCGCAAGCTATTGAGTCGCATGGGCGCCGACTACTCTTTTGACGTGAGGCTCTACTCCGAGGATCTTGAGCAATTTGTGCAAACGGATCTTGACAAGCTGCAATCCAGCAGCGAGACTCCCAAAGAAGCTGCTAGTGCTGTGACTGGTGACAAGCTGGCAGTCATTCTCAAATTCCAGCTGGGCTCTAGCCAGTATGCCACCATGGCCCTTCGTGAGCTGACAAAGGGCAAAGTCAGGGAATGGAAGCCTGAAATGACTCGGTGAATAAGAGACTCGGATGCTACCGCGTCTACTGTACATAGATTGTGACCTAAAAGGCCTGGGTGTTGAATTGAACGAAAATTTAAATCGATTAGCATACTCGCATCTGCGAACTATAAGACACCCTGGATTCTAACACCAATTTCGCTTCAATTCTCTCTTGCTCTGCTCCGGCACAAATCAACTGTGATGCCACCATACTCTTGACTTTTCCTCCAGGAAATAGTAGTGCTCGGGCCAGCTCGGGCACAGCGGTTATATTTATCATTCGGGTCGTATCCTCGTCGCCATATCCCCATCTTTGTCCGACACGCGATCTTATGCAGCTTGACCCCGCCGAGGCCATTTGAATGGAGGGAAATATGGAATCCTGGTTCGATTCAACTCCAGCTGCGAATCTCAGGATCATGATTACACTAAACTACTTCAAGCTTAGGGTCGACGCCGATCGTCGCGGCCCCCAACCCAGGCGCGGCTCGAAGCCCCCAAATGTAATGATGGAATAGCGCGTGAAAAGACTCTTTGCGCAGAAGAGTGGTATCCAAGCTGTCCGCTGAGTGGAATTCTCAAGGGGTGAGAACAGACAAGAAGGAATTCATGCCTCGGCGCTTCACGATATGAAACCCGACATTGGGCGTTTCCATTAACGCCGAGTGCTTCGATGCGCCAGCTTCAACCCAGGGCAGTGCAGGAGGATCGGAGCTGACCCCCGCGGCTTGTTTAGCAGCGAGCGACCCTAGCGACCGTGAGAGTTACCGTCTTTTGGGGATCTCTTGCGTTTCCGCTATTATCATTTCTTCGAACTTCGTAACTTTCGATCGGGAAGACATCCAAAAAACTGCTCGCCCAGGACAGACCGAGTTGACGAATGCGTTTTGTGCTCTACCTGGTGCTTACTCCGGGCGTTTTGTTTGCCGGGCGTTTCAAAATCTTGCATAAGACGAATGACTCCCAAGACGATTCATATCTCTGAACTTCGCAATCATGTCACTTCCATGGCTTTCACTCAGGAGATGGATGATCAGAGGTTGGTATTCCAAGAAGTCAGGATTGATTTGAGACATGCTAAGTATACCTACTGCAGATGCACAAATTCGGGCATACATACCAGGCAGTGCGACAGAGACAGGACCAAAAAGCACTACCCAAAGGCAAGAGGGCCTGGGACAACCAGGAATAACCGGTCAGTCTGTCTTTGCGCCATCATTGAGTGCGACTTCGACATCGGACGTGGAAGTAGCAGGCACATACACATCGTCAGAAATAGCGAATGCAGGCATATCCACAGAAGCGGCAGCGACTTCCATAACATCGACTGTTGATCAGACTTTGACTTCAACATCAGCGTTAGCGTCAGCAACCTCGACCTCGGAGTCCGCAAATGCCGAGTCCGACGGATTGGCCAGTACGTCCAAATCGACCCAAAACAGACTGGCCATTGCATTACCTATCGCAATCATCGGTCTCCTGGCCGTCGCCGGTGTGCTGTTTTTCTACATGCGCCGAAGACGGCAGCGTAATGCACAGCCTGCGTACGGTGTCCCCGTCAGCCAGAGCAAGGGCATGCCCGCCTCCAAGCTCATGGTCGTTCCCGCCATCGTAACTACCGGGTCCACGCCTCGGTTCTCTGCACTCGGTGTACCAACCAACCTTACTCGTGATTCGAGCTCCGGCTCTTCGACAGTTCGATCGCCAGACGAGGCGAATATGGAGCTGGGTATCGCGGTCTCTATTTCTAGAGATCCACGGATGAGTGCGACGGAGCAGAATTTGTATGACATGACTCAAGCCTCTTCCAATGAGATTGTCAGGTCTCACCTGCACTCGCCATCCCGTAACCAACATGACGACGAGGCTGTGTCTGTGATTTCGGGATTGGATGAGCGTCGGGCCCATGAGGAGGATTTCGACGACATGTCTTCAGTGTCATCCTTCAATGATGATAGCACTCACGATGGTCTTCATCGATATTCGTTCAGGTGATCTATCGGCTAAGCAGCCTGAAAGATGTACATAGTCATAGTTAGTCAATACGATGAATTCGGTGAAGCTCGCCAAAGTAAATTTGCAGGGCTTCCTGGAAGCAGAACGTATTTGTCCTAACTACCTCATAGGAAGCACCACATAGAGACAAACAATCAGGATCAGCTGTGTTGTGTTTTATATTTTGTAACGAGATATTGATTGTTTTGTGATTAGTCATAGCGCATAACAGATGCACTCGAATGCATCCGAAGGGACCGAGGCACAGCCGCGGCTGTGGGGAAGCTTCACCTCCGCGCTGATCGGATAAAACCCCCAACCTACCTCGACTTCTGCCACAACCCATACCGATTTTCACAATGCCTTTAAAGAAATCTGATTATATGAGCGACATCTGGAAGGATGGCATCTTTGGTGAGTCTCTCCACCGACTGGGGAATCTCGACTAACATGGATGCTCAGCAAACAAAGTCGTCCTCTGCACTGGCGGTGCGGGCACCATCTGCAGTGCTCAGGTTCGCGCGCTGATTCATCTCGGGGCCAACGCCTGTATCATAGGCCGTAATGTAGAGAAGACGGAGAGCGCTGCGAAAGAGATGGCAACCATCCGACCGGGCGCCAAGGTGATCGGCATTGGTGCTGTGGACGTCCGAAGCTTTGAGAACCTGAAGAACGCCGCAGAGCGTTGTGTCAAGGAGCTTGGCGCCATTGATTTTGTGATGTTTGATTGCCATGACAGTATTGGAAGCTTCAGCTGGTACTAATTCTCCTTCATAGTGCTGGGGCTGCGGGCAACTTCCTCGCCTCCATTGAGCAGCTTTCCGTCAATGCCTTCAAGTCGGTGATGGACATCGATGTTCTGGGATCTTATAATACACTCAAAGCTACCCTACCATACCTGATTGAGTCCGGAAAGAAGCACAGAATCGATTCGGAGACTCGTAAGTCACCCTCCACGCCCGATGAACAACACCGCTGAGACCGGCCAGTTGCGCCTTATCCCGGAGGCACCGGTGGAAGAATCATTTTCGTTAGTGCCACTATTCACTACCGGGGCATGCCCTTCCAGACCCATGTGTCTGTTGCCAAAGCCGGCATCGACTCCCTTTCAAACGCCGTGGCCATCGAATACGGCCCAAGGGGCGTAACATCCAACATTATTGCCCCTGGCCCAATCGCACAGACTGAGGTAGGTCTAGCATGTCTACAAGATCCGTGAATATCACCATCTAACTAAGTCAGGGCCTGGAGCGCCTTCTCCCCTCTGATGCCAAGGAGGCTTACACCAAGTCACAACCCCTTGGCCGCTTCGGACACGTCCGCGACATAGCCGATGCAACCGTCTATCTATTCTCTGACGCTGGAAGCTACGTTACTGGTCAGACTCTTGTAGTTGATGGCGCGAACTGGCGTACATCGGGCGGCATGACATCCAACGGCAACGTTCCCTACCCCGACATTCTTCTGTCGGGAGAGGAGATTGCCAACGTAACCGGCAAGAAGTCCAAACTTTGAGCTAGGGCCGGCATCGATGCTCATGATTGACTGAATATAGAATACTCTTTCATAATGGTGCTAAGGAATCATGCATCACTTTAGATCTCAAGGTCCAATTTGGTCTTTTCAACTAGATAATCCCAGCATATATCCCAGGAAATATTCCCAGCGCTCAATCCACCCTGTTTCTTTGGACGCGCAGGACAGGTGGAGGGGGAAGTTCGGCAGATACTCGGAGGCGAATGCTTCATATCTGGCGTTGTTCAATTCTCGACTCGGTTTTTCGGGCTCATGACAGGCAACCTTGTGCTATCAGATGGCGCGACTGAAGCACAACCTTGTGTCAAAATGGTTCCTCGTGGGAGCCCTCGTACGTGTCCAACCTACTCAACAAGCGTCCCGATATTTTAAGGGTCGGAAGTAGGTCTCACAAGCTGATGGCATCGATCCGGCGATTTTGAGGAAGAAGTTATGGAGAAACCTCATTGTTGAAAAATGCTTTCCACAGATTCTGGCGGCGCAAGGAACACCGGTCAGAGGCGGTGACCGAATCATGTATGGGAACATATTACTCATGGCGCTACAATGCATCTAACAAGGCTTTCAAATAGGGTAAATGAGTCCAAGCAATATCGTTAGGAAACAATGGGTATGTGCAGGATCCATCAGAGAGATACAACCACACTTCTTGGCGCTGTGATATATCATAAGAGAGGTGCATGTAGGTGCGCGAAATTTCCAACTAGTAGGAGCGAGGTTATCACTTAATTTGGACGATGTCACTTTTTGGCTCTCGCCTTTGACCGAGCAATTATACGAAGGTCATTCCTCGGGATATAAGGCGGTTCGCGGGCGTTGGAAATTTGTCAACCCATTGCTGATAACCTAGCGTCTACGCAATGGGCGCCATTGAAGCTTAAAAGCTCTAGAGTCCTAATTCTAGCGCTTCTCGCACTCCGAACAATCCACGACCAGTACGAAAGTAAATCCTAGAAATGATCCAATCGGGAAGGAGTGCAATCGTGAAGAGTCCGCCGAATGATGCCGCATGAGCATAAACATTGCGTAACTCTAGACCTAGGCACATCTTTTTCAATGATCATCGTTCTAGACAGAAAATATTGATATTTGGTCGAACAAAACTGGTCACATGAATGGACTTCTTGAGGCAATCGGGCAGTTGCTTCACCGCCCAGAGCACGCGTGCGCGTTCCGCGCGACACCTTTCATCCTGAGCGTTTGCTGTAAATTTGCCCAACACACTTCACATTTGCTGAGCAAATCTATGGACCTGAATCCGTTCTTCTTCATTTAACTTTCTATTGTTACCAGACGTCCTTCACTCCCCTGGCCCAAATTGAGCTGCATCTCACACAACCCGGGGACCCTACCTTCTGTTCGACAAGCTGAAGGAATACTGGTGGGAATGTGATCATCCAAGAGCTGAGACTGCCTCTCATAAGGTGGAAGGTAGGTTTTTCGCGCATCTTTGCTTCGATTTTCTTCAAGGCTGACAAGGCGTGTCATAGATACCAGACCACATGATGGCATATTCCTATCCAGACACAGACATTTGGACTCCCGCTGCAAGTCAACATCTCGAGAATGATCATGGATACAAAGCGGTGGTGGAAGAGGCCGAGCGGCTCCTTGCGCTTTTCACTCAAACTTCTGGGCCAAAGCGAGAGTCCATCCATGACCACACGATGCTTGTACCGGGACCAACTCAAGATGGATGGCAGACGAAGCGCACCATCCATGCTGTAGAGCCGAGGAAAGCTTCAAATTCATCGCTGCAAAGTCGTCGACTCACGTCTTCTCCAAATGATCCGTCTACTTCATTTTCCCAAGCTAGAATGCCTACTCGTCATGTCAGCATAAGGAAAGACGTCACGGTCTCAGATGCCAAGAATTACCAAGTTGACCAGCGGACACAGACTCCAGTCACAGGCCAGACAGCCGTAACGTCGGCCTCAGCATCAGCAAAGAATGCCTGCGAAAGCTCCACAAGTCTGCCACGTGCGAAGTTACTGATCTCATCTTCGGCGTTGAGATCGTCCTCTAGTCCTTCGCGGTCCCCCGAACCCCGTACCGCAACAGTGCGAGCGCGTCGCTCTGCCCGGGCTCGAAAGGATCCGGTAACTTACAATATCCGCACTCTATCAGGTCTTGACAAGAAGAGTAGACTCGAACAAGACCTGTTCGGCAGTGGTAACTCCGAGGGAGAGCTAAGCGATGTGTCTGGTTACTCTCATCCAACTTCGAATCCACCTATCTCTGATTTATCTTCGATACCAATTCAGACTCCGAAGGGTCGATCACAAACCGCCAATGATTTCAGGAAACTACTACAAGGCCGCGAGATACAAGGGAGAAAAGTTCTCAGTCGCATCCAAGGAACATTAAGCTCTGAACTCAAGTTATGGAAGTCATGGAAAGGCGCCTCCAACGATATCAATACCGTGGCATGGTCACCAGATGGAACTCGCTTTGCCGCGGGCGCTACTGCTCAGCCCGATATGTATAACCGTTCCAATAATCTTGTCCTTGGTGACCTCGTACGCAGTTCCCTAGCTGAATTGCCAGACCACTGGGCCCCTCTTCCCGCCTCGGTGAATGCCTCGGATCCCAACGCCACGGATCTCCGTGGCTTCTCAAGCGTCATTGCTGTGCAATGGCTTGGTGAACGGTTGTATTCTGCCAGTTACGACCATACCGTGAAGATCTGGGACGTCACGGCTACTCCCCGAGCTTCCTGCATTCGAACTCTGAAACATGATTCTAAAGTCGTCGTGATGGCTCTATCAAACTGGATGCCGCATTTTGTCGCTACAGGTGCTCAAGGGTTTGGACTGTGGGACCTCAAAAAGGCCGACTCCAGTCCTATCAAACTGGAAATTCGACGAAGTGCAAACCTTACTCCAACAGTTTTGACCTGGGGTCAGAGCGCGGCAATGAGCCGCTTTCTCGTTGGTGGGATGGCGCAGCCGGTACAAGACAACCTCTGTATCTCACAACACGGCCACTTAGGCCTATGGAAGATAGAGGAGTCCGAGATTACGACAAGGAAACTCTCACCGGATTCACAAAACATTTTCGATATCAAATGGCATCCCACTATGTCGAGATTTGTGACTGCGAGCACTCCAGGAGTCAGTGCATCCTCGAAACTTGCACGTGGATACCGTTCAGTTGTGCGCCTATACGAGTATGAGGGGGCAGGCGATAGATTCAATGTAACAACTGAATTTGCGTGTCCCGCTTTGGACATCAACGAAGTCACGCTATGTCCAATGAGCACGGCCTATGTCACAGCCAGTTGCACGGACGGAAGCACCTACGTCTGGGATACTCGTAACCCGGGTAAGATCCTTCACAACCTCCGGCACGGGATGTCCTCTACGCCGCTTGACCATAACCTCGACCGTGAAATCTCAGATTTCGGAGTGAAGGTAGCCCTATGGGGTAGCACAATGGACCAGTTGTATACTGGCGGATCCGATTGTTTCCTGAAGCAGTGGGATATTCGACGGTCTCCTGAGGATGCACTGATTGCTAATACTGCAAATTTTGGCCATGATGTTGTTAGCGGGGCCTTCTCTGAAGACAAGTCGCAACTGTTAATTGGTGACTACGGGGGTGGCATTCACATTTTATCATGTAGCCCGTGCGCAGACCCCGATGTCACTGATTTCGAGTTCATTCATGCAACCCAGCCGGCATCATCGCCAGAGGATGGAGTAACATTGGCTAATGAGCTCCTGACGTCCGGTCAGCTTAGGATGCATCGAAGCTATGGACCCGTCCAGGGGCCTAATTACGCTGGTCCATTCTCCCGGTGGGCTCGCGGTTTGCCTCGAGACGCCCCTGAGCCGCCGGAGATAATTGCCAGAATTCCATTGCTTGAGGAGTATCAACTTCGACAATTTGATGGTCCCAAGGTGAAGCATCGAGCGGGCCTTGATGATAAGGCCAAAAAAGAAGTGCGAAATGAGATTCGCAAAGCCAAGATTCGAAACGGTCGCTATAGACGATCTGTGGCCCAGGTTAGAGTCAAGCGAGAACGCGGTCTCAGTGACGAGTACGACGACGAGGACGGCAGTGCCGAATCAAGACAGTCTCTCTCAGAGGCGCATGATAGCAAGCGACGAAGGATCGAGCAGGGGCTAGTTCCACGGATCATCACTAATACTGATTTTGTTGACTTGACTCAAGATTCAGATGAAAGTTTGGAGGCTTTTGACCTTTCTCCTCTGGAGAGGTTACTCGAAAACCTCGAAGACGACTTTTATTTCCCGGAAAACAGAACCATAGACCCCAATTTTTCCCAAGACGAATAAATCTATGTTCTCTTCGGAGCCTTTTGTTGCTAATATCATTGTTCATAGCGGTCGGTAGTAATGGAGTGGAGTTTCGCATTTTAATTTCTCTTTGTCTGAGTAGATGGTCAAATCGACTTTGATCGATCTTTGTCATTTCAGAAGAGGCATAGAATGGGCTACTCATGAAGAGCGGTGGTTATGGCCCTTTTATGAGTTACAAGTTGTGAGCCGTCTAGTAGAATTGAGTAGAGAGTAAGCGCCTCTACCGACGATGTGAATTGACTATCTTAAACATAAGAGTCAACTCATCTTCATAGAGTGACAGGTAGGTTGTGGGCTTGGATCACCAAAGGAAAGAACGATCTCGATAGCCAGGTGGAGTGCAATGTTTGAAAAACCTTGATCCGCAGGATGGCATTGCGCGATGACTCTCGATCAGGAATCTACGTTCCTATCTAACAGCACCCTCAAACGCGACCCGAATACTGCCCACTCTCATTCTAATTTTGTGTAAGAAATCTCTGTCCGAGCTTGCTCTTGCTACGGTAGCAAAAGAGGTGCGACCATTCACAAGCTCGGCGCATGAACCTTGGACTCGGAATAACCCCAACACAACATCGAGCCAAGACGTTGAAACGTGGAAACGAGCACGTATTGCGGCCCGACATTCGAGAAGACGCCCCTTTGCATATTCGGCAACGTCTTATGGTGTCAATCTCCCGCTTCGACAATTTGATCTTGGTCGGATCCAGGGTTACGCCCGAACACAGGCGAAACCATGACCATCCTTCGGCCGAGAGCGGCAAACTCTCGGAGCCGGGGATTGTTTCAGCCTCAGATCAGTTGGTTCATCGTCTCGAGCTTCCATCGTTGATTTGCTGAGATTGTCGGAGAATGTAAAGCCCCGACATTCCTGAAGAACTCGCCCGGGAATCGGAGCTCATGTCGCATGGGAATGTCCGCGGACCTCGTGCCTCGAAGACTTCTAAAGCTCCGACTTAGTCCGCCTGGTTCCTTTCTCTTTCCACTTACTTCGTCTCTTTCAATACTCATGATTTACCAGCGTACAGCGCGGCATCTGACTTCATTTCTTGCCAAGCCAAGCCAACGTACAGCGTGAGACCGAGTGCATCTTTTCTAGCCACAATGAGACAGCCCGGGTTCCCAAACATCGAGGCCACGCCTCTTCAGGCAGACTTCATCCCCAGCCTGCAACAGCCAACACAACAGATTCTCTGGATCGGGTGTTCGGATAGCTGCTTCCAAGAAACCAAGATCTTGGACCTTCTGCCCGACGAGATCATGGTACTGCGGAATATGGGCAACATGATTATCGACGGCGACCTGTCCTGCGAAACTACGGTGAAGCATGCAGTGAGCGATCTGAATGTGCGGCATATCGTGGTTTGCGGTCATTATGGGTGTGGTATCGTGAAATCGGAATCCCGAGACGGATTGCAGGGGCCTTGGTCAAGGTACGTATCCGAACGACCACTCGCTGAGCGCGGGTGGAGTTACTAATCTTTGTATAGCAAGCTCAACTCCCTTCATTCAATGCATAAGCACACAATCGACCAGCTCCCTTCCTCAGAACACGATCAAGCATTCGTCAAATTGAATGTTCTCGACCAATTGCGCGCTTTGCGCCGATTTCCCGAGGTTGCTCGCGCTGCAAAGACGGGAAATTTACAACTACACGGAATTGTGTACGACGGGGAGACTGGACAGGCCTCCCGTCTTGTCGAAGACTTTAAAGTCGAAGAGTAAAGTGCCTTCTCAAACGCGAAAACGACACCTCGGAAAAGAATTGGAGAAGAACATTGGAAACAAGCATAATGTATTTGGAGATGGAAAATGAAACCGAAATACTCATATTGAATAAATATCACTCCTTGTCTTCCGACTGGGCTGAAGGAGAAAGGCAGTAAATCTTCTTCACGTCCTCCAAGGTCTTCTCGAAGTCGACGTGAAGATCCTTCAGCAGACCGTCATGAAGATCAAAGACGAGGCCGTGAACAATGGGATATCCGTGCTGCTGGAAGCTCTGCTGAACGGCAGCAGTCTTGATGACGTTGCGGCAGGACTCGATGACGTTCAATTCAATGAGTCGGTTGTACCGCGCGCTCTCATCCGCAATCTGATCCAACTCCTTCTCATGCAAGCGATAAACATCACGGATGTTCCGCAGCCAAGGGTTCAAAAGCCCCAAGTCCGCAGGGGTCAGAGCCGCCTTGACGCCTCCACAGTTATAGTGGCCACAGACGATGATGTGCTTGACATGTAGATGTCTTACCGCGTAGTTGATCACAGACATGGCACTGAGATCGGTATTGGGGACGAGATTGGCGATGTTGCGATGCACAAAGACTTCGCCGGCCCCGAGACCCAGAATCTCGTTGGCAGGGACGCGGCTATCACTGCAACCAATGTAGCTAAAATCGGGTCAGCCAAGAATGAACGCTGCGATTGGCAGCCCAAGGTCCCTCTTCCCCCCCTCTCATCTCCCGAGATCTTGGGTGAGGCTACCCACAGATAGTTTGGTGCCTGTCCATCGGCAAGCTTGTCGAAGAACGTCGGATCCGAGCTCCTCTTGGAGGAAGCCCAGTCCCGGTTGTTCTTGAACAGGGTCTCGAGAGACTGTTTCAGGTACTTGTGCATGTCAGCGGCCTTTTTTGGTACGGCGGAGCTCATGTTGGCGAGGTTCTAGCGACAGGGCGATAGGGCGATTGGATGGTGGTCGAACATGAGGGGAAGAGAAAAAGGCGGGACAAACCCCGTAGCTTTTGTGGGGCCGCTTTTGGGTAATCAGTGGTTCCGTCCCGGGTCTCCTTGCGGACTCGCAATGGACGAGGAAATTATATCCGTCATCGATTCTGATTCACTGCTACACTGCTACCCTGCTACACTGCTACAGAGACACCCGGATCCGAGATGAGGCCCAGTGTCAACGGATTGCAAGTGGTTTGCAAAGTGGTTTGCAAGAGGTGCCAGTCCCCGTCTACTAACGCATTGTATTTAATTTTCCACCTCAATCCATGCCACATAAACTAAATGAAACTAAACTAAAATGAATAAAACCCTCAGGTTGTTTCGTTGTCTTCAGACTATGGTCGATAACAATACCACTTTACACCGTTCCGCATGCGGTCGCCCTCTTCTACGGCGAAGTCCGATAAGCCTGAGGACTGGAACACTTGGCCTCTCATTCGCCCCCCAAAGAGCCCCTTCAATTTGAGTTATTTCTACGCAGCATCAAGTGTGCCGTTCATTTCATCGAGGGTGGACAGTCCGGGTCCCACAGGCGACCATAACAGGCGCCGGTCTTACGGACCCTCAGTGGGCGAACGTAGAGGAAGATCCAAACGCCGGGGCACATTCCTTCCAAAGCCATTGACCGCGTTCCTTAACATTTAGTAACCGGAAGAGACACCACACGCCATCAAACGATGGATCTCGCGACCGGTCGCTTCATCGGCTATGCCCGATGGCGTTGCTTTCTGATCCTGCCAAGAAAAAAAAACTGGATTCTTGTTTAATGGCCCAAGTAGCCGAGGGAACAGCAGCTGAGCGCGCGAGCCATGAGAGACAGTATCAAGTCAACACCGAAGACGGACGACTTGTCGGTCTCAAGGGCGGAGAGGTAATTAATTATTGCAGTGCGCCTCAGGAAGCTCTGAAAGCCATTGATGCTTGGATTATGCGAGATGGTCCCTTGCTCACTTAACTCGACTTCAACTGATGTGAAAGGCTTTTGTGACCGTCATCCTTTGCAGCTCTTGATTTCCCAAGGACATATTTCTGTCGCCTGGCAGCGAGACATTGGCAGCTTGCTCGTGGAAATTGGCCTCTGAATCGCAGTCACACACGGGATTAAGACATTGTGATGTCGGAGCTGGCCGCATTTAAGCTCTAATCTCAGTCTCGTGTCAAAATTTCGTAGATCCCCTTTGGATGCGTCATAGTCCAGGGATAACTCTCTTGCTTCGTTAGCCTTATTCTATGATATAATCCCTGAGATCTCAGATTGAAGTCCATCTAGGTTGGCTCCGACTACCCTACGGCCTGAAGATCACGAATGCCACGAAGCATCATGAATATGAACATTATAATCCCTGTAAAATTGCCCCAACCCATCCTTTGAGATTTGAGTATAAGTTTTGAGAAAGTCATCACCTTCTCTACCTTGTTCGGTTCTGCCAAAAAGAGACGTGTGCTTAATTGTGACGAACAGTTTACTCATGAATGCCAAAGTTCTATCAAAGCCGGTTGCAAGCGTCGACCCCGTTTTCTGATTGCACACTACCCACGAAAATGCGCCTTTGCATCGTAGATAATGATGCATTGCTTTCATTCAACAGAAGCCAGGCAGGAAATTCGAGTGGAGGACTTCGGGTTTCGGTACAAAATGTTTAAATAATCATTTCATTCATATATTTAGGCAACGGTGAACTGGAATGAACAGGCTGAAGAATAATAAGGGCCACATTTTTTAAACCTATCGCCTATCGCCCATTGGAACAGGGGCAATGATAGTAGACCGAACATGGCGTTAAAGTTGACATCACGAGTGGAGAGAAGGCGTCGAACTCCACCTCACTGGAAGTGGGGAAGCACATCACTGAGGGACTACTGAATTGTGACTACAAGTACAAGTCTTTTGTAGACCAGAGCATCCCCACAAAGGCTCATTCAATAAATTCCAATGATTCAATGATTATCTATTCAGAAGCACACCTTCAGTCCATCAAAAGTCGCAGTCTCCCCTTACACAATTCGTTTCTCAATGATCCCTAAACTCCAAATTGAGAAACAAACACTTTCACTCTGAGCTTTCCTCGTCGGACGTCACATCACTGGAGGCCTTCAGCCAAGTCATGTTTCCTGCACATTTCGAGCACTATCAGAGAACACTATCAACGCCACGCAGATCTTGGGTCTTCACATACTCCATCGAGAAATGTAAGAGACTCGGAGCTCTCGATTCTCGACTCTTCAGCTGCGAATTCTTGTTGAGCCTAGGTAATTTTTGTGGCGTGAGGCACATGATTTGGTGGCTTTTTGCGAGAGGGGAACCTGCTTCTCAAGGTCGGTGCGGAGTTCGTCTTATCTGAGACATCCCTGCGCCCTCAAGATCTCCATTAGTGATGGAACGCCACCCCAGCGAAACGAAGCAAATTAAATCCAACCAAAAGGCTTTAATATGCAGGTCCGGTCCTTGTAAAATTCCTGGCAAGACCCCCTCTTGCATCCTGTAGAGGGACCGAGGTGGAGCACCACCACCCAGGGGACCAGAGGTCACTCGCCGATCAGGGCGTAATATGTGAGCTGAGTGATAAGTTTCGACCTGAACACAAGGGACAGAGATGCGAGGGAGTTCACATTTTCTCCAGTAGAAGCTACTTCATGGCAGACAGTCACTTGGTTAGGGTCAAAGCCGGCAAGTCACCCAAAGCCTAGCGAGCATAGGATCACAAGCTACGCGAAGTCTAGACAGAGATCCCAACATACCGAGGAGGTTAAGTCGATTTAAGAGCATGGACCCCCGGGGTGTTTTCCCCAAACCTGCACTTGAGTTGGGAATCAGAGAGGATCAGTGGACTGTGAGCTGTCTACTCATGCAATTTGGGTTTGGGCCCCCCCCCCCCGGCATCCCCGCATTACGCTTGTAGATCGTCACGGGCATTCCTCTTTAGGGCTCTGTCGCGCAGGTCCATTGTTGTAAATCGATGATAGCAGCTCGTCTCTCTTTATAAGGTGAATTTCCCGGGGACTTTGGTAGATCGGGTCGCATGCTGCATCTCCGTATAACACCATGTCGGCCAAAGAGGGAAAATACGTCCTGGGCTCCAACCGGGGGCCTTTACTAACTAGCAATGCTGAAAATCAAGTCTCTGCGTCTGAATTGGAAAAGATCGAGTCTGCCGGTGGTCTTTCGCTGCATAAAGTACCAACACGCAAGGAGAAGTTTCAGCGACACTGGAAGCGATTCTGGCTTTTCTATTGCATCGGCAATGTCATTTTCCTAGCCATCTTTCTACCCATTTTGTAAGTTGTTTTAAACTAGCTGTTGAGAGAACTCATCACCTCTGACACCTCGCACAGCTTTCTCGTCTGCATCCCGGCCATCGCACAAATGGTTGTCAATAAATCTGATCTATGGGTTGTCAATGCCGATGTCTTGCAGCCAAATCCGGACTCGGTCGTGTTGACTCTACAATCAAAAGTGGACTTGAAGCTCGCACTTGCTGCGCGGATCGACCCCCTTGAATTTCACTTATTTATTCGCAAGGATGGATTCGGACCCGACTATCCGTACGCGAACCTTCCCATCCCAGGGCAGACCATTAAAGGCAACTATACTCTCGGCGTCACCGATAGTTTCACTCCGATTTTGAATCAGACCAGTTGGAGGGAGTTTGTTCGGGAGATCGTGTTCCAAAAGGAAACAACATTATCACTAAAAGGCGTGACAAACGCGTATCTCGGAGTGTTGAAGTCTCATGTCACTCTGAATAAAGACGTGACTATTCCTGGTAAGTGCGCCCACGGTGTTTACATCTTCTGCTTCTAGAACACCAGGATCTACTCACCTTTTGTCTTCTATCCATTGAATGCAACACTTTTCTAACAAATCTCAGCTTTGAACCAGTTCTCAGGACTCTCGATCTCCGATGCCACTCTCCTCCTTCCAGCCAAATCCGACGGTACAAACCTCATCGGCAATATCACACTCCCGAATCCGACAGTGCTCACCCTGCAAGTGGGCACTCTCAATCTGGATATCTTAAGTGGCGACCTTACGATCGGCAACGTCAGTCTGAGCGGTGTGACATTGAAGCCCGGCGACAATTCATACCCCATGAATGGAATTCTCGACCTCAAGAAAGTGATTGGAAACCTGGGTGAGGTTTTGAAGTCACAGGCATCGCTTCTCAAGACTGGCAACTTGACTTTGCAAGCGAAGGCGACGTCCATTCATTGGAACGGCACCTATGTGCCCTATTACTCAGACGTTCTCCGTACCCTTACACTCACGATGGCTGTCGGTGTCGGTGACCTTGTCAAGAATACTTTGAAGAACTTCCTAGACGGCAAGAATCTTACAGGGTTGATCAACAGTCTAAGCACGCGGTCGCTGGATGGAAGGGATTCAAGTGGGCCGATTGAGCTAGCTACACTTATGAAGCATGACAAGAGTGTCCAGGATGCTTTCGAAGATATTAGCACAGAGAGGCGTGACGACATTATTGACTCTTTAATTGCAATGTATCCGACTCTCTGAGTTGATATCGGAGGTTTAGTGCTGGATTTAATGCCCTAATGAAATTTGCTTTTTTTGACCACCGTTCCAAGTACTTCCTTGTCCTAGACGACCCCTAGTGAGATATGGGTTAAGTGACTTGCTATACAAGTTGTCTGACTCATTCCAGCTTTGGCCGTCTCTCAGACTTACATTGCGCTCTAGCTAGCACTTGTAATAATCGAGTCACATGGACTCTTTCGACCACACAGCTAACACACCACCCATCTGTGAAGCTCCAAGTTACCAAAAATCGAGTCAAAGAGCCTAGGCGGAACCTTGGCGCCAAGGGCGGCCAAGGAACTTTACCATTGGGGTTCGACACCGCCGAGCTGGCCCTGGCGCTCCGCGCTCCCTGCGCCCTCTCTTCCCGATGAAAGCCAAGAAGTGCTCGAACATTAGCGATGTCTGCGCCACTTTCCTTGTTCTTACTTCCAGTTCTTCCCCGCTCAACCTTCCTATATGGTGGAGGCCAGGGGACTTTGGTGGCTAAATGCCTCGCCTTCACTTGCTAAAGCCAACATCATGGCGCGATCATATCAGTGATTAATTCGCTCTCATTCTCGACATGGGGGTTTTGAAAGTCCTTGTGCGAGGTTTAAGCTCATTCAGACTATATTCCTCTTGAATTTGTCGGGGACTCACGCTTTTTATTAGAAGCCTAGCGCCCTGAGGATGTATTCAGAAACTTCGGTCTTCGACCACAACTCACCGAGGTGCCAACCTCACGATGATGCGAGCTCCTGACAAAAGAGCGCCGTTGTTTCTTGATTGTGATCAAGAGCCATCTGCCGCTTAAATGGCGCAGTCTTCCGCCTCGGCGTCACGGCTCACTTACCCTGGGCAGCAAATTCCAGCCTCGGCCAGTATCAGCCAATGTTCTTGGCTTGGGTAGGCCAAGCAGTATGACCACATTGGCAGCTCATTAGCCCACACAAATCTGCCGACTGTGACCATGGCACTCTGTCCTGACGCAAGCTAAGAAAATACGTTTCTTTCTCTTCGTGCATGTGAACGTCACGCAAAGATTTCAATCCGATGCGCCTGCGGTTCGATATCGTCTTGTATGCAGTGAGATCAAGTGGAGACAGGCGCCCACCATCTGGTTTCGATGTTCAAATCGAACCCCACCCACAACCCCGGAGAGTCGCATAGGCAAAGCGTTAAATAGCGGCCCCAACTCCGGGTATTGATCTCGACCACTTTCTACCTCTCCTTTGTCTTCATCTGTGGAGATCGGCTTTCCCCGGTTCATGCCAAGCCGCACTCTATACAGACTGCGTTATCGAAGTTGAGAGACCTTATCTATACAAATTCAGAGCAGGCGGTAAACATTCGCAATGTCTGCTCCTCAATTCGCCGGTCTCTCCGGCCTGTGGCTGATGAGAGCCGTGACTACTAGCGCCACGATGGGTTTCCTGTTGTTCGGCTATGATCGTATGCTACCAAGCTTTACGTCACGAACGAGGTATACTGATCCGCAATTTCAACAGAGGGTGTCATGAGCAGTATCATCGATGCCAAACCCTTCAACGACGTGTTTACTGCAACAAGAGGTAACTCTACCATGCAGGGGTTGTCACAGCCATCTATGAGCTAGGTACGTCAGATTACTTCTTTAAACATAACAAACCTTTCTAACAAGCTGCAGGTTGTCTGGCTGGTGCGGTCTTCATTCTCATCTTCGGGGATTGGCTTGGCCGACGCAAGTCAATCATGCTCGGGGCCACTGTGATGATTCTCGGCGTTATAATACAGGTCACTTCCTTCAGTGGCCACGTTCCTTGGCTCAATTTTGCATCGGACGAGTGGTCACCGGTATTGGAAATGGAATGAACACATCTACAATTCCGACTTATCAGGCCGAGTGTTCCCGATCTTCGAACCGTGGTCTCCTCATTTGTATTGAGGGTAGCACTGTGGCTATCGGGACGTTGATTTCCTACTGGATCGACTTTGGAGCCTCTTATGGCCCTCCCGACCTCACTTGGCGTTTCCCTATCGCCTTCCAGGTTGTCTTCGGTATCTTTATCATCGCCAGTCTGGCTGTTCTTCCGGAGTCCCCGCGTTGGTTGTTTATTCGCGAGCGATATGAAGAGGGTGAAACCGTCATAGCGGCTCTAGCGGCCAAGTCTATTCACGACCCTGACGTGCAGTTGCAGAAGACCATTATTTTGGACTCCATTCGAGCGTATGTAATCTAAATCTGCCCTCCTGGTTTCCTACTCATGAGCGCCACGCTGACTTGTGCAGTTCGGGCCAAGCGACCAAGAATACTCCGTTGTCAGCTGTTTTCACCGGTGGGAAGACACAACATTTCCGTCGTATGCTTCTTGGCTGCTCGTCTCAATTCTTTCAGCAAATAGGGGGGGTGCAATGCGGTAATTTACTACTTACCAGTCCTCTTCAAGGATTCGCTGGGCCAAGATGAATTCATGTCAATGATTCTGGGTGGTGTCAACATGGTGGTGTACTCAATCTTTGCATGCATGTCCTGGTTTCTCATTGAGAGAGTTGGTCGTCGCAAGCTCTTCCTCGCTGGTACAGTTGGCCAGTGTTTGTCAATGGTTCTGACCTTTGGGTGCTTGATTCCCGAACGACCCGAGCCAGCCAAAGGTGCGGCAGTTGGTTTATTCATTTACATTGCCAGCTTCGGTGCGACCTGGCTTCCTCTGCCGTGGCTATACCCGGCGGAGATTTCTCCGATCAAGACCCGGGCAAAGGCCAACGCCATCTCTACCTGTACAAACTGGCTTTTCAACTTCCTTATCGTCATGGTAACGCCCATCATGGTCCGCAATATCCGATGGGGCACATATCTCTTTTTCGCCTGTGTCAATGCTTGCTTCTTCCCTGTCATCTGGTTCCTCTATCCCGAGACTGCCGGTCGTTCCCTGGAGGAGATTGACCTGATTTTCGCTAAGGGATATTGTGAGAACATGAGCTATGTGCGCGCAGCCAAGGAGCTTCCTTTCCTGACCGATGAGGAGATCGAACAGGCTGCTGTCCAGTATGGTTTTGTTCCTGCTGATACCGGTGTTTCCGGTATTCACGAAGACCGCGGGGAGAAGCCAAGCTCCGGCGAGACCAGCGATGTGGAGAAGAGCTAGTAGACGAGATTTTTCATCTTAACAACTTTCGATCTTACGGGCGCTTATTTGTAATGAACTGAAGTGATACATAGACTGACCTCATTCTGTAAATTCTGGTAAGTGAGTGTCAACTGTCAAGAGTGCTAGGAATACTCTCCAGCAATGCAATGATTCCCTTTCTTTACATCTATCATGCATTCAACAAGCTGTTCGCCAACTGAACCCATCTCCGGCCCCGTGGCTATATTCCCATTGTGAATTATTGACCCTTGAATCAAAACGCAAGATAGTGAACATTATGTTGAGTGTTCAGAAGAGTCGCTTTATGGGATATTTGTTGCCATCGTTACGAAGATATATTTCTGCGGGCATCCGTGAGCGGCAAGTCTGGACCATCGTAACAAAGCACACGTTTCACATTGATGGCAGAGCTGGATACGTAGATGTGAATGTTCTCTTTTTATCAGAATATTCCATCACCAAACATCCCGAGCAAAAACTAGATCGAAATGATTCCTAATGACTATGCTATGGAGGGTCACGTGTAGCTCGTGGAGATCGTTACAGAAGAAACCATTTGAATGTGTTGTCAAGATTCGCCAATTCATCATCCACTAATCCGATATGGTGTAGTGGCTAACATCGCCGTCTCTCACACGGCAGCCGGGGGGTTCGATTCCCCCTATCGGAGACTGATCATTTCTTTTGTCATTTTTTGGTGTCCACTTGAACATAGGGTTGTTGAAGGGATTAGGTTTGAATTTTCATCGTGCGCTGTGTGAGGTGTTTGATAGGGACTATAATTGGTTGTGTGATAAAGTGTGGCGCTATAGGCAAGGCTGGATTGAAAGAGTTGGACCCACAGTGGCATAACCGCCCCAATGTGAAGTGGAGGAGAAAACATAAAGTTGGGCAAAGGTCCACGGTATTAGAGTTGCATTCCAGATTATATGTAAGTCTCGGCTTCCACGATTCGCAATGTGGTCAAAGAAAGATCTCAAGGCGCCAAAAGTCACTGACTGGAATGCCTTCGTCAGTGCACCCCCGGCCTAGAGTCATCTGTATCGGAAGAGATATATAAGCCCTCGACCTATTCAAAAGTGGGCTGTGTAGGAAGGAACTTCAAGAACGTACTCATCTTCTAGCCCTTGATCAGAATAATAACTGAAATCTTCTAAATTTGCCCAGCAGGTTGATTGATTTCCCCGGACCAATGTTTGGAACGGTGCGTGCTCCCCACGTTGACGGACCGTAGCCGCAAACCGCCGCCTCCTGGTGACTTGGGTACTAGTCCAGGTTAAGGCGGAAGCACTTACTAATGACGCTCGCTTTATGCGGGCATAGATGCTCCTTCCTCCATCCCCAGATGCTCCTTCCTTCCATCATTCAGAGTCGAGAAAGGCCGTGTAACTGTCAGCGTAAATGTCTTGGTAAATTCCTCTCTTGTCCCCATGTTTGAAAACTCTTCCGCGTTACAGTTATGTCCTCTCTCTTTTCTGACCGTTGAAAGTGCTCCCCGACTCGGCACTATGTCGTACCCAGACTCCGCTATCGTTGGACCCTCATCGCTAATGGCGAATCTCCCTCATGGATATGTTATGCGGAGCTTTACAACTTTCAGATAACTAGAGAAAGACACCTCGAATATCCTGAAGGCGCTCCAAGATAACAAAGAAAATGGGAACCAGTACCTTGTTCTGCTCGGACTCTCCAAGCGTGACATCGAAAGACTTGATGATCGCGGCTTATCCGGCTTAGACTATCGCTTTCAATTAGAGGGAACTGTTGGACTCATCAAAGTGGTCCTATCGCATGCATACGACGCCACTACCGATCTCGTCACCCGGACTATCGATATATACTTAATCGCGATGGGAATCCCCTTAGTCGATAGACAATGGGCTATGTCAACAACCTACAAACCTACCGCTAGCAAGGGCAAGCAGGCTGACCAATATTTCACCCCGCCGTGCCGCAGTGCCTCCCCTGGACAACCTATCGGCTGGCCAACATTCGTGATTGAAACGGGTGTTTCGGAGTCTTTGCCGCGGCTCCGCGAAGATGCCAAATGGTGGTTTAATAACTCCGGCGGAGAAGTTCGGATAGTGTTAGTTATTGGCATTCGGCGAACCAAAGTCGAGTTTGAGCTTTGGGAATTAGCCCCGCCAAATTCACCCCGCCCTCTCACGCGAGGCTACATCGACTCCCTACGCCAGCGATATCTACCGCCTCTTGTTCAGCAGACTGCAGGTTCCCAACAGATGTACTCTCACCATAAGGTCGAGGTCACCTCAAGTGGCGTTGTAGGTGCCCCTCGAGTTGACAACGCCCCTATGGTGCTTCCATTCGAGGCTCTCTATAATCGGCCACCAGGAGTCATGGAGGGTGATTTGGTTCTTGGTGATCAAAACTTTAAAGACTTTGTGGGAACCTTTCTGTGATCCTTCTGGACACCATTCTGTGATCCTTGCTACGTATTGTTGTTACCCTACATATCCATACTCTCTTTTTTCCACTTGGTCAATCGACATCAATCGACACCACACAGACAGCGACGGCGATGGAGATCTCCAAAATTTGTCACATGACAATCTGTATGATCACATAGTTATGCGTAGATCAATTTTCCCCCAAGCTGGACACCAGAGTTTCACGGTGTCTTGCTTTTTCAAACCTCCTCTTCGCAACTATCATCATGGCACCTTCTATCCGAACTACTTGCTTCGATGCTCGATTACTCCGCGGCCTCGTAGGCACTACGGTCACTACATATGACCTTGTCTCGGATGGTGCATCCCCAGAATCTACCTCCCCTGCCCCCTCCACCGAAATCTCTCGCGCTATATCCTCCCCCGTCACACCTTCTGCTCTATCGGCTTCTCCAACGACAGTCGTGTCTGCCTCGTCAGGGATCTCCCGCACGTGGATCATTACAGAGGAAGTCTCGGAGAGAGCAGCTCCTCGGACAGATAACGATGTCAAGATGGGACGCGGATCAGCCAAGACTGTTGGCCTGTTTCTGTGCCGTCTTACAGAGGACCCAAATCAAATAGCATTCATGCGTATCTACAAAACAGATTCCTATCACTGGAACGGAGGATGCTGATCATGACACATTGGCTCGACAGGCCGTTCCTCCTGGAGTGTGTGGCGAGCTAGAGTGCTTCAAACAGCCGCGGAGTGGACGCTGTACCGCTGCTCCTCGTTTTATTGGTCACGCAGTTAGTACACAAGGAGACCACGGCCTCCTTCCTGGCGGCTACATCGGATACCTTGTGTGGGAAAAGGTCCCCGGGGAGCCTCTTACTGAGGAATTTTTCTGGGGCTTAGATGGTGCCACACGCAAAGACATCCGGTCTGAGTTTCGTGCCGCCTATGAGTAAGTCCATACAAATCCTAGCCAGATAGAGGGGATACTGATATATTCAAAAGAGAGATGATTGGTTGCGGGGTAGCACCAGGCCAGGCCAGACTCTCGAAGATCATCTTTGATCAATCCACAGGCAGTCTGTACGCAGGCATGCTATTGAATGCGTCGGAAATATAGACTAACAAATTACAGTCATATTTCGGGGTTCCGACGGGGATGGCCAAGTATCAGTAAACTTGGATGGTCGGAGGCTCGTTACATCGAGTATGGATTGGCTGAACCAAGCAAAGAGAGCGACTGGATCCTTCACCCAGAAAACTGGCAGTGGTAGACTGTTAGAATCAGTCGCCAGTGTGATATTCACAGAATATCCTGCTTTTCCCTTCGCTTCTTAGCAATAAGCGCCATCCGTCCAAGCAGCATAGCATCTTTCTCTGGACGTTAAGTAATGAAAAAGAATGATAAAAAAAGTTATCGACGTAAAGAACCTAGAATTTAAGGGATCATACACAACGTGGAAGAGATAGAACACAGATTTGATTAGTCACAACTTACAGCATACATGCAGGACTAATGATGTACTGAAAATGCCTTTGCGAGTTCCGGATACCTTAAAGGCAGTCGAAAAATAAACCGGAATACTACCGTACACTTTATGGCCTATAGTAAGTTAGATAAGTAATAAGAGCGCCTAGCTATTTAGGGCTACTCGCTATGAGCTTCCTTCAAAGCGACCTCCCACGACAGATTTCGACGCCTTCATCTACTGCATGGATCTCTAATGATTCGTTACGGGTGCCTCATCGCCGCTAGTGACTTGAACCTCGATATGAGACAGACCCCAAAATGTCTGACGGCACCAAGAATGAAGAAACGAGAAGGAAAGGTTTTGCCTCGTACGAATAATGCCCCACTTGCTTGAAATAAATCTCTCATCTCGTAAATGTCGTGCGGTCTATGCCTCTAACAGGTGGTGAGAACTAAAGTTAGTCATAACGTCGATTCGTACAAAGCTTGCGTTATTTCTGAAGAGACTTCTGTCTTGAACAAGCAAACATAATTAATTTCAAAGCAAGACAGGCCTAGACTTAAAAACAATATAAGTCTAATATAGGCCTAGAATATTGTTGATTGGATATAAATATGTCCGCAATTCTCTACAAGAAAAAATTAATTCTTCTTCTATTATCATATCATACCCTAAGATTTCCTATTAAGGAAATATTCTTTTTTATTTATCGAAGGATAAAAGACTTGATCTCCTATTGGATCTCCCACTGGATCTCCTATAGTAACTAATAAAGATTATTATTAGTATCTAGACCTGGCCCTCACCCGCGGGTGACCCTCCAGAGCCCTCCACCCGCACCTCGTCTTGGCGGGTGGAGGGTCCGACTTCTAGACCCTGAGGGTCGGGTATCTCTATGTTCGACCCTCCGAGGGTGACCCTAAGGGTCACCCTCAGGGTCCACACGTGACTAAATTTAGCAAAAAAGTCACTTTTTAGGCAGAAAACTAACATTTTAGGTGTCAATTCGCTTAGTCAGCGCACCTAAAAGAGTAAAGCGTGTCCTAAATAGGTAAAGCGTGGCTTATGCGGGTAAGTCGGACCCTCCGCGGGTGACCCTCAAGGGACCCTCGGAGGGTCAGGGTCAGGGTCAGGGTCGGTGAGGTTAGACCCTGACCCTCGGAGGTGCGGGTGGAGGTTCCTGATCTTGGACCCGCGGGGCGGGTGAGTGCCAGGTCTATTAGTATCTCTATAGCCTGCGATCTTACCGGAGCTAACCTTTATTAAGGTTAAATAATTAAAGAGTATATAAGTAATACTATTATTGCGGAATATAGTATAATATAATATAAGGGAATTCTTAAGGTCCTCGGTGTGCTAAATATTCTTTAAGGTAATAGAACTAATAATCTACCTATCCTTACTGAGTGTAATTAGGTTAATAGTGCTAAAGCCTTATATATAAAAGCGTTTTCTATTTATAGCTTTTATAAGGACTCTATATAGGGAATATTTAATAAAAGCGTAATAATTTAGTATTATATAGTATAAAGCGCCTAAATCTAATATCTAATAAAGTAGATTTAGACTAATATTTATTATAGAGATTATAGAGATATCGATAGTGTAAAGGATCTATGTGTTCAGGATAGAAAGCCTGTCGGTTAGGTAAGAAAGGATGTCTGGACTAGGTGTAGTATTGTAGAAGCAAGACTGATTCTTGCTAAGTCTAGATTAATTGGAAACCCTCTCGATTTAAGTACGAATTGGGTCCGAGACTTGCTTATTCCACTGCGGGGCAAACCTTCACCGCTAGTCCTCAGTATTCCTTTACAGATAGAATCGATCTAGATATTAGTAATATTAATAAATATATCCTTAGGGCTTATAAGAAGCTCTATAGTCGCCTTTACTGTAGTAATACCCTTATTAAAGGACTTATTAATATTAGCGAGATTAAGGAAGTATTACTTAAAGGAATATACTAACTTTTTATTATAGAATATATAAAATTATTTACTTTAGCTACCCCCCTAATTATTAGAAGTTTATAAAGCTTAATAATCTTACTATTAGCCTAAATAGTCTTTCTATTAGTAACTAAATTACTACAAGGACTATTAGGAGAACTACTAAGAAATCTATTATTATAAGGACTACTACTAAGTACCTTTCTTTATAATATTAAAAAAAAGGGTAAGATATTATTTTATACTATTATAGCGCTAGTCCTTAGTAATACTAAAGTTAGCGAAGACATTCTCTATAAGTCTATTTTCCTTTAGGTCGAATTTTTAGGTACCCTAAAGCCAAACTATAATATTAAGGTAAAAACATATAATATAAATGAATATAAAGAATTAAATAGCGACAGAAAGATATTTATTACTTAGTACTTAGTCTACTTCTATATAGGTATATTATTAATTTATTATAAACTATATACTTTAAAGGCCTAGTTTATAGATAGTAGACTTAAGCTTAGCCTATTTAGTAATAATAATTTATTATATAGAATAGCTATATAGCTTTTTAATAATCCTAAAGGCTTTAAAAGCGTCTTTAGTTTATTTAATATATTATATTAGATTATAATTAAGGTAAAAGATAAAGATATTAAGGACTATAAATATAATAGCTTCTTACTCTTAAAATTCCTTATTTAATTTATTATAATACTTATAAATAAAGTCCTTAAGCTCCTAAATAGATAGTATATTAAGAAAGATAATAGCTAATAGCTTATTATCCTTATAAGAGCTTAAAAGAGAGTATAATTATTATTAATACTTATGTAATACCCTATTATTATATTCCTTTACGATATACTTATAAAGAGTACGCTCGCTAGGGATAATATGATAAGAAATAAATTAGGGATAATCCTTATTAATAAGGATCTCTTAGTAGCGTATTCTATAAGACTCAAGAGCTCGCTTAAGTTTAAATAGCTAGTTAGAATAATTTTAGGAGCCTTTAAGCTTCCCTATACGGTCGGTAATCTTACTATAGTTATCTATAGCTATTATAGCGATAGAGAGATATAAAAGAGACCGGAGAAGGTACCTAAATAAAGGTCTTTAATAGGAAATATGTAAAGAATCTACGTGTTCAGGGTAGAAAGCCTGTCGGTCAGGTAAGGAAGGATGTCTGGACTAGAGTGTAGTATTATAAGAAGCAAGACTGATTCTTGCTAAGTCTAAGTTATCTGGGAACACCCTCGTTTTAAGTACGAATCGGGCCCGAGACTTGCTTATTACACTGCGGGGTAAACCTTCACCGCTAGTCCTTAGTATTCCTTTAAAAAATATCTCTGATCGAGATTATTAAATAATAAAAGGCCTTCGTATAACACTCGCGGTGGCGAGGTTAGCGATAGCGAGGTAAAAAGCACTAATAAGAAATATTAGACTATAGTTAAATAGACCTGGCACTCACCCGCCCCGCGGGTCCAAGATCAGGAACCTCCACCCGCACCTCCGAGGGTCAGGGTCTAACCTTACCGACCCTAACCCTAACCCTAACCCTCTAAGGGTCCCTTAAGGGTCACCCGCGGAGGGTCCGTCAGACCCTTAAATGTATAATTTCTCCGCGCCTTTCCTAATTCGGATATATAAAATTAATGATTTAGCTTATAAAAATATTATTATTTATAGCTATTTTAATATCTATTTCTATTATTCCTTAATTATATATTAATATCTACGAAATTTAAAGAAATTAGATTATAAATAGATAACTTATATATTATTATCTTAGTATTCTGAAATTTAACTTAAATTATATAGTGGGTGGCTAGTTTTTAAGAGGGCTATAGAAAGTTAAGAGTTTTATTATAGAAATATATATTAAAGGTAGAGTGAGAGTACTATGTTTATATAATAGTAAATATATATTTTTTTAATACTAAAAATACCTTAAATCGAAAGCTTTCTTTAGTCATAAAATAAATAGAGACTTATTTAAATAATTACTAATTTAGATTCCTTATAGGTATTCTAATTATTACAAAAAATAAGTTTAAAGATCTAGATTATTAGACTTAGATATCTTTAATTATAAAACTTAAGACTATATAATTAGAGAGTTACCTTAAGGGTCTTAAGGGTTACCTTAAGGATCTTAAGGATTACCCTAAGGGTCTTAAGGGTTACCCTCTCTATAACCTAATTAGATAAGAGAATTTTAGCTAAGTAAGGGCCTATAAGATAATATATTAACATATATTTTCGCGTGACCAAGGTAAATAGATTCCCTTTATATAATAGCTTTTTTTTATCTAAAACCTTTATAAGTCCTCTTATTCTACCTCTCTATAACCTATATATCTATTATATCCTAAACCTCTAATATATATCTGTTAGGATATAAGGGAAAGCTACCACGAAGCACTTCGTGGCCCCTTAAGTCCGTGGGATCAACCTTAGTCCGGCTAGGTCAGTCGGTGCCAGACAAAGGAAGAAGGTCAAAGGTCGTAGGATAGACTATAAGCAGATATAGCCTAAACGAAGGCAGAACCACAGTCCTAAGGATCAAAGGAAGAAGGTAGAGATAACTTTTGGAAAGTGGAAAAATGACTTCAGGAAAGTAGAACTGACTTGATTCTTTCTGCTAGAAAAGAAGGACATATTTATAGGCTAGGATAGCGTAGAAATGACGTCTAGAATAACATACTGCGAAGATTCTCCGGTTTAACGAGCTCGACACACCCTTGTCCTTCGCCGACCTCCGCGAAACTGGCTTCCCTTTGGATCCCTTTGACGATCAAGTGTTATTATGGTCCTCACCGTTTGAGCCAGACTATGAAGCAGGTGCCAATGTGCTTGCGGCACAAGCGAACTTTATTCCTGGTGGATGTCTACTTGTTTTGTCTGTTGCCGCAACGGTCTCAGATGGGACAGCGATGCTCACAGTAACCAAGATTTGGGCCGACCACTGCAGTACTGCTTTCGGTCAACCAAATGACTTGGCTGTAGTACGTCCCCGCTTCACTACAGATAGGGCGCTTCTGGATAGATTGCTTCATGAGAGAGGAAACGACAGTCCGACGGTCATTCCAAAGACGGTGGCTCAGAGATAGCGCAGCTTGTTGGCCTCGATCATGCCCCAAAGGCTACCCCAAGCGGTTCTAACTTGGGTCTAATGAAGCCAAGAATCTTCTACATGCCTCAGTCCGCATACACAGCTCTTCGAAAGGAATGTACCAAAGAGTTTGGTGCGGCCGAAATCTCCGGAAACGATCTCATCTGCGCCTTGATTTTCCGGAGCCTTATAAGAGCTTCAACGAGCTTAAATGTCCGGGAATCTAACGGAATCGCACCGAAAGTGGCCTCATTATCTTTGCCCTTTGACGGACGGCCGAAGCTCTTGCAGTCGATGAACACTCTTTATCTTGGGAATATGAACTTCGAGAACAGGCTTACCGTCCCTGTTGAAATCCTCATTGCCTCAACCACGAGCATCCCATGGGTTGCCAAGGCTATCAATGCGCATGCCGAGAGCTCTGCCCACCCAAGTGCGCTTCTGGCTGCCTATGACCTGGCGCGGTCTACTACGGAATATGACAATCATAATGGATTGCGCGCAGCGCGAATGTCACCAGCATCTGCCTCTGTTGGGGTGATGTCGCCAATGACACTTCCTTTCAATGATACCTGTTTTGGGAAACAGGTATTTGGAAACAATGGAAACCCGGAAGGGTTCCGACCGCTCATGGGTTCTTGCAATCGCGGCTACCGTACTTGCTTTGTCATTCCTCGCAAGAAGGCCGGTGGTATTGAGTTCGTTATGACTTTGTACGAGGAGAAGATGGACTTCTTGAGCGCGGACGACGAATTTAGTCGCTATGCTTTCTCTTTTTCGTAGTCTTTGTTCGAGGATTTGATGGCATGTCCCATACTTCTCACGAAGATATCTTATTTCTCGCTCCACAAAACGAGAACATTATTTACCTCCTGAGATGTCATATCTATCGTCTTTCCTTGGTCATCTTTTTTCTGGCCTCGAGGCTATTGGGGCTTGCGTCCGTTTTACAAAAGATTGTCAAAACAACCAATGTTTATAGTCAGTTTTCTATATACAAAACATTTTGAAGCTTCTAAAACAGCGAAGTGCTCGCCGAGCAGAAGTCACAAAGGAATAATCCAGGACCTCAGCTTCCACTCTCCTCACAAATTGGCCGTGGCTTCATAGTCGTACAGCGAGCTCAGCTCTCTTCCTTCCTCAGCTGCTTCCATCATGGATAAAACAATCGCTTGAACATCAGATCGCTTAAAGGGCACATCATGGCCTCCGTCGTGTTGATATTTCCACTTCAAAGAGGCTCTGCATAGCCCCTGAGCAACGTGAGATTGCTCTGCTATCGCCCCAGCTTCCTTTGCCCCTGTGACAACTACCGTCGGAATACTAACCCGCTCTCTACTCAAGTCCGGATGCAGCATACGCGGGACATTCTCTACCTTCAAGCCTTCAGAATCCTCGAAGAATCTAGTTGGTGTGGACTTCCCAGGCAAGACGTGCCCGACGCTTGTGTTCATTGACAAGACAACCCCCCATGTATTTGGCGAAGCCCTTCTCATTCTCGGTGTTTAGCGTGGATAGGAAGTCCTCTTTTGGAAATGCAGAGCGGAATGCTATGTGCTCATCGTCTAGCAATCGGCTAATAATACCCTCGTAACAGGCATCATCAGACGACGCAACGAATATGGGGGAGAAGAGCGTGGCAAAGTAAAATGGTGGCTTCACCTCTGGCTTTGTGCGTTGTTTGTGCAGAATGTAGGTCATGGCCAGGGAGGCTCCGAGGCTGAACCCAAGGATACCATCGAAGGGTCCATTTTCCTCAATGAATGTGTCTATGCGATCAATGGCTTCCCGTACTTGTAATGGGGTGAATCCGGTGGCATGTGAGTAGAAAGGTGGGTTTGCCCACAACGGGACCGCTGTGGAAGCAAAGCTTAGTAAGATGTGACAGCGGAGGTAAGCTTCAGAAAGGATCTCTTACCAGGTCCTCTTCCACAGGTTATCGCTCCATCAAGAAAGACAAACTGGCAACTAGGGCCCAGCTCTCGAATAAATGGACGCAGTTGTCCTTCGAGCAGGCTAGATGATGAGCCGAGGCCGTGCAAGGCTAGGATTTTCATTTTCCACGAATGGCAGAAAGAGTATCGAAGCGAGAGGTGTTCGAGGGCAAATGTAGGAGATTCCACTTATTGAGTATACAAAGCGACTCTCCTGGCAATGTATCTGCTCTAAAGAACTATCAGCGGCAATAACTCGGGGGAGGAGAGGGAAACACCCTTCGAGCATTTTCCTCCCAGTCAGTCATAAGCAAGCCACAGGCCCTAAAAAGGGGCCTCCAATCAATTGTGGTAAGTTATTTCCTCTTAGCTGACACAATTTACAAGGATGTTTCCCGATTTGGTAAATGGCTTTAATTGGTCCGAGTTACGGTCTTATGAAGTCTAGGTACAATACCATCGCATGTCGCTGCACCTCCAAAGTACGGCACAGATACACTTAAGCGTTTAGCTAATATAGCAGTTATGGGATGAGAGTGGATGGACGAAGAGCCATCACAACCTCTGCAGCGTCACGACGCCATAGCAATTGGCTACTCAATCTATATATCCCTCGTCAGCCACTAATTGCACATCAATCCGACGGAATCAAGATTCTATGGTGGTTTGGATCCATTCCGGATTGCGAGGGAATTTTGTGAAAGCCAATACTGCACTGCTCGGGACAAGAGATTATGATTGAAACGCTTCACCATCTTGATCTACCTCTGGAATCCATACTGCCCAATGTAACCACTATTCCACGAATAATGCCGCGCTTAACTGCGCCGTTGCTGTCTCGGGCTTGCCGAGATCGTCCAAGAATAACCTCCCAAAACACAGCCAATCTTGCGGTGATTGGGCAGTTTGTGAAATGGTCAGGTCGGACTTGCGCAGCTATGGACTACAGTGTTCAAGGAGCCAAGGAAGCTGTGTTCCGAGTAATAAGCTTTCGAAAAGGGCTGGTGAAATCACACAAAACCCTTGGCGCTTAAGATGAATAACAGACATTGTTAAGTATTTCTATTTCAAGGTGGATAAAAATGCCCACTCAATAGATGACAAAGTCTTGGGGTTACCTTTTCTCTCCAATATTAGTCTCAAAGTGAGGCTTGACGCACCTCCTTATTTACTGAAGTGGCTACTTACGAATGGCTGGAACCAATGTCGTCGTAAATCATGTTTGATGAAAAGGGCATGCGAATATAGCAAGATGTGAGACGTAAAGTTTCTGTGACCTTCATGAACCAGCCAAGCGTTGATCCGGCGGATGTCTGGGATGCTATCTTCGTCATTCTGATTGGGAAGCTTACGCAGCGCTGATATATGCATCTTTTGAGACCAATGCTTCCAGAAAAGGCCACATCTCTCTTCTGGAGTGATGGCTATGCTGTAGGACATGTGCCTCTTCCACTCCGACCTTACCTCGAACTTCTAGTTCTCCTATACTAGATCTTGGGAAACCCCGAATTCTTCTTGGACGTCGCAGGAAATGGTACTCCGTACAGTAAAGCCTTCTATGAGACATAAATACACGTACAGTATTATGACCTCATAATCCATTTTAAGTTTACATTTAGCTCTGAGATGTCAACTGACTTTTGAGCAAGAAGAAATAGCCTACGTCACACATGTTTTAGCTGAAGTATAACTATACCCATAGATAATTGTGGCAAAGTATATACGGAGTACTGGATATAAGACTGATAAAGTTCCCTTCCTGTATGCTAACTCCACCCTTTCGTTACTCCACCAAGGCGAAGGTGCTCTACTACACCACATCTATTCCGTTAGTATATATCCTGCTCTCCATTTCCTAGACCCCAAAACACTGCCCATGAGTACCGATTGATCTTAACTCCATGCTTTTACTATATCAAGTACCAGCCCAGTCCAAAAACTCGATATGGCCCCCACACACCAATACCTCGACATCATCATTCAAGATGACATGAAGTATGATATCCGTATTGAAAATGCTCAAATGGAAAGGTATCACCATCACAAACCGCTTTGAGTCATTGATTACGTGCAATTTCTGACATTAGCTTAGCGGCGAATTCTACAGACTGGGTAACCCAGACGATATCCTAACCACCGATGACATTGATGATATGAGCATTCGTCACAACGGTGGTAGTAGGGAAATTTGTTCAATAAGCGAACCCGGTTCTATGTTAGGACCTTCCGGCGCGGTCGACCTTGTTGACGATGTGAGGGATGTGAGAATTTGCACTCTCGCTTGGCGTGCAACTATGAAGCCCGGGGAACACAATTCATTCCTGATACGTGATCACAATCCAAAATACCGAGTGGATATCGGAGAATGGAATAAATCTGGTACTATAGGGGATGTTCCGGTTTCCATCGGCGAGAACTAACACGGATTATATGGAGGAGCGATTCTGATCGACTGCCATGCTCTTCATGGTTTTGTTGGTCGGAGGTCGTTGACAGCAGGAAGAAAAAAAAACTGTTTCGTATCGCCTTTCTTTTCTCTTTTTGCGATGTGGGTGCCCTGAAACTAGGAACGAGTGAAGGGTTACTACTGTGCCTGCGGTTTCAGGTTAAACAGACGTTTTGGGCTGCATTCTCTGGTTCAATTCGTCGGAGCGGCTTAGTAGCTCTCTATGGAGACCCACAATATCCTCATCAAGGCGTTAATCGCTTTGTTATTCTTGACTTATATCAACGAATCCTACCAACGTTACTTATCGACCCGTCCTCAAATCTTTCAACAAGATAACGCTACAACACATACTGCACAGATCGTACGCGAATTCATAGCCGATCTAGGCCGCGAAATTATGATTTGGCCACCTTGTTGACCAGATCTTAACCCTGTCGGTATATAATGTGATTAACCACCGAGCGACGCACTTTTCCCGTCCCCTCAAAACATTCTACTATTGTTGTTATTCAACGCGTCCATATTCTATCTCTACCATACAAAATGCCTCTTTCTCATGAAAATAGAATATAAATGGCTATATCAGCTATCAAAAATCAAAAGATTCAATCAAACAGGGAAGCCGCTAGCATATTCAGCGTGCCTGAACCTACCCTTCGCGCTCGCCTTCGAGGAAGAAAGCCACGCTCAGAAACACGCGCTAACGGCCATAACTTAACGGCCGTTAAAGAGGAAGTCCTTATAAAGCGTGCGCTAGACGCAGATAAACGTGGCTTTTCAATTCGACCGCAGTTTCTACGCGAAATGGCGTATATCTTACTGCGCGAGCGTACACAGGACCCTACTGCAATCATTGGTGTTAACTGGGCATATAAGTTCACTAATCGCTAACCAGCACTGCGTAAACGATATAATCGAAGGATCACATACCAGCGTGCAAAGCAGGAGGATCCGATGATCTTACAATAATGGTTTGCGACCGTACGAGAGGCTATTCAAGAACATGGTATCTATGAGGATAATATCTGGAACTTCGATGAAACTGGCTTTGCAATGGGGCTCTGCTTAACCTCTTAAGGTTATTACTGCAGTGGAGCGCAGTGAAAGACCTCGCAAGGTTATTTAGGGGATCGCGAATGGGTCATAATTATCGAATGCGTGAGCTCTAAAGGGATTTCTATACCGCCAGTAGTTATCTTAAAGGGTAAAGAGCACCAGGCCGCTTGGTATCAAGAATCAAATCTCCCTCCAGATTGGAAGCTTACTAATAGCGCTAGTTAACTAACACTAACTAACTAGAGGATCCGGAGAGACCGATAATGACGACAACTGGGCGCCACGGTATTCCGGACCAGGCAAAGGAGAGCCGTTCTGTGACGCCCGGGGCTGCGCAATGTAACCTCAGATGGAGCCGGGGGGGGGGGTGGGGCGGGGCATACGGCGTCGAGGGTTATACCGGCACTTTGCAAATGCGAAGCCGGCCGGCGCAATTAAAGACGAACAAGGCACACTGGCGGAGGAAGACCCAGATAGCTTCGTAGCGTAGTGCACAGTCACTCCCCTGGGGAAGGAGTAGGAGTCTCGACATGAAATCACATGAATGCTGATGCGGGCTGAAATCATCCCGGTGATTCTGCCCTGTGCGACGGCCATTCCAGCAGGAGGAGAGAGAACGAGCTGGGCGTCGGATCGAGCGGCATCTCCGGTAAAATGAAAGGGGCAGGGCGTCGGGCTGGAAGCCAAGGCGCAGCGGTCGGGGGGGGGGGGAGGGGAGGGGCAGATAGGAAAGAAAGGGGGTGGCGATGAGTGCAAGATAGAGGAGTTGAAGGGAGGGAAAAGAAGGTGAGAAGGAGACGAGAGGGCGAGGTCGGGTCTTTTATGTCGAGGCGACGGAGGGAGAGGTGACAAGACGATGTATTGGGGCGCTAGACCGGAGAACGGCAAAACTAACCAGATGTAGTAATTCACAGGTCCCAATATTACATATTGAAATGGGAACGGCTCGATGGCTGTCTGGCGATGCAGACTGGACAACACACACACACACACTGCCTGTCTGGTGTAGAGGATGCTGGATGAGGCCGTACTGATACCCTGTTGCGGCCGTGCGGGATAATCTTAATGCTGTATCATGGATAGAAGAAATTGGGTGAATCCTGAATGAATTGGGTAGATAACTTGTCTCTCTCTAAGTGTGTCTGGAGATGTACTATGCAATGCAGACATTAAATCATGCCTGAGGCCACACATAGGCTTATTATGTCACCAGTTCTCCCACTACATACCACCCTCCCTATAAAATTAACCGTCCCGTGGTTGAGCGCAGTTAATTTAGAATGCCCAAGCTAGTGGTAATAAGTATCCTTCCCCTCCTCGTTATAATAGGAGAGCTATCCCTTAGCGATATAAATGAGTGTAAGGTGTGAGGTATTTTAGTGCCTTAGGCGAAGGATCTTTTCGGCCAAAAGTATCTCGCAGCATCGGTAGAATAATCGTTTAAATAGCAGGATAAAAGAGTTATTATGCTACTCTTAGTCGACTAATTGGTCTTCGCTTCCGAAGGTGGCCAGTCTATATAATATCCTATATCCTATTAGAATCTCCTATTCTACGAGGGTAGAATCTTTTAAGTCTGTCGCCGTTAATTATATCCGTATTCTTGTCTGCGATATAGTATAGGATAGTGTCGTTAAGTTCCCTGATAGAGTAGGATCTATTTCCTTTAACAGACTTAATCTAATATAGTCTAAGCTATCGAAAGCGGAGCTTCTAAATAGATATTATATCTAAAGACCTTTAACTATTATATAGTAAGATATAGTTATCTTTCTTAAGGGGAGTGTTATAAGTGCGATAGTGGTTATTAAAGTATCCTATATTATTCTCCTTAAGGCGGTTTATTCGTAGGATAGCTTCCTTAATATCCTTCTCTCGTCTTTCGATCTATTATATATATATTATAATAAGACTTAGTCTGTCCTAGATAGTTTCCTATAGTAGTGTGCTCTATATAGGTATCTCTAGTTTAATTAGTAAGACTATATATACCCTAAATAGGAAATAGTATAGGCTAATTCCGGTAACAGTATTAATAGTCACTCGGTCTGCTATTAATATAATATAGAAATAAGGTCTCTATTAGTTTGTCTAGGTAGAAGTTTCTCCTATTAGATATCCGCTAGTTATCTTAGAGAGTGCGTCCTTTAATATTCTTATAGAACGCCGGGCTATTTAAGCTAGGATAATATACTAAAATAGTGACCTTCTTAATATCGCGGCCTTTAAGGAATTTTAGTGTCTTACTATAATTTTTAGGTCTATTATCTATAATAATCTCTCTTAGATACCTATAGTGACAGATAATATCTACGTAGATAAAGCTCTAGTTTATTTTAGAATCTGCGTTAGTGAGGACTTATATTTTTACTTAGCTACTAACTAACTCTCGCCCTTAAATAATAGATTTAATACTATCCTTATCTAATATATAGGTAATATTAATAAACTACTTATTAAATAGCCTTAGGTTCTTCGGGGTAATAGCGGGCTCGTATATCTATATTAGGTCTTATACTTAGTATTCGATATAGGTTCTAATAAATATAGCGGTGTCTTTAAATATTCGTGGCTAATAGTATTAGTACTTTAATAATTGTTGGAGCATAAGGGGAAAGCTACCACGAAGCAGATCGTGGCCCCTTAAGTCCGTGGGATCAACCTTAGTCCGGCCAGTCAGTCGGTGCCAGACAAAGGAAGAAGGTCAAAGGTCGTAGGATAGACTATAAGCAGATATAGCCTAAACGAAGGCAGAACCACAGTCCTGAGGATCAAAGGAAGAAGGTAGAGATAACTTTGGAAAGTAGAACTGACTTGATTCTTTCTGCTAGAAAAGAAGGACATATTTATAGGCTAAAATAGCCTAGAAATGACGTCTAGAATAACATACAAATACTAGACAGCAACATAATAAAGGTGGCAAAGAAGGGAACCGAAGAAAAGCCAAAAGAATGATGTCAAGGATCGACGGTTTCAGCCACCCCGAAAGCTTCCCCGCAGTATCTGGTTATGCATACCCAAAGGTGGACCATTTTATCCCTAAGGGAAAGTGGTCCGCCTATCCTTGAGGGGACTGAGGGTCGAAGTCTGTTCACCGAGGTTCGAAGACCATGATCGAAGTCCGCGGGCAAGATATGCCCGAAGGCACCTCCGAAGGAACGAACCATTCATGTCTAAAGGCGGACTATTTACCTCTGAAGGAAAATGGTCCTACCTATCATTCGGGAGAGGGCCGCGGACCAGAATCAGAAGTGGTCAAAATATCATTTTGATAGAAGAAAAAATCTGGTCACATGATTAATGCAATGCTGATCTTATATGTTGAATATAAGAATAGATCTTTCTATGTAGCATTGGTCTATATTCCAATAATAATATATAAGTAGCTTCTCGATCTTTATAGGATAAATCTATATATACGCTATATAGTATATTCTGTTAGTCTTCCTTATTATTAAGAATATATTATAAGATCTCTGTTCTTCCCTTCTATTAATAGAAGAGGTAGCTATCTTAATAAATAAACTTTATATAGCGTTTCTTAAAGTGGTAGAATTAACTACGAGATATTTCCGGCGGTCTTCTTAGTGTAATTAGGTACCGCGTAATATCTTATAATTCGGTTAAATAACCCTCTCTAAGAGGTAAGACTATAGCGTTAGCGGTAGGATTATTATCCTTATCCTTATCCTTATCCTTATCCTTATCTATTATAATAGCGGCACGCGCTAGAAAATAGCTCGCCCGTAAGTAGGACACTTCTATATTAATAAAGGTATTAATATTAACCTCTTACTATTATTATCTAATTTCTTCTTTAGTAGTAAAATGCCTTAAAAGCCTATTTACCGCACTATTCTTCCTCCCTAATATATACTTAATATTAAAGTTAAAGAGCCGGATCTATATTATTTACTAAGTGATTAGTATACTAAGTAAGTTAGCTATAGGGCGATTTAGTTAAAACACTAATATTTTCGTATCTATTTCTAATATAAAGTAGATACTATATAGCTAATATCGGAACTTCTTTAATACTATTAATATAGCGCGATATTCTAGTTTACCTATATTATAGGTAAGCTACGTCTCTATCTATATACCTCATTTATACCGCGCGGGTTTCCTAACACTATCTTATTCTTATATTAGGAATCTACTATAATAATAATTACTAAAGGCTTAAAGTTATAGTCAATAGATAATATAGTAGGGAATATAGAGAGCACTTCTTTAACCTAATCGAAAGCGGATTACTACTTCGCGCCTCACTAAAATAGGGTATTCTTCCTTAGGTAGGTATATAGGCTATCTATAATAATCTGAAACCCAGTCACTAAAATATAGAAGTAGATGGCTAGTCTAATAAAAAAGCGTAATTTATCTTTAGTTAATAAGGTTAGCTAGTTAATAAGCTTCGCTACCTTACTCTTTATAGCGCGGCGCCTATTAATATCGCAGACCTAGCTAATAACTTTAATACCTAATATAGCGAATTAAGATTTTTTTCGCTAAGACAGTAGTACTAGCTAGCTTAAGAAAATATAAAGTCTTATTAAGATTCTAGAGGTACTTAAGGATAAAATTATATATTTCTAATAATACGAACTTATTATTATATTAGGACCGCGGCTCTTTAACTATAATATTATCTAGAAATAACCCAGTAATAATACTAAAAATTAAATATAAGATCTATAATATTACTCTTTAGAATTATAGTACTAAATTAGCCGCGCCTTATAGGATAGTAGTCTATCGCAGAAGGCCTAATAAGGTTTAAATAGTAGTGAGGTCCCTATTTTCTTCTAAGAGAGTAATCTAATTATATCCGGAATAAAGATTAACTAAAGAGGCTAATATAAGTCCCGTAAATTCTTTAGCGAACTTATCGATATCCGGGGGTATATTTA